AAGCTAACTAATCTTTTCCCCAAATCTGCTCCTCCACCCAGCTTCACTTTTTTGTGGCATCATTATTCACCCGTTCTCCCAAGTCTGAATTGCTGAGTTTTGTTTTTTAACTTTTCAGCTTTTTACAAGCATTTATCAAGTACCTGTTGTGTGCCAGGCACTGTACTGGCTCAGGGAATTCTGGTATAAAACTAAAATGTTGCCCTCAAGAAACTTCTATTCTATTAGGGGAAAACAATACATGCACACTTGTAACATAGAAAAAAATACAAAGTAATTTGGTAGTTGAGGAAGACACTAACAATTAGGTGATCATGAAAAACTCATGTAGGAGGTGACCTCTGAAGTCTGCTTTGAAGAAAGCCAGGGATTTTAAGAGGTACTTGCAAGGGAATGCACTTCAGGAATGGAGGCTGGCCTGTGCATGGGTACAGGAGATAGGATACTGTGTATGGGAGATACTGTGCAGGCCAGTTTGGAGGGAACGTGGTATGTGTGAAAGGGAACAATACAGAATAAACCTAGAAAAGTAGGTTGATGTCTCTGTAACACCAATTCCCCTTTTCCTCTATTTTATTTCTTATAGGCACTTCACCTACACCTCTCATATTCAAATTGACAGCAAGCCCATTTCTACAACATCTGCACCTCTCCTCTCTATAACCACTTCTACCACTTTAATACAGGCACCCATTACCCCTTGTGTGGACTATGGCAATGTTTTCATTGGTCTTCCTGTTTCCACTCCAACATCTATACTACATGCCATTGCCAAGCTAATCTTCTTATGCAGAGATCTCATGTTATTCCTCTGTTCTAAAATCTTACATGTGGCTCCCTATCACCCATTCCTCTCCCTGTCATTCAAGGCCCTCCACAATCTGGCACCAATCTTTATTTCACACCTTATCTCCTATTATTTCTTTTCCTGTCCCTCCCTGTCTCCCTCCCTTTGAGGTCATTTCTCTTTGTAAAGCATTGACTCTCAGCCTTGAAGCAGAGCCAGGAAGAACTAGGAAGCAGTCTCTCTCACATCAAGTCTTTGTGTGTGTGTAAAGATACAGTTTTTGATACGTGATATGTGAGATGGTCTGGTGAGTCTGAGAAAATTGATTCATTGGGGACTCCTTCTCAAACACTAATCACGATTAATCAGTTCATTATGATTCTATAAGAGGTAATGATTGTTAGTAATTATTTCAATATATTCATCTAGCAATACATATTTAGTTAGTTATCTAATAATAGCTTTATTACTTTTTTTTCCATATACATTTCCATTTTATTGAATTTGTTAATGTTACAGGGTTCTTGCACTGCCAAAAACCATGCCTGAGAATTCAAATAATGAAATAAGGTACAATGAACAGTCTCATCTACCCATCATACAGTATATCAAAACTTGATTAATGTGCATTTTGACAATTTCACAATCTCTTAAAAATGTTATAACAAGAGTTGGGATTTAAAATCTACTGCAGGTCTTCAAATTTCTAGTACAAGATGCCATTAAATAACACTTCCACGTAATCATCTCAGTTCATTCCTCAGTAATATATTCCAACAAGACACTGCTGGCAAAGATGCATACTTTTCAGGGAAAATAGATGGCTCCAAGTCCAAGAATTCTATTTAATTCTTTTACTAAAGTTGTTGGTTCCCAAATGAAGTCTTCAGTTCCTCTTTTGAACACCCAGCTCCTTCTGGGCTCAGCAACTTGTCCAGGTACACCTCTCTAAGAGACCAGGGAGCCTGCCAGCAACTATGCCAAGAGACACTGTCAGGAGCCCTTCTAGGAGTCAGAAGGGGATTCTGGCATCTGAACCCCTAAAAGGGAATCTGCAGCTTTCTTTCACATCAGGGAGACTGTTTTACTCACCTACTTGCTTCACTCTTGTCAATGGCAAGTCTGCAACTCCTGAATTTGGCACTGAAATGTAATATGGAGAAACCCAGACTCTGCACATCAAGTGGTCACATACTACTTTGCAATATTTGTACTGAATCAAAATGACAAAACTAACAAAGATGAAACAGAATCTGAAGTTAGATGGAATGAAACTTTCACACCATAGGCAATAACTTTGGGTGGTTGTCAGGTCCCACCTAAGGACTAAGTTACTGGACTGTTTAACCTGGAGTTATTAAAAACTGAAGTGCTATGTCACGTGTCTTTTGCCCCATTCTTTCCCCCCACCCCCAAACTACTGAACAGCCAGAGACAATCCAACAGAGCTAGTCAGGATAATCACTGCAGCAATTAGCATCCTGACCTTGAAAAGGCTGGGGATAAGTGTGGCATCTGAGAGTCTCCTCAAACACCACACAATTGGTCAGTACATGTGAAATATCAGCAAAGTTTTTGCACACCCACCAAGCTTCTGATTAAGATTTACTCATGTTGGTTTGAGCTGAAAAGGAGCAAGACAAGTTTGCTAGAAATAAACTTACAGCTGATTGAATATGTCTACTGTAGTAGTAAAAAAAGGTTACGATCCCACCTGCTGGATACCAGTACTCTTGTCAAATACATACTGTACAAGCTAAAGACCTGGTGATTAGAGGCTTTAGCAGCACCTGAAGACAAGCCTTGGCATCCACTGCTCTTTAAAGGCTATGGAGTTCCAGATTATGAAACTTATTTCACAATCCCTCTTAACAGATGTTTCAAGTTACTCAACCAAGCTTTATGCTCTGTTCAAAGAACTTAGATTCTAAGTCAAAGCAAGGAAGGCCTTGTTGGTGGAAAATACAACACATGTGCCATCCAAATAAAAATGGCTAAAGAAAAAAGAAATTGGACCATTCAACCCCTACCCCCCAATCCCACTTTGTACATCAAAGTGTGGTTAAATTTAGTTTCTCGTAACCTCAGAATATGGCTACAACTAAGGGGTTAAAAAAAAAAAACCACGACAGCTCTGCATGGGTTTATTTGAACACAGTTCTTTAAGAGTGGTACTGGTATGTCTCAGGAAAAATCGTGTATAGCTACAGCTATTAGAGAAAGTATTCCTTAAGGATGGGGCCCAGCACAGGTTAATTAAGGTAACTTAAATCTTTTGTCATTTATAGCAGATCAGAACCCAAATCGATGACTTTTGCAGGATTTCTGATAGGAATCCAATAGAGCTTGTTTCAAGTTTCACATCGCCACTTAATAGCTTGTAACCTTCTTATCCAGAAGTTGTGATCCACATGGTGTCCACAATGAGCGAAGCAAATCTGAGGTAGTCAACCCTTACGAAGGCTCAGTATTTCTGACTTTCTACATGCTTGGCAGTGGACTGCAATGATGGGAACTGTGTATTGCTGTATATTTCTGGTGGTCCTTGTGGTGTTTTCCTCGTTGAAGTCACCCTGGCACCAGGAGGCCTGTATACACCACCAGTCATAACAGGTTCTGGGGTTTCTGTAACAATACTTGGAGCAGGTGCTTGAACAGGAGCTGTTTTATTCCAAGGACCAGATGATTTTTCTATGCCACCACTACCAGCTTCTTCCCAGTTATCCCCTGGATCTTATTATCATCTTCTTCCTTTTCACTTATCTGCACTGCTTGAACTCTGAGTCCACTGTAATCAATTTCTTTTTGCTTGAATTCTTTCATCTTCATCCTTGGTCTTGGCGGCCGCTCCGGGCCCTGCCGCCTGCCGCCCACCGCCCCCCCCCAATCGGCCAGGTGTCAAACTTTAATATAATGTTCATTACTTGTTTACCAGCTATGGAGCTCACTTGTGCAACCACAAGAATCCTAACAAAGTTATCTCCATCCTGTTTTGCTCAAATTCCATGACCAAACCAAGCATGAGTGGTGGCATGGTACAGAAAGTCCCACCCCCCCCCAATACGTTCTTGGAGCATACATATAACTTGTACCATCTTCTCCTGCCTAGCATTAGGAGTCTATCCAACTTCTGACCACCTAGGTCAGCAGAGTTATTCTTTGCTTCACCCAACTTATGACCCTGCTGACATACCATTTTTGCTTATTTTAGCTTATGTGTCATAGGTCAACCAATAAAATTCTGTATTTTACCATGCCTCTTTTGCATATTTGGGTATTAAACTCTATAAATACAAAGTCCCAGAGGAAGAAGGCATCTCAGATGGAGAGGAAGATCTGAGATCCACTTCATTAGAGAGGGCAATGGACCCTTTTGTAAAGTGCCATCAGCTCAGAGCTCTGCCTCAGTCTCTTTATTGTAGATTGGGCAATTTGAATCCCAGCTCTTCTTCCCTTGAGGAAATAAACCAAACTGGAAATGACAGGATATCCATTCCAGTCCTCCAGCAACACTGAGGATTGAGCCTAGGCTAGAAAGTTTTGGAGGTGGAGATGGGGTAAGACCTTTCCTGTTTTCAAATATCTACAGAGAAGCATGATCCATGGCTTCCTTCCCTGATTCATTCTTGAATCTTGCTCCATAATGACAAGTTCTTCCCAATTATCTGGCCTGAAAGTCTACTGGTTTCATTCTGATGTAATTCCTTTCAGTTTACTCTTAGTAAGGAGTATTGATATTTAAAGACATAAGAGGAAAAGCCGGGCAAGGAGAGGTGAGAGCACGTGGGGAACACAGGTCTCCATGAGCCAGTAACCTCCGGGAAAGAACAGTGAGCTTGGAACTAGAGGACTGGATTTGAATCTCAACTCTTTTACCTGTGAGGCATTAGGCAAATCAGAACCCCTCTGGCCATCTCCTCATTTGTAAATCAGTCTCTGAGGCCCTATGACTAATCTTTTCTTTGTCCCCTTATGATGGCATTTGACTATTCCTCATTAATAGTTCTGCTTTCCTGGAAGCCTATATCCCAGACAATTATCCATTTATTTCAGGATTGTTTGCTGTGTTAGAAAAACAAATCAGATGTCTGCCCACAGAATAGCTGTGAAACTTTTTGAAAAAGGCAGAGAAAGACTTTGTTTCAGAGCTGACTGTTGGGAATTCACCTCTAGCATGAGCACCTCTTGTCCTGAAATTAATATGTCCCTGGGCTCAGCAGTCAACAGTTTTTATTTATAGACTTGTTTTTCCACCTGATTTTTTAAAAAAGTCTTAATTTACACAAACACAGGCTACCATCTCAGTGGCAAGTTTTCTTCCTTTTTTTTTCCCCATTGATTATTATACAATATGACACTGGCAGATACAGTGTCAGCAGAGCTAGGAAATTAGACTTAATTGATGTGGAAAACTGATAGAGAAGATATAACACCTCTGACAAGTTGACTAAGGATGAGCAAAAAAGGTGTCCTTCTCCCTGACAATTTACAAAATGTTCCTTATCCAGGCAAAATTATCCCTATTTGCATTCAAGATGGGTTACTTAGAAAACCCAAGAGAATCATCAAAGCTACTGAGACAAAAGCTTCAGTCAGGCAGCAGAATACAAAATAAATTCAAATAATCATCAGTACCATGTAGCAATTACAAAATCTAGGAGGAAGTAACAGAAAAGGAAATGATATTCAAAATGACTACAAAATGTACAAAATATCTGGGAATTACCAAGGCACAATAAATAAAATTACACAATAAATAACAACAACAAAAAAAAATGAAGCATAAAAACAAATGTTCTTTACCCATTCCTCAGATTCCCCTACCCCACCACCACCATGAATACCAAAGTATGCTGATCCCCACGGGAAAATGGGATATAGAGGACCTCAGGATATATAACAATGCTGCTATAGAGCCTAAAGTTCACATCCTACATGGTTAGAAAGAGTGGGGCATTACACAACTCTCATATAAAGATCATGGGATCCTGAGAAGACTTAGCTGGGGAATGACTCCCACCATTGGCTAGAGACACTGGAAACTCCATTTTTCATGAATGCATTATTTGAATACGAGAAGCAAAGGTGATGTTAATAGAACCTAGGAACTAGAACTAGACAACTCAAATTCATAATCAGGGACAATGGAAGATCTGAGTGTTGTGATTGAGATGCTAAGATGCTCCCTAGGCATTTCTCAGTAATGACAGAGCCTGAAAATTTACTGGTCCAAGGGCAGGATGTACATTAGATGCAACAAGATGAACAGGACAGCTTGGCCATATTGCCAAAACAAGGCAAAATGGGAAACAGTGCCAGGATTATGGGGCTACATGTGCCAGAACTTCTTTCTTAGGTGGTAGGATCTGCAAGGGGTAAACTTCATCAAGAATATCTCAAGTTAACCCTGTGCATGAGGCTCAACCATGGGCAATAGAGGGTACAAATTTGAGTTCATCACTAGGTTTTCTTCCAGAAGAAGACTTGGGTGAGATATCTCTTCTTGGCAATGGCTCCACACTCTGGACATTTCTTAGTGGTCTGGAGAGGCAACAGGAAAAATAAGGTAGTTTAAGAGGGATCCATTATAGCCCATCTGCCAGGAGGAAGGAATGGACAAACAGCTGGGTGAAGAAACAATCAAATGTTGGTTCCACCTATATCCCTTAGAACCTCCCTTAGAATCCCAGAAATTCCTTCCATATTCTTTGTTCTATCTGTGTCTTTTACCTTTAGCTGCTTGAAAACCCCTGACGAGTGGTGGTTTTCCAAATACAATGGCTATCTAGTGATTGATTCTGAGACCCTGCTTCTAGGTGCTGTCTGGCTAGAAGGTGGAAACAGCATATTCTGTAATAATGGGCAATCCTGGAAAGAGACAGAACATTGAATTCATCTTGAAAAATGGGTGAGGGGCTGGGGGAAGGGAAAGAAAACTTCTACTTGTCCTGTATTGGCTATAGCTAGTGATTCAGCTGTTTGGTGGAAATGGCCCTGACAAATGAGTGTATAGTGCTAAAGACAACAGGAATTAATTCTTTAAAATGCGCACAGACTGATAAAGGCTTGCAGGCCCACATCTAGGGGATAACTATGGGATAATGGTTCCCCTACAAGGGAATGAGAGCCCGGGGGTGGTTGCCATAATGAACCTCATAGGAGGGACAGAACTGTGTCCCTTGCCTAGTAACTTTGTGGACACAGGAGTAGGAGGAACAAAGATAAGAAGTTAAGCCAACCTTGAAATGCCATTCCCAGCATGCCTTACAGGAATGAAAGTCACAAGCATGGCATTGAAAGGGCACCACATCCTCAGCACTGCAACCAGGACAATGGAAACCTTCTGAAAGAGGGTGGGGGTGGAGAGGAGAGACAGGGACAAAAATTTGTGCCTGACATCCAGAGCTGTGGCCATCTCAGGGGGACCTTAGGAGAGGTCCTAGGGGGAGCTCCATGAAGCCATATATGGTAGTCACTGCAGTTCTAAACATGCACCCTAGTGCCAGTTCCATTTCTAAGTACCCTGCCCTATACACTTAGCTTCTGTTGGAGGAGAAATAAGAATGACCCTGGCCTCTCAAGTCTACTGCCAATGACATGAAATTCATAGGCAGGGGCATTTAGAAAACAACATAAAACAGCTTATTGAATAAAATATAAACTCTTTGGGTAGCTAGGTGGCCCAGTGGATAGAGTGCTGGGCCTGGAGTCAGGAAGTCTTATCTTCCTGAGCTCAAATCCATCCTCAGAGATTTACCAGCTGTGTGATCCTGGGCAAGTCACTTAACCCTATTTGCCTCAGTTTCCATATCGGTAAAATAAACTGGAGAAGGAAATGGCAAACCACTCCAGTATCTTTGCCAAGAAATCTCCAAATGGGCTCGTGAAGAGTTTGGACACAACTGAAATAACTAAACCACAAAAAATAAACTCTTTACTTTGGCATTCAAGGCTACCTACAATACAGACCTAACCTTTCTTTCTTTTTGCACTCAAAACGTTGACTATATTTTACTTCCATTTCTCACAAATGGTATAAGGATACATATTGTCGTTATACTTGATCCTTTTTTTGGAAAAAGAAAAATAATATATGTACATGTATGTTTTATATGTAAATGTGTATGTATAGGTTCTAATTGATAATTATTCAGATTGTTCATAGAATCCATAATTAAACTGATTAGCAATTGATTTGAGTTTCATTTTTAGTTTCAAAAAAATGAACCATTATCCACTTTTATAGAACTGAAATGGTGGCAGGCATCTGACTTAACTGTGAAGTAATATCCTAATGATCACCTCCATCTACTTCTACCAACACTACCATGGGGGTACTTTCCACAAAATGAAAGACATGTAAGTTGGATGATTTTTGTATTGTCCACACCATGAAGTCAATTACTACTCATTTCCCCCCAGTATTTTTCCACTGTCACAGTTCTGCTCTCTCTTAATCTGATTCACACATTTGCAGCTCTCGGAGCTGAGTGTATCTGGGACATGTGCTGGGGAGCAGACTAACACATAGCTCACATCTTTCTAAGGAGCTGAAGGCTGAAGTAAGACATATGGCCTTTTGTCTGCAGAGATGCAGAGACCTACAACCTAGCTTTCTGGGCTTTTCACACAGTGCTCCCCATCCTGGACTCGATATTTTGGGCAAAGAAGCTCCTGATTGCCCTCTCTTTATATTTACCCCATCCCCACCTCTTTGGGAAGTCGTGGGATCCTTCTATGCTTGGAATTTCCCTCATCCTGAACTTCTCCTCCTGCTGAGATCCCTTCCTCCCTGCTGTTTCCCTCAAGAAGGCATCCCTGACACTCCCAGCCAACAGTCCTCTCTCCTTTTTCACATTTCCCATATGCAACAGCTTGTACTTCTTGTCTGCATTTATCCCATTCTGCCATATATCCCCCTTATCCAAGCCTTCACCATGGGAGCTCTTTGGGGGTTAAAACTGGGCCTATTTCATCTTAGTATGAAATAAGCCCAAGACCTGGTACAAAGTAGTTGTTTAATATGAGCCAAATTAAATACAAGCAAGTGATAAAATGTGTGGTACCAGCAGAAAGTGCTATGAATGATCAGGAAGAGAAGAGCCTTGCATTGGCTGCGGCTATCAAGAAGATTTCATAAAGGAGGAGGAATCTGATGTGGGCCTTGAAGGATGGAGATGATTTGGGATGGTACAAGACATTCGAACCCTAATTCTCTCTTGAAAACCATAATCTTATTTCTATTTCCTTTTTATTGCTTCTCAAACTTGATTCCAACCTTCAAGTTTGTGTCTAGCCCAGAGATGCCTCTGAAAGCTTGAAACACATTTTTAAGCTGCTACTAGATCGAGACAAATATCTTTGTCCTTTTGCAGCTGGGCAACACAAATATTATCGTGGTGGCTGGAGTGAAAAGAGGTTGGAGAAAGAGGCAGGAGACCTGGATTCTAATGCTGGCTCTGTCATTAAAGACTGTCTGACCTTAGATAAATCACTGTCCTCACCTGTCGGATGAGGGAGTTGAGGTGATGTTTTCTAAGATCTCTTTCAAGGTCTGACAACCTAAACCCATGGAAGCTTTTCAGCACAAGGAAGATAAGACTGTGCTGCTGCTTCCATCATTCCCTATCTTATACTATACTTCTACATCTAGGACCAATCTGGAGCTTGAAGGGACCCCAGGGACCATCTAACCCAATGCCCTCCATTTGCGTGTTAGGAAACTGAGGAGGATCAAGGAGGTAAAATGACTGGCCCAAGATCACACAGGTGGTAAGAACTGGAGGTGGAATTTTAATCAAGCCAGTTTCTTCTGTCCCAGGCTGCCTGATGGTGATACAAAAACCATTTTCAGTCTTTGTATCCATAGGGTTTAGCGCAGTGTCTTACACAGAACAGGTGGATGAGATGGGTACTTTTCAGCCAGGTTAGCCTCAAGCTGGAAGCTTTAGATTGATTTGGTGGGAGTCAGAAGAAAACATCCTTATGTAATTCTGCAAATCCAGAATCTGTCCTCCTCTGGGTCCCAGTGCCTTGTTCACTGGACTTCATTATCATGGACCTAGGTAGGGGTTAGGGCCTTCCCAAGTCAAGACAGACCCATTTAGACTTGGAGATAAGGTCCCAATTCATTCCAGGCCAGCCTACCAAGGTTTCGGGATGTAAATTTCTGTGCTTCTGGCTCAGTGCAATGCATACAGATCACATATCTCAAAACCACTAAGATTCAGCTAAATGGAACCTTGGAGATAAAGGTCTAAGACACAGAGCTGGCCTGAAAGTCAACAAGACCTAGGCTCAAGTCTGGCCTCTGATGCATACTGGGTGTGTGACCCTGGGGAAATCACTTACTTTCTCAGTGCTCAAGGCAAGCCTCTAAGACAGTAAATTGAAATCTAAGAAGGTACTGCCCTCCATTGGCAAAGGGAGTTTTCTTATCTGGAAAAGACCCGATACCAATGAAATTACAGGTACCATAACTATCCCTAGAAACAACAAAAAGTTCAGGATTGTCACTCACCCCATTCCACTTCAACATTAGAAGGGAGAGCAGGGATTGGGTCAGGCTCCAAGCTCGCTGGCAGGTGGCTGGCACCTTCAGGAGATTTAGTTCCTGGAGATTCTGATTTTCTCAGTTTGCAGCAAAAGGAAGAGATTTTGCTTTGAACTTTCCTGGATTTCTCAGGCTCTGAGAGGTCTGTGGGACAGAGAGCCCTGGTTAAAGAAGGCAGGCTGCAGCCCACCCTGTTGTATTCTCAGGCACTCAAGTCATAGCCTATCCTATCCTAAGTTGTCACACTTGTTTCTAGAACATTCCCACCTCGACTGCACTATCTAGATTTTTCCCTCCCTTGCTTCTCCCACACCTCCCACCCCCATAATACACATCATTTGAGTCTGGAATACTGGGTGTAGTTATCAGGAAGAAACTAGAGCAAACATGATCTTGGGGAAAAATCTCGAGATCCCAAAATGACTCAGATACCTTCATGTTTAGGATCTAAGTGTGTCACACAGGAGGGAAGAAGGCAGAGTCCCTGATTGAATCATCTATCGTTCTGTAGAGAAAGTAAAGTATCTTCCTCATCTCACAGAAACCAAGCAATTTTTTTTTTTAAGCAAGTGAGATAATCACACTGAAACAGAACCTGTAGCTGGTGTCCTGGGATCACGGTGAGCAGAGAAGACAAGAGGGCCCAGCTTTATGTGGTGCTTATGGAAATGAGAAAGAAGCCCATGTCCTACCCGGTTTAGACCCTGCCACCAGTGCCTGCACTTCAGCCTCTTCCTCTACTTGGGGGCTGAGGCTGGAGGGTTCTGGGTGGCTCTTCCTGGGAGATACCAGCGTCCCTTCTCCAGGGCATGGCCCTGTCAAGTCCATACACATCTGGAGAAACTGCTTCTTATGATGAGGGCGAACAAACATGGAGAACTCTAAGAAACAGAAGAATAAGCCATCAGAAAGGGGAAGAAGAACTGGTTCCTGCTTCCTGCCACTCCTTGCTCCATTCTGGGGTTTATCCTGTCATCTGCTGCTCAAGGGCCAGAATTAGAATTTGCAGCTTGGCCTCTGAGTTGCCTTGGTTGTATCTTGACAGATCTGTCCCACTCTATATGGTCTCGAGCCCTCTGAAAATAGAACTTCTCATCTCTCCCCAGTTTGAGAGAAGCAAAGAAAAAACTCTGTGAATGGGATAAGAACAGAGTTTGTTGCTAAGTGTGGCATTGGGAAGGAGTCATGGCCTATATATAACAGCCCAGAAAAAGGCAGAGGACTTGGGATCTCTGGAGCTGGAACCTCTCCCTAGTTTTGCTTTGAGATTTTCCACTTTATTTCTGGGAGCTCCTGAAAACTATCCTATTGGTTTCAGGGGGTCAGCCACAGGGATCGGCAGAGAACTTTTCTTTACTACACTTCAGGTCTCTTTGCAGAAAGGCAGCAATACAGCTGGCCAAGACCAAGAAGCCTATGGAGACGGGTTACTGTGTCCATCCAGAGACTACTGAGTGGGTCTTTAAGGTTATTCCCAAGGCCAAGGTGGCATACGACACTTGCTTTGTAGAAGAGGCAAATCCTCAGGTTTCTCGGTGGTGAGGGCAGCAATCACAGACACCATGGCTTCGTAGTTGTCATCTTTCTTATAAGCAGAGAGTGCTGTGGAGAACTGGCTGTAACAGCTTGGACCAAGGGATTTCTTGACATCTGCAAGATAGGCTGTGACAGCAGCATGTCCCTTCTTCTCCCCTGGGGCTTTTGGCTCCACTTTGGTTGTGCTGCTCAAGACACTCGGGTGATCTTCTCCTAATGGAGAAGGAAGGCAACATTAAGAAGACTGCTTTTGCAACTAGGTAAATTCTGAGCTACAGTCAGCAGAGTGGGATGGGAAAGCAGCAAGAAAGAAAAAGTATTACTCTGGTCCCTATACATGGGCACACAAGCAAGTTTTCTGACCAAGGAACTAGCTCAAAAAAACAAAAACAAAATCCTCAGTCTGAAAAATAGAAAATCCAATTTAAATAGACCCAGAAGCAAGCAAAAATAGTAGAATAGTATTTTATAAACCTAAGGATTCTTATTACTCCTGGGGTAAGGACTCACTATTTGACAAAAACTACAAAACAATTTGACAGAAATTATGTTTAGATGAACATATCACACCTTACAACACAATAAGCACCAAATGGATACATGACCTAGATATGAAAGGTCCTACCACAAGCAAAGAGTTTTTGACCAAATGGGAAATAAAGAAAATCACAGGTGATAAGAAAGAAAATTTTGATTACATAAACTTGAAAACTTTTTGTAAAAATTACTGCAAGGTAGAATTAGAAGGAAAATAATTGGGAAAAAATCTTTGCAATAAATTCCTTACATCTAAGATGCATGGGTATATATGTATATGAGCCATTATCCAATAGATAGTCAAAGGATGTGAACAGGTAATTCTCAAAAGAAATGCAAGCTTTTAACAACCATATGAAAAAATGCTCTAAATCCCTAAGATGAGTCTTAGGTTATACTTTATATGCCTTACAATGGCAAAAAATGACAAAAATGGAAAATGACAATTGTTGGAAGGGCTGCAGGAGGACGGGAACACCATATACTGTTGGTGGAACAGTGAAGTGATCCTAGAAACCATTCAATGAATTTGTAACTAGACCCAAAAAGTCATTCCACTGTGTATACTCTCTGACCCAGAGATAATAGCACTAAACTAATACTCCAAAGAGATCATAGAAAGAGGGTAAGGACCCATCCAAAAATATTTATACCTTCTTGTTGTAGCTAAGAACTGGAGATAAAGTGGAAAACCATCAAATGGTGAATGAATGAACAAATTATGGTTTTTAATGTAATGGAATATTCTTGAACCATAGAAAATGACAAAAGAAACAGATTCAGTGAAACCTGAGAGGGCTTATATGAACTAAAACAGAGAAAAATGAGCAGAACCAGGAGAACAATGTACACAATGACTACAACACTGTCAAGGAAAACAACTATGAAAGACTTCCGAATTCTAATCAATAAGAGAAATGCAAATTAAAACAACTCTGATGTACTACCTCACACCTATCAGATTGGTTAACATGACAGGAAAGGAAAATAAAAAATGCTAGAGGGGATGTGGAAAAATAGAGACACTATACACTGTTGGTGGAGTTATGAACTGGTCATTCTGGAGAATGGTTTGGAGCTATACTCAAAGGGCTATAAAACTGTGTGTTGACACAGTAATACCACTACTAGATCTGCATCTCAAAGAGATCAAAGAAAAAGGAAAAGGACTTCTATGTACAAAAATATTTATAGCAGCCCTTTTTGTGATGGCAAAGAAATGGAGATTGGGGAGATGCCCATCAATTGGGGAATGGCTGAACAAGTTGTGGTATATGATTGTCATGGAACACAACTCTGACATAAAAAACCAACAAGCAAGATGGTTTCAGAAAAACCTAGGAAGACTGTATGAATCGATGCAGAGTGACATGAGCAGAACCAGAAGACCATTGTACAAAGTAACAGCAATATTGCAACAATGATCAACTAACTGTAAAACACTTAGCTACTCTCATTAGCTACAATGATCCATGAAAATTCTAAAGGACTCATGAAGAAAATGCCATCTACTTTTAGAGAGAGAATTGATAAACTTTGAGTATAGATTGAAATGTACTTTTCTCACTTTATTTTTTCTGTCTTTTTTTGGGGGGGGTGGGTGACAAACATGGCTCCTGAGGCAGCTAGGTAGTGCAATGGATAGAGCACCAGCCTTGGAGTCAGGAGGACAGAGTTGAAATCTGGCCTTAGACACTTACTAGCTGTGTGACCCTGGGCAAGACACTTAACCTCAATTGAAGGAAGGAAGGAAGGAAGGAAGGAAGGAAGATGGCTCATAGGGAAATGTGTTTGGCACAATTTAACATGTATCATTTATGATATATTGTTTGTCTTCTCAATGGATGGGAGAGGGACTGGAGGAAGGGAGTGAATAAGGAACTCAAAATTAAAAAAAAAAAGAACATTTAAATAAAGTATAATAAAAAAAGAACTCTAATAAATACAATGACCAACTATGACTTTGGATGACTGATACTGAATAACACTTTCCACCTCATGGAAGAGGTGATCGACTAGAGAAGTCAAATGAGACATACATTTTGAGACACGTGTGGACTTGTTTTATTCACCCTGTTACCGGAAGCTTTTATTTTAGGGAGGTGAGCCAAGAGAGAGCACTACAAAGGGAAGTGTGTGGCAATAGTGATACCAAAAGAAAAAAAAAAGAGCATCAATGAAATATCTTAAAAATACACAGAAGAGCAGAAGAAAGTTGAAAAGGGGACTCAGAGAAGAAGGTGAATGAAATAACTGTTAAATTTAGTATATATTTTTAAAAAAATTGTACAGTAACAATCCTGTTTATGTTTTTTATCTAAGGAAATGTTCGTATTTGTTGAGTTCATAATAGTAATAAAAGAAAACAAATTAATCTTAACCTTTGAAAACAGCCTTTTAAGGCTTAAAGTGTCATAAAAAAGATAGATTTAATTTTTTCTAAAGAGATATAGCATACATTCTTTCCAAATATCCATTACTGGCACCATTCTCTTTCCTATTAAGAATTTAAAAGGTAAAACAGCAAAAGATTTGCTTTGAACATCCTGAAGAGTCTGGTAACTAGTGTGTCTATTTCCTCATTTCTCCGTTGAACCAAGCATGGAGTTCATGAGAAGATGTTAGATAAAAGTCAGGGTACCTTGGGTGGCGATCTCAGATACCAGGTGGGCTCCTCCCTGGTTCAGATGAATGTCTGAGTTGAGCTGTTGGGCCACACCCTCTGAAAAGGTCATTTTGATCTTATTCTGCTTCTCTGTAAAGAAAACCATGTGAAAACAACTATGGTCCTACCTATGGAACATCAGGAAAAGCAAAGTCAATCACATAAAGTCATGTCTTCTTCCACTTCTATATCACCACTAAACGGGGCCCACCATCATGAGACTTAACAAGCTGAGGATACTGCTAAATAAAACTCATTTGGTTGGGCAAGGGAACATACAAATATGATGGAGCCCACCCACTCCTAAGGTCAAAGCAACAGAGAAAAGATTTTGGTCTGCTCTGACAGGACTGACTTTCTCTAAGAGACTTTGACTTCTGCAAAGCAGAATTGGCACCAGCAGAAATCTAGGAGATGGCATGAAAGTTTCCAGCCAAGCCTTTGTCTTTAAAAGGCCTGCCCTGGGGCAGCTAGGTGGCGCGGTGAATAGAGCACCGGCCCTGAATTCAGGAGGACCTGAGTTCAAATCCGGCCTCAGACACATAACACTTACTAGCTGTGTGACTCTGGGCAAGTCACTTAACCCCATTGCCTAGCTAAAAAAATAAATAAATAAATAAATAAATAAAATAAAAAAATAAAAGGCCTGCCCTAAGTGCCACCAGCTTTTCTTCATGACCCATGACTGAGTTCTCTCGAAGAGCTGATCAAAATCCCTCTTGAATTTGTTTTACTGAATTTTCAATCTGTACCATCTCCTGGAGAAGCAAGTTCCTTGGTTTACTCTTTGTTGTACAAAATGGAACCTTCTTTTTATTTGCCCTCAACTAGCCTCTGTCAAATGTATATAGGGAGGTGATTCCTTGATTTTAATATCCAGGACGGAAATCCATGCCTCCCAACCCCAAGCCTTCCTCCATCAAGAGTTTTACCGTGGCTCTTTAAATGCCCCTCGCCCTTATCCCAAACTCTTAGCTAGGCTTGATGTGGTAAGTGTACCTCATCCTTGGGCCCACTACATTACAATCTGTATTTATTTTCAAAGAACAAAGGCCATTAAGGTGCTCCTCCCAGCTGCAGGTGTGGTCATTTGTCCATTCCAGGGAACATCACAGGTGAGGTCCACTGAAGGAACACTTTAAAAATTCAGTGGCATGATATGGACGCTCCCTCCAGGGAGCTCTAGCAGGAATGGTGTTCCCAATAGCATAACGTCTAAACAAAACATAGGCCCTTTTTCACTCTAAACCCCCAACACCCAATGAGATAAGTAATCGTTGGACTTCCAGGAGCCAAGATGGCAGAGTAAGTAGTAAGTTGCTCTTACCCTCCCTTATTCACTTTGAAAAACACAGAGAATATGACCCCAGGAAAAATCCTGGAATAGTGGAGCCAGCAGAAAGATGAGATACAGCAGTCTTTAGCTAGGCAGGCTAGGGGAATTAACGGGAAAGGTCCCTCTTGCTGTGGCTGAAGAGGACCAGCACAGGATGGGAGGCATTGTGGCAAGCCAGCAGTAAGCCCCACTTCAGCAAACCAGTGGGAGATCCTGAGCCCTACAGTGGTGGAACAGGCAAGTGCCAACACCAGGCACACAACAGCCACTATCACCAGCTCTAGCTCAGCACCAGGTAAACTACTAGACGCCTACAGCCTCCAGCTGCCAACACCTGAGGCTCCAGCACACAAAACCAATAACCAGGCCCCTAGCCCCCAGCACAAGAAGCCTAGGTCAGTGGCCCCTGTGCCCAAGAAGCAGAGACCAACTTTAAAAGCCAGAAAAAAGGCAAACAACATGAGCAGGAAGCAACAAAGAAAAACAATGACCACAGAGAAGTATCTTGGTAATAGGGAAGATTAAAACGCAAAATCTGGAGAGGACAACATTGTCAATATACTCATATCTGAAACCTCAAAGGGGAATATGAACTGGTTTCAAGCCCAAAAAGTCTTCTTGGAAGAGCTCAAGAGGGATTTAAAAGTCAAATTAGAGAGGTAAAAGAAAAATCGAACAATTAATTTAAAAATACAATTGACAAAATGGAAAAAGAAAACAGCTCCTTAAAAAGTAGAATTGGCCAAATGGAAAAGGAGGTCCAAAAGTTAACTGAAAAAAACAATTCATTAAAAATCAGAATTGGGCAAGTGGAAGCTAATGACTCTATGAGACATCAAGAATCAAACAAAATCAAAAGAATGAAAAAATTGAAGAAAACATAAAATACCTCATTGGAAAAACAACTGACCTGGAAAACAGATCCAGTAGAGATAACTTAAGAATTATTGGTCTGTCTGAAAGCCATGATGGGGAAAAAAAAAAGCCTGGACAGCATCTTCCAAGAAATCATCAAGGAAAACTTTCCTGAGGTCCTAGAATCAGAGGGTAAAATTACTTAATTGAAAGAGATTAAGTAATAGTTCAAGGAAAGGTTAGCCTTTAAAAGAAGCCTGTTTAACTGGCAGAGTCCAAGTGGTTACTACAGAAAAAAGAAAAAAAAAAGGTATCTTTCAAATAAGGAGAAAAAGGAAATCCACAAAGTAGGCAGGTCAGGTATAAATCAGAAAGGACTTTGAGAAATCCTGCTAAGGGACTCTAAAACCAATAAAAAGGGTCTTAAAAATATAAGATAGCTTGAGGAGGGTGGGGCCAAGGGGGGTACTTTTGAAAGAGGAAGAGGAAGAGGAAGCTGACAGAGAATTCTTTCAAACTGTCTTTATTTAGGACATTATTAGGGAGATGCCTGATTCAAAATTGTCCCCTAAAATGAACTGACTGAGGGAAAAGGTACTCCATACTTGGGAGGATATGAGCCAACTAGAAAATGTAACTGTAGGAAGATAACCAGGTTCTAAATTCTAAATGAGGTGGAAACTGGGGACCTACTGATCACAATGGGTGATCCATTCTTTCCAGCGGTCTGGTTACTGATATCACTCTAACACAGAAGGGGCCAGAGGGGAAAGGACTCCAAAGGGGTAAGAGTACAGAGCATTACAGACTAGTAAGCCTTGTCTCCATACTGTACAAGTTGGTAGAAAACATGAAAATATTTCATATACATCAAAACATTCTTAGAAGCGCTTTTTGTAGCAGTATTGGAAATGAAGATGTCCACGGACTGGGGAATGGCTAAACAAATTGTGGCACATGAATCTAAAGGTAATGGAATATTATTGTGGCGTAAGAAATGATGGAATGTGAATAATTCAGGAAAGTTTAAGACTTATATGAACTTGTATAGTAAAGTAAAACCAGGAAAACAATACAAATAATGACTGTAGCAATGTAAATGAAATAAACAAAAACAAAAACACTCTCGAAACTGAACATTATATCAACTATAATGACCAAGCTTGACACAGAATAAGAGATAAGAACATACACACTTTCCTTCGTTTGTTAGAGGCGAGGAACCATGGGCATAGAATTCTGCATTTCCTGTCAGTCACATGATGCTTTAGTTAATTTTGCAGAACAGTCTTTCCTTCTTCTTTGTATTTTATTATTTGTAACAAAAAATGGTTGTCTGGGCAGGGAAAAGGGAAGGCATATTAGTTGGAAATGAATAGTAGTTATTAAACACAACATGCCAGGGAACAGCTAGGTGGCACAGTGATAGAGCACTGGGCTTAGAATCAGGAAGACTCATCCTCATGAGTTCAAATCCAGCCTCCGACACTAGCTGGGTAATGCTGGGCCAGTCACTTAACCCTGTTTGCTTCAGTTTCTTCATCTGTAAAATAAGCCAGAGAAGGAAATGGCAAACTACTCCAGTGTCTTTGCCAACAAAACCCCAACCCCAAATGGGGTCGTGAAGAGTGGGAAACGACTGAAAATGACTCCACAACAACAACACAATGTGCCAAACATGTCCTAAGCACTGGGGATACAAACAAAAGGCGAGACAGTCCTTGCTCTCTAGGGGGCTAACAGTCTAGTATGGGGAGACAACACCCAAAGAAAGTTGAGCAGAAGGAACGGCACTGAAGTACTGAGGGGGCATCAGCTCCTCAGATGTCAGTGCCAGGTACAGAGGCAAGACAGATAGTGAAGCCTGGGGGACATCAGGAAGCCCAGGGCTCCTCCCTCTAACTGGAGGACACAGAGTTGGTGCCTTCCATCTTATGGGAGCCATGTGAGGAGCGGAGTAGCTCAGGTTCTGGGGCAGCCCTGCTGCAAGAAAGGATGAAGAAGATGGGCGAAGGGGTGGGGGATGGGGGGGAGACAGTGACCACAAGTGGTGCCAGGTCTTCCTGCCTATAGAATGAATGCTGATGTAAAAAGCAAAAAAGATACCAATCACAAATTTTAAATAAAATAAAAACAGCCAGCCAACAAGCATTTATTAAGTGCTTTCTATGTGCCAGGCCCTGTGCTAAGCTCTGGGGAAAGGCAAAATGATTTCTGCTTGGGAAAATCATGTGTGATATTTACTAGAGAGCTTCAGAAGGAAGTTAACAGGCATTTGGTAAAGGAGAACTAGTAAATGTTGTCAATGTACAGGTAGTCTTCCCAAAAAGCCCCTTATGAAGTACCACACCAAAGGCTACTAAAGAAATTGAGTCTCTGGAACCACAAATGAGGAAGAAGCTTCATTATTGGCACTAACGGAGACCTTGCTGTAATGGCCAAAGGTAATAAAAAAAATTAACAAATCTGTGAGAGAGAGCTGAGAAATGGCAGATGAATTTTTACATAGACAAATAAAATGACTTTAGGGATAAAAAAAAAAATCCACACCATACATATAAAATGAGGGCCTGTGAACTCACGTGTGCTGTGGTAGAAAGAACACCAGAATTGAAATCTGGAGAACCTTGGTAAACTAGCTTTCAGAGTCAACTCCACAAACATTCACTAAAAAGCATCTCTGCTTAAGGAGCTTGGGAGATAACACGGATCGAGATGTTAAGAGGCAGCTGTAATGAGAGAAAGCAGTTCAGACACAGCTTATGCAATAACATGGAGGGAAAGGAATGTTTATGTAAGGATGGGCAAGTAAACAAGTAGGAAATTTGGCTAAAAGGTAGAGTACATGAAAGTAGTAAGGTGCAGTGATCCCAAAGGGGCAGGATGCAGTCAGACTGGAGAAGAAGACAACACCTGATTTGGACATGTTAGACTTGAGATACCTATGGCATGTCCAGGTGGAAAGCTGTTGATGCAAGAATACTGTTTAGGAGTACTTATTTGGGAGTCATCTCCACAGAGATAAGGATACCCATGAAAGCTGATGAGCTTGCTAAGACAGAGGGCCAGAGGGCCAGGGATCTGGAAGTGGAAGGGCCTGAGGCCATCTCATCCAACTGCCTCATTTTACAGATGTGGAAACTGGGGTCCATAGAGGTTAGGTGATTTGTTCTATGTTACATGGGTTAGGTATAAGTAGTAGAGATATCCTTTGAACCAAGATCTTCTGACTCCAGAGTCACAGCATGCTGAAGAGAAAAGGGCCCAAGACAGGTCCTTTGGGGATAACGATGGTCAAAGAGCCAAACATGAATGATGATCCAGAAAAAAGGAACCAATCTGATTATTCAGAAAGGTAAAACGAGAACCTGGAAAGGCTGGCATAGAACAATGGAGGGAGTGTGTGATATGCAGTTGGAGAATTTGATTCTGTGAGTGATAACTACTATTACTGTTCTTGCTGAGTAGGAAATAGGGTCACTGTATATGGTTCTATAAGAATGCTGCACTGACATATTGCTAATGCCTTAATACTGAGCTTGGGCAGCTTCAAGGTAGGTCCTTGAATCAAATCAGAAAACATCATCTTCTCCTTCTAAGGAAAGAACTCTGCTAAGGTTACACCTGAAATTTCATAGGCAGTTTTAGTCACTAAACTTTAAAAAGGGGTAATTCAGAGAAGAACTGGAATGATTAGACATTGGATAGATGTATGAACAACAGCCAGAGAAGGCTGCATGTGGTGGACAGAGCTGGCCTCAGAGGCAGGGTGACCCGTATTTAGGTCATGCCTGAGAGACAAACTGGTTGTGTAAGCCTGGGCACTAACTAATTCTCAGTGTCCCAGGCAATCATCTAAGACTCTTAAGTTTGTCGAAGAATTGTCAGATTTGTTTGTACTGGTAAGAATTTCCTCACAGGGAGCTCTTAACACTGACAAAATCTCAGAATTAGACTGAAAAAGAGCCGCAAGTAGCTACCAGGACAAACTGCTAACTTCAAAGATGATACCTATGTGCTTCCATGGGATACTTCTTGGACACAGAGTTGGATGGACCATCAATCTGACCTAATGTGGTATATGTATGCTCCAGAGTTCAGGGGCTGAGAAGAACTGGCCTGAGGAGGGGTGCTTCGTTCACTTTTGTAGGGCATTCCCCACTCAGGCACCAGCCCATCTCCACTCAACTTTCAAATGACCTTGTTTGAGGCAATGGGGCAAGGCACTTTATTCCACTTGCGGCCCCCCTCATCTAATCCACTGCCAAGGCTTATTTACCCACACCTCCAGGGTGACCTCAAACACTTGTGAGCCTATCACACTTCCAAGTAGGAAGCCTGGCCATTTGGTGCTGCCTACATACATTCCCCTTAAACAGGACAGTGAATAACTGCCACAGCCCAAAAGAGTGCGTAAACTTCTCAAACTTTAAAAACAGCAAAGGGACCATCATCTTCCCAAATTAGAATAAGGGAAGGAGCATTAAAGGGGGAAGTCACAGGAGGATGAGTATCCTTCCTCTGCAGACCCCATAAAGCGGGAGCCACTGTTAAGCACAGAGGTTCACACAACATCCTTGTGGGAAGGAACCTTGAGGAATTATCTAGTCCAGCCTCTTCCCTTTGTAGATGAGTAAACATATGCCGATGAAGGGAACAGCCAGGGAGCTGGGCCCAGAGATGAGGCAAGGCACCATCAGTCAGGGAATTATGAAGGCCTAGATTTGAATACCATCTCGGACCAGGTGGATTGATCTTGGGCTAGGCACTTAAATTCTCTCTCTCTTTTTTTTCTTTTTGGTGAAGCAATCAGGGTTAAGTGACTTGTGCAGGGTCACATAGCTAGTAAGTGTCAAGTGTCTGAGCCCAGATTTGAACTTAGGTCCTCCTGACTCCAAGGCTGGTGCTCTATCCATTGTATCACCTAGCTGCCTATAGGCACTTAAATTCTCAAAATCAGTTTCCTCACTTGTAAAGTAGGTAAAGTGGGGCAGCTAGGTGGCACAGAGGATAAAAGCAGTGGGTCTTGAGTCAGGAAGACCTGAGTTCAAATCCGGCCTCAGACACTTACTAGCTGTGTGACCCTAGGCAAATCACTTAACCCTGTTTGCCTCAGTTTGCTCATCTGAAAAATAAGCTAGAGAAGGAAATGGCAAATTACTCCAGTATCTTTGCCAAGAAAATCCCAAATGGGGTCACAAAGAGTCAGAAACAACTGAAGCGACTGAACAACAACAAAAATAGGGATAACACTTGTAGCACCATCTCACAGGGTTGGGGTTCATAGGGATCAAATGAGAATGTATAAAAAGTCCTTTGTAAATTTTAAAATCCTCCAGAGAATCAGGGCCTGAGAGCTGGAAGAGAATAGAGGTCATTTAGTCCAACTTCCTTATTTTACAGATGAAAAAACTGAGGCCCAGACAGATGAAGTAATTTGCCCAAGACCATACAAGCAGCAAGCAGGAGCAGTAGAATTTGAACCCACTTTGTATGGATCTGAATCCAGTCTTTTTACTACACCACCTTCATCATCACCTTCATCATCATCATCACCATCATCACCAGAGCCAAAAAACATCCCAATTGGCTCAGACAGCGTGGACATGTGCTGCCGCTGTTGGGAAGGCATCTCTTCCCTGATCTTCTACCTCAGGTGCTGGTAGAAGCCTTTCAGGCTGCTTACCATTTGGATCCTGGACCATCTGCTCTCTTTTCTCACGCGGCAGGCTATGCTCAGGTTTGTAGCCACAGCTTTGCCCAGTTAGCTTGAGGCATGCTTCTTCAAACAGTTTCTTGTGGTGTGGCCGGACAAACTGGTAAAATCCTGTTCAAAAAAGAAGCAACAGAGGCAGCAGGTGGTCACCATGTGGAAACTGGTCCCTGAATTAAGAAGCTAGTCAAGAGGCACCAATATAAGATCAGCACAGTATGAAAGACTAAGTTAGCTTTCTGAAAGGACATAGATAATTGGGAAAAGTCACATGACTCTACTTCATTGGAAAGTTTGGGCATTACTGGCCAACCATTTGGTTTAGATTAGCTTGGGTACGATTCTGTGGGTTGCCTGAACAGAGACTTAGATGGTTTCAGAAGAGCTGCATTATCAAAGGAGAATATTTAACTAGGAGAAAATGAAAAGTAGGGCAATATGGCAGGGCAGAACATTCTTAGAGCTAAGAAGTATGTTCCTGTTCAAATAAATATGCTAGTGAAGCCAATAAGGCAATATTTTTGTTAATGTTCAATTTTCTTTGGGATTTTCCAGCCCAGAAACATTTCTAGGAAGCAGTGATTCCCCCTGCCTTCAATATACTTTTCTCATTTGTTTATTACTTAACTGAATAACTGAATTATCAGAGAATTGAGCAGAGCAGTGTCACTGTCTCAGCCCATTCTCTCTCTGTGTCACACACTCTCTCTCTCTCTGTTTCTACCTCACTCGCAGTCTAACAGGCCTTCCCTGTGCCTCAAACATCATCAGCACTACCCTCTTGTTTTTCCCCAGTTGATGGCAGGTATGGATTCCTTAACTCCAAAAACAAAAAAGTAACCAAGCCCTACTGAAGTTGGTAACACTTTACCTACCCAGGAATCACTTGTATTTAATTGGAATTAAATTGTAAATTTAATTGTAAAATCTGTTATTTGGGTTCAAAATCACCTTTGCAAATATAAGATAGAAGAGGTATGGCTATATAGTGGTTCTTCAGAGAAGACCTAGAGGGCTGGAGTAGATTATAAACTCACTATGAATCCACAGTATGATCTGGAAGCCCAGAAGGCTAATGGGCTCTTGGGCTACATTAGGACAAAAGTAGCATAGTGTCCAAGATGAGGGGTGTTAGAGAGGTCTGCTGTCGTGTCTCCTGGTCAGAGCATATCTAGAGCACTGTATTGTTTAGTTTTGGTGTCACAATTTAACAAGGCCAACAACAAACTAGAGAGCTTCCAGAAGAAAGCAAGCATGATGATGAAGGAACTTGAGATCAGGATATAGGATCACATGAAAACACGATGAAGTCTCTGGGATATTTAACTGGAGAAAAGAAGACTGGGAGGGGTAGGCTATTTTTCTTCAAGTCTCTGATGGGGGGTCAAATACAAGTCGGATCAGACTTGCTCTCCCTGGCCGCAGAGGGCAGGACTAAGAACAATGGGTAGAAATTGCAAAAGACAACTTAACTTATTTAAGCTCAATCTGAGAAAACTTACTAAAAATGATGACTATCCTAGTGGAATGAGCTACCTTGGGAGCTAACAGGATCTTCCCTCCCTGGAGGGGGAACAAAAGGCTAAATGGCCATTTGTCAGGTCTATTGTCAAAGGGATTCTTATTTATGTATGGCTTGGACTAGATGTTCTCAGAAGTCCCTTCTAACCTGGATTCTGTGATCCTATCAATCTGGATTGTGGCAAAATATAGACTTGCTATGTGCTACCCTATAGTCCTGTCGAGTTTCATTCATGGTGCTTGTCAGAGAACACGTGGGGGTGTTAGAAGGGACTGACAGACAAGCCCAGGAGTAGGACAGGCACAGAACTACAGTACCTTGGAGCAAATGGTGCTTCTTTGGGTCCTCCGCAAACAGTGTGCTAATGTAAGTCATCATGCTGTGGAAGTCATCTGTCCCCTTATATTGCTGCAAGGTTCTGGTGAAGACGTCAAAGTTGGCCTGGCTCAGGGACTGCTTCACTGATAACATAAACAGCTTGGCTTTGCCTGCCTGCTCCATGGGGATAGATGCTTTCTTATCCTAGAAGAGAAATAAAGGCATAAGCATCTAGAAATTCCCACTGTTCACAGCAGGGAGAAACCTTTGCAGTCATTATAGTGATGGGAAAACTGAAGAGATTAGTGAGTTGACTTTCCTGAGGTCACACAGTAAAAGGGGATAAAATCAGGATAGTCCAAATTCCTAATTCAGAGCTTATTCAAACTACACTACCGAGGGGGAACTTGTAAAAAGATATAATTTATTCAACTTTTGTAAATAAAAATCAACCTCAAAACAAACTTCCCTTTCCTTCATCGAAAGTTGTGGGTGGGGCCAGGAGTAATAGTAATGCCAACTAGGCTTTAGAAAGAGTTCAGATGTATAATGTGGGAAATCAGAAAGGAAGGAATGTAGGAATGAAGAGGGCAAAAAGGAAAAATGTTCTTGGGGAACCTAAATCAGACTAAAGGATGGGTTAATGAAGGCATCGTGGAAGTGGATTTCAGGGAAAGCTATCACTTAGTTGGGAGTTTAAGCTGCAGAAAGAACTGCTTTGATCTGCAACTCAGCAATGAGAGACTAAGTATGTATTGGGGCTAAAGGTATAAGCCAGATGTCCTTGGCATTAAACTTAGAATAAAAGTTTATTAAGTTGGAAAAACATCAGTTGCTCATGGGTAGGCCAAGCTAATATAATACAAATGACAATTCTACCTAAACTAATTTATTTATTCAGTGCCATACCAATCAAACTACCAAAAAATTATTTTACAGAACTAGAAAAAATAATAACAAGATTCATTTGGAATAACAAAAGGTCTAGAATATCAAGGGAACTAATGAAAAGAAATGCAGAAGAAGGTGGCCTAGCCATTCCAGATCTTAAATTTTATTGTAAAGCAGCAATCATCAAAACTACTTGGTACTGGCTAAGAATAAAATGGTAGATCAGTGGAATAGGGTAAGTATGTAAGACACAGTAGTCAATGACTACAGTAACCTACTATTTGATAAACCAAAGACCCCAGCTTCTGGGATAAGAACTCACTATTTGACAAAAACTGCTGGGAAAACTGGCAAAGAGTATGGCAGAAACTAGGCATAGACCAAAATCTTATACCATACACCAAAATAAAGTCAAAACAGGTTCATGATTTAGATATAAAAGCTGATACTATAAGCAAAATGGGAGAGCAAGGAATAGTTTACCTGTCAGATTTATGGAGAATGGAAGAATTTATAACCAAACAGGAGAAAGATAACATTAAGAAATATGAAATGGATAATTTTGATTACATTAAACTGAAAAGTTTTGCACAAAGCCAATGCAACCAAGATTAGGAGGGAAGCAGAAAACTGGGAAAGAATTTTTACAACCAGTATCTCTGATAAGGGCCTCATTTCTAAAATATATAGAGAACCAAGAAGTCAAATTTATAAGAATACAAGTCATTCCCCAACTGATAAACGGTCAAAGGATATGAACAGGCAGTTCTCAGACAAAGAAATTAAAGCTATCTATAGTCACATGAAAAAAATGCTCTAAATCACTACTGATTAGAGAAATGCAAATCAAAACAACTCTGAGGTTTATCAGGTTACCCAACATGACAAAACAGGAAAATGATAAATGTTGGAGAAGATATGGGAAAACTGGAACACTAATGCACTGTTAGTGGAGTTGTGAACTGATCCCATCATTTTGGAGAGCAAGTTGGAACTATGTCCAAAGGACTATAAAAATGTGCATACCCTTTGACCCAGCAATAGCACTTCTAGGGCTATATACCCAAGAGATCATACAAATGGTAAAAGGACCACATGTACAGAAATATTTCAAGCAACTCTTTTTGTGGTGGCAAAGAACTGGAAAATGAAAGGATGCCCATCAATTGGGGAATGGCTGAACAAGTTGTGGTATATGACTGTGATAGAATACTACTGTGCTATAAAAAATGATGAGCAGGATGCTCTCAGAAAAACCTGGAAAGACTTAAACGAACTCTTACAAAGTAAAATGAGTAGAAACAAGGGAACATTGTACATAGGAACAATGATATTGTAAGATGACGAACTGTGAATGATTTAGCTATTTTTAGCAATACAATGATCCAAGACAACACTGAAGGACTTAGGATAAAAAATGCTATCCATCCCCAGACAAAGAACTGATGGTGCTGAACACAGATTGAAGCATATTTTTTTAAACTTTATTTTATTATTTTGGTCTATGTTTTCTTTTACAACATGATAAATATGGAAATATGTTTTACATGACTACACATGTATAACCTATATCAAACTGCTTGCCCTCTCAATGAGGGGTTATGAGGAGGGAGAAAGAGAATTTGGAACTCAAAACTTTTAAAAACAAATGTTAAAAATTGATGCTTAATGTTAATGTAAATGTTAAAGTTACATGTAATTGGGGGAAAATAAAATACTAAATAAACAGAAAAAAATTTTTTTTAAAGGTAAAAACAAAGAAGTGAGGAAAAGTGAGAGGTAGAATTATTTGTTCAAGATCACATAACTAGTAAGGAGCAGCACTAAGACTTAAACTCAAATTTTTTAAAAAGTATTATACCATGATGCATCATGGTGATTTATTTCTGCCCCATTCCCAGAGACCCAAACTGGACTTTAGAGAAAACATAACATTCAAAAGCAATGAACTGGGAAGTAAGACTTGTTCTCAAAGTGATTCTTCCCATAGTTATTCAGAGCTAACCAGAATTCAAGTCCAAAAAGGAAATGGAAAGAAGATTCCTTTGAGGCCTTCTTGAAAAGTATGGCCTTTCCTCAAAACTAGAATTCTTATGAATCTGGTCTTTGTTGTATTTCCCGAAGTCACCTCTCAGGGTCATTTCTCTCTAGCTCAATGATTTCCAGATAGAGAAACTCAGAACAGGGTTTCTATGTCAAATATCTCTTTGTCTAATGCCTGGGAAGTGGAGGCAGTTACTTAATTCCAATAAAAAACCTCTCTTCCCAGAAGCAAAGAGCTCAGACACACATAAGACTCAAAGTAGCAATAATCCTTGGGGATTTCCAACAGGGAAAAGCAGCATAAGGGAGTTCCTACATGATGTTTTTGACTAGATTCATCATAAGCCTTCCTGGTTCAAGCTGAAAGACACGAGGAAAAAAAATCACCATAAAACACTCTACAAACCAAGACCTTCTGTCAAAACATTGTAAAAAGACTGGAAACAATCAAAGGGATGAAAAATAATGCTGCCTGTGTGATGTGATCATGTTAGGTTTCTGGAAACGGAAAGAGCACCCACCTAAATATTATTTCAAGCCTGGACACACTTTGCAACTACTTGGAAAAGCAAAAGGTCAACTAGCATTGGGAGGAGGTCTTGTTTACAGCACTGTCACTGACTCAGTATCTTTCCAAGGACATGCCACTTCATCTCTTTTAAATCAGTCCAATATAAAGTTTGCGGTTTTTAGACCCTTCACAGGAACGAAGCAGCAGCAATCCCAAAGAGTTCTAGGAGCAACTGCTGCCTAGGAAACCTCATAAAGACTTTTTCTGCCAATTGTACAGTATTTTGTACATAGGATGTTCTTGTGTGTGTGTGTGTGTGTGTGTGTGTGTGTGTGTATGTGTATGTGTTTCATTAATAGCTTCATTTTATTCAAATGCCAAAACACAAGTTCCAAGGTACAAACTGTAGTTACACTGCATCAATCACAACGTTATAAACAACTTCTAAAACTTAACGCCAGTTGTTTTACTGTTGTCACTATATAATGTCTCCCGGTCCATTTCTGCAGGATTATTGTCAAAAGAATTAAAATCGGGGCAGCGAGGTGGCGCAGTGGATAGAGCACCGGCCCTGAAGTCAGGAGGACCTGAGTTCAAATCCAGCCTCAGACCAAACACTTGACACTTACTAGCTGTATGACCCTGGGCAAGTCACTTAACTCCAACTGCCTTTAAAAAAAAGAACTATAATCTACTTTAATTGTTCCACTCTACAAAATGGAAAATTATACAATAAAAGTAATACATGGAAGTTACAACACAGTATCAAGGACTTCCTGAAAATAACCATTATTGGGGAAACTAAGTAAGATACACAAATCTGACTTGGCAAATGTACATCTCTGTACCTATCCCATCCAGAGATAAAAATTTCACAACTCTCCTATTATCTAAGTCATGTAAAGCCATAATTAAATCAGCTACTCAGTACAAGATAAGGGCTTGTAATTAAACTGCAGAGCTTAGTGTTTTTTCTTCCTGACAAAATGTATGAGGAAAATCCTCATCTTTAGTAAGCAGACTAAACTAAGAAAATAAATGAATACCTAATTAAGTCAGTTTTAAATTCATTTTTTTTTAAAAGTTGAACTAGATATATAACAATAAAAGTTGCAGCAACATTTTAGCAGGAAGGGAAAAAAGCTGAAAAGGTATCTAAAGATTTTGATATTTTAAATTTTTTTTAAAAATCAAAAATCCTTTACTAGTTTCCTAAGTTTTCTGCTAAAGGACCAATTTTTTTTCATGTTCAAGTCCTCCAAGGGATTCAGTTTTGTTCCTCTTTGTTTTGCTGCAAGTCCAAAATCAACGATGACCAAGAAAAAGATGTATAACAAATGAGAGCAAATAACTTAGAAGTTATTTTTGTATGAACAAATTCACCACTGATGACAGAAAAAAACTTTCTTACAAAGTTAGAAGGAAATAAGAGGTTAGACAAATATCCAGCACCAAAAATCTGATGCACACTAGCTCTTTAGAATGTAATTGCACAACATTAAAAGTATTTTATTTAAAATTTAAATATACCTACACGCTGTATTCCTCATTTGTTTTTTTTTTCTGTGGGAAATTTACCAAGATTCCAATTCCATCTCCTTTTACATTGCACTGAAGTACATCTCAAATGGCCAATAAATCAGATTGGCCAATAAGCAAAATGGCTTTTATATTGAAATTAACTGGTAAGTTGGTGTCATGAATTAGCAAAGCAGCCTAAGGATATAACTAAACATCATCAAAATTCAGTAATCTTGGGTACTTTTCCATTACTAATATGTCACCATTAGTATGCATTTCAATTTCAAAGTTGGATAAAGAAAAATAAATATAATAAATAACAAGTTGGATCTCTTTAAGAAACAAATGTAGATGAACTAATGATATATCAACTCAGTTTTTAGGGAAATTTACTTTTTCCATTTGTAGAGTAACATTATTGTAAAATTCATTAGTTACTGGCAACACCTACATTGCTTAACATAAACACTTCAGAATTTTATTAAAGCATATTTTAAACAACTGAACCAAAAATGTATATTTTATTTTTGAACACTGTGCCATTAATGTCCACATAATGTCCACTGCATAAAAACAATGTGAAGTTACAATAACATCCATGATCTGATTCTTATCCTAAAGGCTTCTGACCATGTATAATATCCAGGATAGATCCGATGCCTTTAACGTCAGACTGTAAAGCCCGCTAATGATCTTAAAATAAAAGGGAGTGATTTTGATGGGATAAAGGTTTAACATCATTTAACTCTTTGCAGCATCTGCTTGCCGAGGCCATCCTTCCTCCAACTCAAGTCATGATCCTCTTCAGATGACTCTTTAGTTGGAGCCCTATTGTATCCTGGTTCTTTCCTTCCTTCTACAACTTCTTTGTCAACTGTCACATGTACAATGTCAGAATTTGGCACTGTAAACATTGGTTCTAGCAACAGCTTTTCCATGATAGATCAAAGGCTCCTTGTACCAGTCTTCATCTTCGGTAACATCAAGCTTACATTTGTCCATGCTGAATAATGCCTGGTACTGGGCACAACTGTATTATGTGGTTCAATAAGAATCTATATAAGTGTTTTTTCATCTAAGCTATGCAAGGGAACCATCATGGGTAACCATCCCACAAACTCTGGAATCATGCCAAATCCAATGTGATCTCTGGCTTCCACATTGCATAATAAACAATCTTTTTCTTCAATGGCCTGGTGAGCATTTCATTCCCCACTTCAGTTGGCAAGATCTGCTGCTGCAGGCCTCCCGCCTTTTCCTAAATTAGCTTGTGTTCCAAATCCAAGATACTTCTCATTTTTCTTCCTGCTTATTATTCCATTTAAACTATTAAAAGCACCAGATGCAACAAACAGTATTTTTGTTGTATCAACTTGCACTGTTTTTCTATGAAGTTTAAAGGAATTCTGTTCTGGAACAACGACTATTGTATCTTCTAACAGTTTTAACAAATTTTGCCGAACGCCTTCTCCACCTACGTCCCATAACTGATGAATGCCTGGCTCACTGCTAATCTCATCTACTTTATCCAGAAAGACAATTCCTTGTTGTGCTTTTTCTACATTATAACTGGCATCTTGCAGCAATTTGGCAATCACAGATTCAATATCTTCATCTACATATCCTGCCTGAGTCAAGATAGTAGAGAGAGCGAAAGGTACATCAAAGCATTTGGCTAGAGTTTGGGCCAGCAACGTTTTACCCGATCCAGTTGGCCCCAGCAACAAAGTATTACTTTTGTGAAGCTTTATGTCATCATGGGTAGAATCTAGGACTTCACCTCCCTGTTTCTCCTGAGGTATTTGTTGATTCGCTTGTTGCTGCATTGATGCTCTTAGAGTATTATCATGTGGACTAATTCCAGCAATCTGAAGCAGTTTTGCACATCCTATACTCATTCTCCCGTCTTCTTATTTCAAAGGAGTTAATTTCTTAGGAGTTAATGGTGTCTGCTTCGCAGCTTCTGCTTGCTGCCTCAGGTTGGCTGGGATATTATTATAAACTCTCTTGTAATAACTGTACACAGCAAGTGAAAGCAACTTCTTGGCAAACGAGTGACCAATAGCAGTTTGTTGAGGTAGTTATACATCTTTTTGGGTGGAGAAGGTGGTTTCTGTCGGAATGCCAATTTAAAGCTTCTGCTGCTGATTCAGGCTCTTGAATGATGCTTTTCTTTGAGTCCACTTCAGATGGCACAACAAGAGCAACAACAAAACATTTTTTTCACACTTCACAAATTGGGTGTAACACATGAAAGTCTCCACATGTGCGCACAGATCACCACATTTTGGACATTTTGGTTTCCTCCTTTCCCAGAACTCCCAGAGCCTGATTTTTTTACTGCCTTCCTCATCACTGGTTTCTTATTTCCATCTGCTGAACCATCCTTGCTAGTCCCATCTTTTGGTGTTTCTGAAAAAGTCCTAAAAGGAGTTCTTCAAAGAATCTGTTTCAAAGATCTCCTGCCTTCCTAAAACTGAGAAGTGACTTCATCCACAAGCAACACCTCTCTGCTCAGAGATCAGCAAGGTGATGAGTCAAGTGGCTGTGCAGGTACAAGCGCAGCAGCTGGATATGTCCGCCGGGCCTAGGTTGGTGCTTCCTGGCCTTAGCTGCTTTCCCTGCATAGCCATCCACTTGGGCTCGGCTCCGGTCACCCTCACCTGCCCTGGGTTCGATGCAGAGCCCGCTCACCTTGTTACGAGGCTGAGCTGTTCTTCATGCCTCGCAGCCTCTGGCTCCATCAGGCAGATATCTAACCACACCCCTCCACAGCACTCTTCCCTTCCTCCCCTCCACCGCTCCCTGACCCCACATAGTATGTTCTTAATAACTGTTAAGTTAAAAAAAAAAAACAAACACCATGCAGAAGAAAGTTCACAAGGGGATACAGACAAGCAGAGCAGTTTTGAAAATTAGCATGTTAAATTTAACATTATACTTTAATAAAAAAAGGAAATTTTTAAAAAAGGCTTATTGTCTCCCCAGTGACTTCTACAGGAGACTCTCCTTTGCCATTAGCCAAGGAATTTTTCCTGCAAAGACTTCACTCATGGGATTTATGACTCATTCCCTTTCTTGGCTTCTAGAGTACCCCTCCCAACCACTGTCCCCTGCAGGAAAGCATAAACTGCAAGCTGCACAAACTTGGGAGTCCGTATCAAGCCCTTCTCTATCGTAAGCTTAAATAATGAAGGTTGACAATATATTAGAAACAATCTATAAACTATCCTTAAAACCAGATTTGTTAAAGTTTAATTTTAGAATATTACACAATTGTATACAACTTATCCTTAATGCGAATGAAGAAAATGCCACCAGTGACATTCAGACAAACTGTGTCCTTCAGCAAAACTGAAGTCCTTATTAGCCAGGAGAAGGAAATTTAAGTTGTCTTTAAATCCATGAGATTTTTCCTCTCACAGCTATAGACTAGATCAGGGACCCTCTAGGTCCTCAACTGCAGCCCTCTGACTGAAACCAAACTTCATAGAACAAATCCCCTTAATAAAAGAATTTGTTCTATAAAATGTGGACTCTGTCAAAAGGCCATACCCAAGGACCTAGAGGACCACATGTGGCCTTGAGACTGCTGGTTCCCCACCGTTGGACTACAGCATTAAATTTTAAGAGTTTAAAAATTGCAAGCCTCTATGAAGACCCTGCATTTACTCTGCCCAGAAGAAGACTCGGGTGCAAGCCACGCACAAAATTGAAAAGTAGAGTTATGTGGGCCAATGCTACTTAGGGAGCTTGACACATGCCTCAGTTTCTCCCAGGCCCTTCTTATTTCATGCCACAGATATGGCCAGCTTCTCTAGGGAGCTTCTGGTCCTTTGGAATACTCTCCTTCCTACTCATCCCTGCTTTCATCCCCAGGCTGAGAAGAGAGGCTTATTTCTTAGTTCTCTTTTCCCAGAGAATCAGAATCCTTTTTTAATTTTTTTTTTAAACTCAGACCTCAAAAAGTCTGCTGCTCAGCATCAGGTTAAAAACCTACTTCTTAATGTACTTGAGAGAACCCTGATTTGCTCCACAGAAATTCCTTGATGTCAGCTGATATCTCTCCTGTGCACATAGTACTCTATTCAGATTGACTGAGCTTCCCTCTACTCTCATGACTTCTTCACTAACTGTCCTTGTGGCTCCTGACTTAGTTTGAATTAGTTTTCCTTTTCAGGTTCCAAACCCTTTACACAGCTACTTCCATCAACATCACTACCTCCCTATTCCTTTGTTAGGTCACTCCCTATCCTTCCAGCACTGATTTGGGTTCTTAATCTCTCCTCCGACAATAACACGTAGAAAGATGGGATATAACCAAACCACATTTCAATTCTTCTAGTCATGAATTTGGGGAATGGATTGTGGTTTTTGTTTTTATTAGTACAGGAGGCACAATACCTGGTTGCTAACAATTCTGATTTTCTTCTTTCCTCCTTTTTGCTCATCTGTTAATGTCTTCTCATATTGTAAGGATAGGGTAGAGAGACGCTGAGCCTGTAGAGAAAAGAAAATCATTTTTAGTTCAACCCAAAAGGGATGGAAGGGATACCCTAGAAACCCACAGGAGGATAGGATAAGAAACCAGAACTCAAAAGATTAATCAGTTGAACATAGGAGTTATTGACCATTTATTCTGAACAAGGATCTGAGATAGCCCCAGGTAATAACAACAGGTCCCAGAATCCCTTGACAACATAAGACATTGATCCAGAAGTCCCTAAACAGAAGCAGGTTTGTCACTGTCCTGGTAGGCCCACTGGAGGGAATAACTGTGCTCCTCTATTATGGGTGCATGCTAAGTACCCCTGTGTACTGTTTAACTAAGACAAAAATGAATTTCTGGATGTGATATGCAAATGTCACTTTGAGAGGGTACAGACTATATGACCTATACTTGACTGACAGCAACAGAACACGGGAAATACTAGAAGGCTGGAAGTTTGATCCTAAGAGTCATGTAAATCTTCAGGGATTTTAAAACAGTCAAGAGAGAAAAAATGAAGAGGGAAAAAGACTGAGAAAGATATAGCTTTAACCTGGAGCTCAGCTCAGTTCTTAGGGAGAATTGAGACTAAAATTTTTGTCTCAAACCATTTCATCCCAAGTGAAGATGGTTTCTTGACTGAGAACCTACATCAAAGATCTATAGACATCTTGAAGGTCTCTTACACTGAGCAAAGCAGGTCTGGAAGGCAGAGAGGGAGCTGCTTTAGGTGGCTTAGGAGGGAAGAAAGGGACAAAAGCAGACAAAAGATGGAGAATGCAGTCACTATGATGAAGTCTAAAGAGAAGAAACCCTTCAGTCCTTTGAGCAATAGCAGCAGAAGTGGCCAAAGATGACCTTGGAAGCCTTCTTTATAATGGCACTCTTGGTAGTTTCATCACTCACAGATACTAATGTCTCAAAGTCTGTAATGGTTTGGGAAGAGCTGATGTTCCTGCTTCTGAATGGACTAAGGCTATGGACCAAAAGTTTACACAACTACTCCACCGATGGCTTACAATGGAAGGTTTAAGGTAGGATAAGGCAAGACAGAGAGGAAGGAGAAATTAGTTAATTCCTAATGCACCTGATTAAACCTAGTCAATTAGCAGTACCTTTTCTTCTCCTGGAAGTGTGTTGGTCTCATCAATTTCACTTTTGTTCTCACTACGGTCCAATGCGGCCAGCAAACCTCTGGGCTTCCTCTGCGGGGAAACTAGTTCCTGTTCATACTCTCCCCATAGGCTGGCTTCACTGTTTCCACTGTCCAGCGATCCTGGGGAAATAGATGGGGGTAAGGGCAGTAGCTCTTCACGACATCACAAAAATCATCGTTTTGCCTAAGCCAGACTCTGGGAGGCAGGAAAGTCAAGTTTATTTGTTGACTCAGGCTTAAAGTAGGCAGATCCTTTACCTTCTAAGTATACCAACTTTTCCATGTGTAAAAACCCAGTACACTGAAAGCAGAAAGAAAGTAGGTTGTTTTTAATGCTTATTTGAATCACCTGCCAGTTGCAGAACATTAAGTCATCTAGGGTGCTGGGCATGTGAAGAAAACACTACATTTGGTTCCTAAGAGATATGGCCTCTTCCTCTTTCCCTCCTCACTGAACTATGAAGACCAAAGAGTAGATACCCACCTGTACACTTCCTTTTCAGGCTAGGAACATGTACATCCAGGCTCTTGGCTTTCTTAGATGAGAGGAATAGGCTGAATGAAGAAGTGGAGGCTGCAGCAGCAACCTCTCCCCCACAGGGGCTCTGGGGAACCCGTGGGATAGGAACAGGCATCTGTTTAGGAGGGAAAGACTACCCATTAAAGAGAGGTAAGTGTTTTGCTTTTGGGAGAAAACTTCTGCCCAGATCAGACTCATATAACTGAGTCAGGAGAAAAGCATTTCCTGGCTGAGTAGCTATCTCCCCCTCACTGGCTACTAGAAACAGGATAGCACTCTTTGTAGGATGGATCAACCTATCCTCCCTTCCCTGGACAAGCTCTAACGTCTCCATCTGGGTGGAGCTGGGATACTTACAATTTTCTGAGCAACTCGAAAAAACTGGGCAGCATCACGGATAATATGGCCAAAGTTGTCATAGACCTTGACGTAAGGGCGCACCCAGGAGGGCAGCTGGGCTCTGGCATCATTGTTAGTGAACCTCGGAGAAAGAGGATATGTACATTTTGCATCCTCTCAAGATGGCTTTAACCCAGTTGTCTACATCTTTCAGCCCTTCAAACCTAGTTTGGGCCCTATCTATGTTGACAGGAGATACTAAGAATGAAATCCACATACCCTCCTCATAGTGAGATAGAATCCAAGAAAATATGAAGATGTACTCATCAGTCCTAAAGCCCAGAGTCTTGAACACAGTAACCACTCATATATTCAGTGCCAAATGAATAAATAAACAGAAGTTCATCTGCAACAAACATAATTAGGTTGAGGTGCTAAAGAGGTAAGGTAAGCTCCGGGGCAGTTTTTACAACTAGAGACGATGGACATGTTTTCATTGTCATCTGATGGGGATTAGCATACATTCAAGTTCCAACTTCTAGTATTTGGAGCAATTTCCAAAGTGATGGGACTGAAGGCAGATGACCATGGGTTCAGATATGAGTGAAGAACACTCTTTAAAATACTTTGTCATTGAAAGGGAGGAAACAGCTGGTGGTGATCAAGAGAAGATTAATTTTTGTTTTGCTTTCAATAAAGTCAGGAAAGATCTAACTAAGCATGTTTCTAAATGAAGGGGAAGGAGCCACCGGAGAGGGAAAGATTAAAGATGGAAGAGGTGTGGAAAGAATGATTAATTAAGCATGGTGGCATGGTGGATAGAGTGCTGGGCTTAGAGTCAGGAAGACTCATCTTCTTGAGTTCAAATCCAGCTTCAGATACTTACTAGCTATGTGACTCAGGGTAAGTCACTTAAGCTTACTGGTGTCAGTTTTCTCATTAGTAAAACAAGCTGGAAAATGAAATGGCAAACCACTCCAGTACCTTTGACTAAAAAACCCCAGATGAGATCATAAAGAGGCAGACATGACTGATATGACTGAACAACAACAAATTTGATAAAAGAGAGTGGATGAGAATATTAATGATTTACACCCCAAGATGGACAAATTGATTTCCTCACAAGAACCCATGAGAGAGGTATTACAAGCACTATTATCCTGATTTTAAGACAAAAAAACCAAACAAACAAACAAACAAACAAAACTGAGGCTCACAGAGATTCAATGACCCACAATTATTCTCCGGAGTAGAAGGCAGAACTGGTATCAGACATGTGGAGAGAACATGGCTTCTGACTCCATGTCCACTGCTCTTTTGAATATATCATTCAGTCTTTCAGCACAGGGGTGATTGAGGTGAGGAAGGAAACAGGTATTTATCAAGCACCTACTATGTGCCGGGCACTGTGTTAAGTGTTTCACAATTATTATATCATTTGATCCTCATAACAACCCTGTAAAATAGATGCTATTATTATCCCTATTTTACAGTTGTGGAAATTGAGACACATAGAGGTTAAATGAGTTACCCAGGTTACGCAGCTAGTAAGTAAGAGGCCACGTTTGAACTCAAGTCTTCTTGACTCCAAGTCCAATGTTCAATCAATTAAGCAATCAACATTTATCAAATATGTACTATGTGCCAGATATTGTGCTAAGCACCCGGAATACAAAAAAAGCAAAAGACAGTCCCTGCCCTCAAGGAGCTTACAATCTAACTGGGGAGACAACATGCAAACAAATATATACAAAGTAAGCTATATAGAGAATAGGAAATAATTAATAGATGGAAGGCATTAGAATTAAGAGAGGTTGGGGAAGGCTTCAAGTAAGAGATGGGATTTTAAGGAAACCTGGGAAGTCAGCAGGCAGAGATGAAGAGAGACAGTGTTCCAGGCACAGGGGAAATGCCAGGAGCTGAGAGATAGGCTCTCTTGCACTGGGAACATGCAGGAGGCCAGTGTGACTAGCTTCATGTGAGGGCAGAAGAATAAGGTGTAAGAAGGTGGGAAAGGTGTCACTTGGCTGTTTGATCTAGCATGGACCAAAGGCAAGAGGGGAAGACATTAACCTTGGCAAGGAAGAAAGCAACCTTCTCCTCTAGAGAAGTATTAAAGAGGGTGAAGGAGACTTCAGGCAGCTCACATCAGACAGCTATGCTCTTCTCAGCGAACGAACTAAGAGCATCTGCTCAGAGCGTGTGAGCTGGGATAGAGCATTATGAGTAGGAGGATTGAAAAGAGAGGAAATAACTGGAATAACTGCTCTACAGGACTTGATGAGAAAAATAGCTAGGCAACTATGAGTGTCCAGTAGAAGTCAGGCTGCATGAATTTACAATTAGGATGATCAGTAGAGTAAGAAGTACAGAAATCAAGAAGGTAAGGGATCCTATGATTGTGGCTGACCTAGGACTATTGGCAAGTGAACTGAAGATGGAAAATGACCAACTGGGAGAATAGGGGGTAACTGAAGGACCAGATGTCATATCAAAGAAGAGGTTCAATAGCAATAAGAACAAGAGAAGAAGAAATACAGGAGACTGTAGTGACAGAAAATATCTGTACAGTTCAGTATCCTGGAGGTGATGCAGTTTCAGGTGATGGTGCTTGTTAAGCTGTGGTCACATAGGTATGTGGCTTATGTGTAGAGACGGAGGTCACTGGACTCAAACGGGTCCAGGAATAATAAGGGCAGGATGTTACAAGGGTCATCAACATGTATATATACCAAACATACATATGTCAAAGTTACTAAGGAAGATGGTGGGTAACGGGAAGATTAATACTTTCTTGGATCTACGGTTTCATCAATGTAGGTATTACATCTAACAGTGTAGACTGTGCGCTATGTATGCATTCTCATTCTGTATGACTCCATTTCAAATCCTCCCATAATCTTCCACAGGCAGTACAAGAGGCCTTCTTCTGGGTGTTCTGACATTACACGGGTTCCAATGGAGAATGCAGGTCATCCACCGCTTATATCTTAACTCTCGTAACATGACAGGCTTATCATTTTTTCTCATCATCTCTGTGGTATTTTTAAACAACCTCCTAAGTAGCCTTCGTCACTGATAATATATTGTAGTCTATTCACAATGACCAGGAACCTTTCCACTGCTCTTTAGGTGACCTTTAACTTTACATAATAAGGTTAATGTTATGTCTGCTGTGGTAACTCCCTACTGACTGATCATGAGGAATTTATGAAAGCTGAGCCTGTGGTCAACTCTGGAGAATAGCCTAAAGAAAACAAAGGCACACAGTACCAACCAACACAGCCACACCATGTTAGAGTCACCACTCAAATAAAAACATCTCAGTTCCTTTACAGGAAATGAACCAGTAGATGGATCAGTTGAGATTTAGTTACCTTGCTAGAAAAACAGGATGGGGATACATGGAGTCCCAACATATACAGAATTCTCTGACATCTCCTGTGGTCATATCCAGATTGTTCAGGGTAAGTAAGCAATACTTGAAATCACATCTCTCTTGGGCTACTTCTGGTCAGTCACTTAATTTCCTTGAGACAGATAAGTGTGGATTTCTATGGTCTTCCTTAGTGTCTGGTATCTTACAAATTTAATCAAAAGAACATTAAAATAAAAAAGGAAGTAGAAAACTCCCTATGTGTATCCACCAGCCAAGATGTCATAGAGGATAGCTACAATGAAGGAAATATCAGTTGAGACATCCAGAAGTTCACAGGAGACAAACCCACAGTCTCAAATGTCTACACACAAATATACAAAGTTTAGGCAACGAGAAGTCCTAATCCAATTAGACAAAATTGACATCAAAAGTATGGGTGAGACTGGGCAGGATGAAACCTATGATTATGATGGCTTTGAGTGGGTATATCTTATTTTTAAAAAAAGACAGATAAGACGTAGCATTGTATATTAAAACAATATTCTCATGTGAGGAAATCCAGCAACTAGACAGGGGAAACACGGTGGAGAAAATTTGCTTGAAAATCAATGGAGAGCGAATCAGAAGCAATTTTGTCACAGACCATACGAACAGAAAGGAGAAACAGATGAGGAGTTGAGGATATAAATTACAAAGACATGATAAAGTAGTGATGGAGGATTTAAATTACCCAGGTATCTTCTGGAGCTCTTTCTGTGCCAAAAGCAGAGCAGCTAAAAACTTTCTGGCTTGCCTTAGTAATAATTACATCTTTTTAAAAGATAAAGGAATAAATGAGGGGTAATTCTATTCTGGATACCATTCTCACTAACAGAGAGGAAGTGATTGCTGGAGTGAAAATGATAGGAATCTTAGGGGGCCCAGTAACTCCTCTCCCTCCCAGAGTTTGTGACAAAGGAAAGGCAAGCTAGGCATAAGCTCTCACACATCTTAAATTTTGGTAGAGTAGATTTCAAAGGGTAGAAAAGATGTCATGGACTAAATTCTATAGGGGAAGTCAAACCAGGACAGATGGAAAATTCTAAAGAATAAAATTGTGAAGACAAGAAGAGAAACAATTATGATTAGGAGGGAAAAGATAGGAGTTATCTGAAAAGAATGACATGGATACATAAGAAACTTAGATGCAAGCACAGGCAGGTAACAAGATCAACACTGTATAACGAGCTGAGGCTAATGAAAAAAGCTGAAGGCAAAGAAAAGTGTTGTTTTTTTTAGTTTGTTTTTGTTTTTTTTAAACTGTAAGGTAGGGAAGAGAAGGACCAAAGATAGGATGGTTATGCTGCTTGGGATAGATGGAAGGAGAAATAACAAAAGGGATTAATTCAAGAGTGGGCAGAGCTGGGAACAAAAAAAATTTTTTTTGGCCTCTTTTCTCCTAAGAAAGTGAATGACCTTTGGACTGGAAATGACAACAAAAATGACTAAAAATGGGAGTTTATACCCAAGATAAATAATGACATAGTTAAGAGCTGCCTTTGGTCAATTCAAGTCACTGAATCCAAGTGAACCACATCCTTGGATACTGACAAAACTGGCAAGTGTGACTGCTGACCCACTTTCAGTGATATATAAAATACAGTGGGAAATGGGAAAGGTACAGAGGAGTCAAAATGGGGAAATATTTTCCCAATTAAAAAAAAAGGAATTGAATAGAGTCTACAACATATAGGCCAGTAGGTTTGACTTAGAATCTTGAGAAAATTCTACAATCAATTAAAGAGAAGGTGAAAGAAAACCCAGAAAGGGAAATGTTAGGATGAGTCCATCAAGAACAGGTCATGACAGACAAACTTTATTTCCTTTTCTAACAGTTACCAAATTTCTGGATCCTAGGGATCCTATAAAGAGTTTAACTAGGTTTTAGGAAAGTATTAGAACATAAGCATAAGAACAGTTAGTTAATAAGCATTTATTAAGAACTACTACTACTACTAAACATTTATTAAAGGTACTGTGCTAAGCTCAGGATACAAAAAGAGATAAGACAAGGAGATGCTTGCTAACAAGTATCTTTCTACTGTTCTCATGAGAAAGATAGAAATATGTGGACTAGACAATGATTAGGAGTCATGTAATGTCATGTACTGAAAGCTACACTCAGCATGGGTTGAATGGCTGAACTAAAGGAAGAGTTGTCAATTGTTCAATGCTAGTGTAGAACTCTTGGGAACTCCCAAGGGATTTGTTTGACTCTTTTGTCCAAGATAGGGGTGGGGAACCTGCGGCCTCAAGCCCCCCTGCCCACCCCGAACCAAGACTTAAAGGCATAGAGTGCATGCTTATCAGCTTTTCAGGTGACACAACACTGGAAGGGAGAGGTAACACTGGATCACTCTCATGATCCAAAAAGAACATTGAACTGACTCTAAGAAGAAATTCAAAAGGTCTTACAGTTGGGTTAAAAATAAAGTCAGTTTCAGAAACAGAGAATGAGGAACACATGACCAGAAAGTAGTTTGTCCAAAAAATATCTGGGAGATTAGCGGACGTCAGGCTCAATGAGTGCTCAATGAGTCACCAGTGGGATGTAGCCAAAAAAAACCTAATGCAATCTGGGACTCAAGAGGCCTGACTTTCAGGAAAAAGGAAATGACAATATCCCTGTTCTGTGCTCCAGTCAGGCTACATGTGAACACTGTGTTTAGTTCCAGGTAACATAGTTTTAGGAGGATGTTGATAAGCTGGACAGGGTCAAAAGGAGGGCAAACAAGATGATGTAGGGCTTTGAGTCTAACCTATATGTCAATTAGTCAAAAAACTAAAGATATTTAATCTTGAGAAGAAAAGGCTCAGTAGAGCCATAAGAGCTGCCTTCAAGTATCTGAGAAGCTGTTCAGAGGAAGAATGAGAATTATTTTCTTTGGCCCCAGAGGGCACAATCAAGGGCCATGGGCTGAAAGAAACAAAATGCAATTTTAAGCTTGACACCAGGAAACCTTCCTAACAATTAGAGCTAACCAAAAGTGGAATGGATTGCCTTAAAGAGATAGTGAATTTCCCCTTCCTGGAGTTATGCAAACTGGGCCTAGAGAAGCCTTCTTTGGGTATAGATTAAACTGGATAGCTTTGGGAAATCTCTTCCAATTCTAAAATGCTGTGATCTCCTTCATTTTTTAACTAAGGAAGCTAAGTCACAGAGAGAGATAATGATTTGTCCAATACTACCCACTAAAATAGGAAGCTGGAAATCCATATTAAAGGACAAAATAAAAATAAGCCAGGTACATCTTCACATAGTCTATCATTCTCCCCAATCACACCCACAGACAAAAAATAAGAAATGACACAAATTCTGCTATAGAACTAGAAATGAGGATAGGCATTTTTGGAGAAAATAACTACAAAGAACTTTGAAAACATTACTCTTTTTTTTTTTGCTTGTGAAAGTACATGTGTTTAAGAATTTCTATTTATTTTCTTATCAGTTTCACGGTGATTAATTGCTATTTTACATTTTTCTCAAGAATGTAAAAGAATCAGTGAATATAGTCTCAAGTTTAAAATGTTATGATTGGGGGCAGCTAGGTGGTGCAGTGGATAGAGCACTGGCCCTGGAGTCAGGAGGAACTGAGTTCAAATTCGACCTCAGATATTTGATGCTTACTAGCTGTGTGACCCTGGGCAAGTCACTTAACCCCACTGCCTAGCCAAAAAAGAGTTATGAATGTATATGTATTTTTAAAAATTAAATATTGATCTAATAGGCAAATTAAATTTAATTTACTCTGAGCTTGTCCTGCAAATCTGAACTGTTAGGCTTAGTTTTATTTGATTTAGATGAAGCAGAGCATAAAAGGAAGCAGCTGACTCAATGGATCTCTTCATACTAACCCAGTTTGAAGAAGATTCTTTTTAAAATGTATATTGAAAAATCATATATTCTCACATGATTCACTTCATGATTCACATATCATTTTAAATTGGTGTTTCATTTACCACAATAATTGTTGCATTTGCAAAAACTTTTAACTATTTCTATGGATATTTATTTTGGCCCAATTTGGATAATTAAAATTAGCCTAACAATTACAGAAAAAAATTGAACTGCAAAAACTAATCTGTTAATGATTATTATTCATTTATAAAATGTTTTTAAAAAAAATTGTTAAAATACCACTAAACTTGTGGCCTTGTCTGAATACAGAACTGAGAGTGAGAAACTCCTGGGTTCAATGCTGTTTAGGCTGATCCTGGGAAGTTCAACTTCAATGAATATTTTTTAAATTCCCTACTATTTGCAGAGGGCTGTGGTAGATAAAACATAAATATCAAATAGTCCCCTTTCTGGAATTTGAAAATTTAAATCATGACACACACTTAACCAACAGAAATCGAGAGGCAACCTGGTGCAATGGAAAGATTTTTGGATTTGTAACAGGACGACCTGGGTTTGAATTCTGGCTCTGTTACTTACTGCGTGACTTTAGGCCAGTCACTTAACTTTTCTGGGCCTTAGTTTCCTTATCTGTAAAATGAGGGGATTGGACTAGATGACTTCTAAAGTCCCTCCCAACTCTATCATCTTATGATGCCATCTATGGCCCAGGAGAGGCCCTTACAGACAGACAGCTCTCTTTGCTCCAGAAAGGCAGGCACTCCACCTTCTGCAAACATTATACAACACCTGTGATCACAGAGGAAAATAGCCCCAAAGTCCTGGCGATGTCGGATGACTCTGCCGATGGCTTGATTGACCGCCCGGGAGGCTTGCTGCCGGTACCACTCATGCCCAGATAAAAACTAGACCAGATGCAAAAGAAGTCAGTGAGGTTGTAGCCCGTTGTCTCGGGCTGTCTGCCACCCTAAAGCCTAGTACTCCAGATGGTCACAACTCCTTTCAAAGTCATGAAACTATTCTGGAACCTTTGAGGGAAGTTCCACGTCATCACCACTGCCAATGATTAGTCATCAAGAGATGACTCTGTTCTGCCACTCACTAACCTCGTAACCTCTGCCAAATCACTTTACTTTTCTGATCGTGCAGTGCTTTATATGTAAAACGATGAAAATAACACTATATGCCCTGGATTGTTGTGAAGATTAAATAGAAAAACAGATATGAAAAGTGCTGTGTAAACTGTAAAGCCCTACACAAAAATATCACATTATTATTTGTCAGGGTGTGACATTATATAAAAGCACTTTGTGAACCTTAAAGCAATATATATGTCAGCTTTATTATTAATATGTGTATTAACCTCTCCCATCCAACTCATTTTCCCTGAGGATTTCTTGTTATACTCATGCCATTACTCATCTTACGTAGGATAGGGACTTAGCTCAAAGGCTGATGAAGAAATAATGCCCTTCAAAGACACCTAAACAAATATGGGAAATGCAGACAACCCATTATCTCAGATCAACCAAGGGTAGGGCCCCTGTAGTTGTTGGTATCCGCCTTCATTTACATTCACTTTGGATATCTGCCCACCCCACCATACCCTTTCTTTACTCCGTGCTCAGGGTGTGGAATAGGCAACCTCAGGACATTGGTGATACCTGTGCAATGTATCACCATTATTCCAGACACAAAGAATGTGAAGAAGTCTGTCTTTGTGTAGGCAGGGGAAAGCAAAGAAGAATGGGCTCTCACTTCTTACCTGGCCCCCTGTGCCACCTCTTCCTCTCATCTCATCAAGGAACTGCATCTTCAAAATGACTCTGGGATCCATTCGTGGAGGAAATGGGAGACCAGTGATGATGACTCCACGGCCATTCATATCTGCAAAGTCTAAGCCTTCACTAGCCTGCAGGATAAAATTATGGCAGAAGTTTGAGGAGGTCTTTATTGCAAAGATAAATCTACACGGCGGGGTAACATACAGGTGATACTGTCTGTACCAGGGAGGCCCTAGGCATAGCCCAATGTGACTTAGTACCAGAGGCAAGATTCAGCTTCCAGTGTACTTGGAGACCAAGAGAGGAAGGCTGAGCTCTGTATAGGGTTGCAAACAAAGCTGGGTATAGACCCATGGAGCCTAGGAGTTTTTCTCAAGGTATAAGAACCCAGGCTTATACATGAGAGTCTAATGTAGTAGACTGGAGATAAGAAGAGCATGTAATTTGGTATTTAGTAATTTTTTGTGTAGAAGCACCTTTACATGGTACAAGTGCAGATTCTTACCTTTCCCCGGCACACAGCCATGAAAGCAGCCCCATTTGATTTGGGACAGACAATTTTCTCATAATAAGCATCAATAACCTAAAAGAGATCAGATGGGACGTCAGCCCTGATCCTCCTTTCCAGTGAGATTGCAAACAGATGAACATACAACCCAAGGAAACAGGGATGAGTTGTCAGATTTTAGAGAGGTCTTATTCATGGCACAGTTTCAAGATGTTTCTTGAGCAATTTCAATTAAAGAGAATGGAGACATTTATGTGGCTTAAAAAAAAAAAAAAACAAGCAAACCACTCATTACTTTAGGCTACAGGGTAGGATCATAAAAAGAATAAACCTTCTATTTTACTGGTAGCATTTCTATCTCAAAAGTGGGTACCCATCACACAAACAAAGCAAACCTTAGAACATATAGTAACTTGCCCATGAAATTTTTTTCTAGAGATAGAGTGAAAAGCTATATTTGCAAGGTGGCAAAAAATGCCAAACAGTGAGAGAGAAGTGCTATCAAATCAAGTCAGGGACATAAGTGTCTTGGAGGAAGCCAAGAGAACCTTCCCACACAGAGAACGCTTTTGATGCTGACTGGAGAGAGTAAACACTCTTGTAGTCTCTTTAGTGCCAGGAAGTAACCGTGCACTGACAGGACATCAAGGCAGGCAAACAACCCTTCACTAACTTCCACTGGTCTCAGGATTTCTCAGTCACTGTCCCATACTGGACAAGGACAAGGGGAAGACGGTGAGACCAGGTGAACTGGGTTTTCACTGCTATCCTCTCCCAACTTATTTCCTCTGTTGTCAGAAAAAAAACTGGATGCATGACATAAGCCACAAGAAACAGAAACCTACTTCTTAGGAAAGTCAAACCAAAACAAACCAAACCAGAGTGAGAGATGAGCCACTGACATGACGTGATGGCTCCTGGACTTCCTTCCAGCCTCTCCCACACTACTGTTAAGGACCATTTGGAAAGGATTGTGCTCAAGGGGGAAAAGGAGAAAGAGACAGAGGCTTGCGTGAAGCAGATGCCCAGCAATTTCTCTGAGAGGCCTCTCAGCACAGAAAACAAATGAGGTAAATGCAGGAACTCAAGAGAACTGGCCATCCAGTCACCTTCAGTTCATGTTTACAGACCTCATTAAAGCCTCCTTTACTTCTCGGCTCCACAAAAATTGCCTTTAACTCTTCTATCTTTCTGGCAAAGTCATGGTCCTATTGAGAAGAAATATGATACAATGAGAAAAACCACCCCAGAAGTCTTGTTGTCCTGGTTCTTCTAAAGACCAGGAAGAGAGCTGAAGCTTTCTTTTCTTTTCATCATTACTCCTGCTCCACCCTCTGCAGACATGGTCTGCTGCCCACCCCCAATTCAGCTCACCACCTTTTGGCTTACACAAAATATGAAGACTCAGTGAGAAAACAACATACTCGCCAGTACTCGAGACTTTTTTCCATGACAGGGTATGATGGGAAGAATACCAAGAGTCCATGGGGCACAACTCGGGCAATATTCCCTGTAAGCATGTTAAAAAAAAATGGGACACCTGAGTCTAACACAACTTTAGATTATGATTAGATCCTAGTTAGGTTGGAAGCAGAACCATAAATATGGGCTGATCTGGCATCATGGAGTGGGACATGGGCAATAACCTGGATGAAAAGCCCTTCCCCAATTTGAAAGGCTACAAAGATGAAGGTAGAAGCCATGACCCAGATATTGCATCTTCTCAGATGTTTTAACCTCTGCTTTAACCAGAACACAATGATGCATCCACCCTTAATATGTAAGAAAAATGTCCATTTCTTGAATTAGATTGAGTAATTAATTCAGAGGCAGCGTGGTGTAGTGGAGACAGCCTGGAAATCAGGAAAATCAGGGTTCAAGTCCTGTCTCCCACACATCCTGGCTGTGACCCTGGGCAGTGCTCTGGTCATCCCTCTAACGCTCTAAGTTGAAGAGAAAGTGACAGTCTATAATATTAGAGGGAAATTTCCTCGCCTGGAACTTTCCTTTAATGGTAAAACCACAGGTACAGTCCCTATCCTTAACTAGATTTTAAGCTTCCTAAAGGCAGAAACTGTACTGATTCTTTAGTATATTCCTCAAATACTTCCTAGTAAGCAGCTTCCTACCAAATGGGTATTCAATTAATATGTGCTGTTTCAACCTTCAATTTCATACCTCTTACCTATAGTTTTTCCTAAGGAAGACAAGCATTCTTCAGAAAACCTAGAGAAGAACAAAAATGACATTTCCTTTAGTATCATTTATCATGATTTATCTGGACACTCTGTTAATCCTCTATTTTTGTGCCAAACAAATGTGCTTTATACACATCTTGAACAGATGATTCACAGCTCTTCTCCCCAGAAGTACTCACCCTAACTTTCTGACCCTATGTTGGGAGGGGATACAGCCCGATTTTCCTGGTACTCACCGGGGTTACATTTAGCTTGCTCCCATAGTACACACCAAGGTAAAGATAAGGGTAACTTTCGAGTATAAAGACAAGGGAATTAATCATATGTCCCTTAGTCATCGTCTCGGTCCACTGGCAGGCTCATCTTACACTCCCTATCCTAAGGTCTCCTCATCCAAAAGCTTCAAGTAAGAAATAGTCAACGTCTGATACAAAAACAGTAAACCAGGTAAGTGTTATGATGGGGAAGCCTGCTTTGCATGAGCAACTAAATGAGAAAAGGAAAGGGAAACACACCACTCTAAAATTTACTTACTGTTTTGTTGCTTATTTATAGTCTTAAATTCTTTCACATATTGTAATCAAGTTGACTTGATTTTTTTACCAATCTGGCTTCTATTACTTAATTCATGACAAGATCTAATGGGAACATAGTAAGAGCCAGGGAATTTCCTAAAAGTGATGACTCAGTTCTATGAGAGCTGCCTCCAGCTGTCAAATTCCCTTGCTGGGGTGGGATCAGGAGAAGTTTAGGGGGATAATCTGTTTACCAGACAATGCACAAAGAGCGAAGTCTGAGAGAGCCAGATGCCAACAATGTGATATCAAGATTACAATGTGATGGAAACAACTTGGCGTCTGGAGATGAGAATACAACTGAAAAAGTATCTGGTCTTGTACTCCAAACTATACACACTGCACAGCTTCCAATGAATGCCCAGGTTGGAAGGTTATTGCTGAAATCATCTAGTTGCTCCTCTCCTCCCAACCCCATCATGGCAACCACACCCTCCAGACTCCCAGAGGCCATGTTCTCCCCACAGTGGCTCCCGATCTTGGTTAGTACTCCCTTATATGCATTGTCTCCCCACTACTCAAATGTAAACTCCTGGAAGACAGGGACCATCTCACTCCTGCATTTTGTAGTTTATCTTCAACACTAAGCAGAGGGCCCAGCATTTAAGAAAGGCTATTTCACTTAACTCCACTCCCAACTTTAATGAAATAGGACTGGAACCCTATATAAACAAACGATCTTAGATAAATAAGATTTATCTTTTCATTGAATGGGTGATGACTTCATAGATCCTATGTGTTCCTATCATTTGCAACATCAAGCTTGTTGCTTTAAAAAAAAATTACATAATTTTAACTTCTACATCTTTTTTACTGCTATATTTATGTGCTGTTATCACATTTTCTAATTCTATTTCTATCATACACTTATACTACCTGTTCCTACCATATCACTCATTTCCTGATTCTTCCTCATAGACAAATCCATCTAAGCTGAAGAATTCTCCTACCTTTTATCATATGCAGAACTCAGCAATACGCCATCAGGGCCTTTGGGGACAATTCCCACCCAGATCTGATGTTTATCAATAACATGAGGATTCTCCAAACAAACAGGGAAAGGACTGAAAGCATGAAAAGGAAACAAAAACAATGATAAAATGATGTCATAACACTGAATTGCTACCAGAGGATGTGGTCACTTTGTCGTGGCTTCAATTACGCATCCAATGTGGAAACTCCTAGTTGTCCTTTCAGTGGGGAGGTAGAGAGTATAGGTTTGAGAATGTTGCAAACACTGTTATGCACAGTCACTGTGTGATGCCATGAATTAGATAGTGTTATTTTCTGTTTTGATTTCTTGCAAGGAAAGATTTAAAGCTGGAATGAAGGGTAAAGGATGGGTTGAATATTTGGAAATACAAATATAAAAACAAATGGTATCCATCCCTCCATTCTTTGCAGGAGGGAAATATTGCATATACTGTCAAGCAGGTTGATTGGTTTTGATAAATTGCTTTTTTCCCTTTTAAAAAACATCTTTTATGAGATATGGCTACCTGTATTGGGGAAGAGGGAGGGATATATGTAGGAAAACATGTAATATAAAAATTAAAGACATCACTAATAATCATAAAAACAAACAAAACAAAAGGCTTCATTGGTGGTCTTCAAGCAGAAGCTAGATGACTACTTGTCAAGAAGTAGCTTGTAGTAGGGATTCCTTTGGGGTATGGACTGGATCGGATGGCCATCGAGATCCCTTCAGATTCTATATTCTGTAATCATGCGATCGAAAAAAATTTTTAAATGATTAAGTTGTTCATCATTTGGATTGAAGAAAGAGAGGAAAAAAACAAACCCATTTTCTGGAGGAATCCTGAGATATAGGATTTAAACTCCTATAGACCAGGGCAGAGGCAGGTGGGCAGCTAAAAAGAGACTAAGGGATTTTCCTTTCTACCTCCAGATCCTTACTAAATTCAACAGCTATTCCTGAAGTCCCTGAGCAACTTGAGTGGGTGGAAGGGAAGGAAATGACCAGAAGAATCCTGAAGAGTCCCACACATAAAAGCTACCAAAAGAATTCTCCCAATCTCTGAGGGCAGATTCTTGGCCTCCTCTTCTTGACCATTTTCCACCTTTGTCTCCCAGTCTTTATTTTACTTGGTCATAGATTCCGGACAATTAGCAGGCGAATCTAAAATAACTTCTTTATCCTTTTCCTCCTCCTCCTCCAATCTAAGCATTTACTGAGCACCTTCTAAGTGCTTGATGCTGGCACATCTGTTCCCAGTTGTCAATGCTAGATAATTCTAAAAGAAGTTCAAGCTTCACTACCCATGGGGCTGAGAAGACACTCACATTTGCATCTCCATAGTAAAGGAAGAAATTGGAGCTAGAGTCCCGCTGGTGAGGATGATGGTACGCACTTCCTGTTGAATTAACTCATGCATGCTAAATCCTGGACTGAAACACCAATAGCTCAATATCTTTCCTGAAATGAAAAAAATGATACATTTTTAAAGGCTATTACTATGGAGAACCTAGGCTCCGGAGAAGAACAGCTAGCCATCTGGTCTCCATAAGGATTTTTCTATTTTGATGAGGCTAATTAATATCTGAATGTATGAAATAGGCTCATGTGTGAATAGCCACATGCCTAAAGACCATGTAATAAATTATCTAGCAACTTTCAATTATATTAGTGGTAAACTTTATGATTCTCCTATTTTAATTTTCCTTTTTTTCTCCTTCATTTACTATCACTGACTATATTTTCACATTAGAAATACATAAGAGAATACTTAAATATAGTCAGGGAATAGAAAAGGCCAATAGAAACTTCTATGAGGCCCTTGGGTGACATCCTATCCTGGTGTCATATGAGTAGAGGTTATATACATCTTTGGTAGGGAGAAGATAAAGGATGTATAACTACAGGAGGTTTAAGCATAAGCAATTGACACAAGAAGGAATAAGCTAAATGCCCAACTCTCTATCCCACAGGCAGATTGGGTATCTATTTAATCCAGCCCCATAGAAGCCACAGTAACCAAGAGATGGCACCATATTACATTTATACTGCTTGGGTAGTATCAAGATCTGGGGACAAATTCTGAGTTTAGAATTCCAGGAGAGGGAATCCAAACCTTTCAGAGAGGTGAGAGTAGAAATGATTTTGTCTCTCTATTTCAAAGAAAATACTGATAGGCTGGTTTAGAAGATATGCAGCACAGTATACCAAACAGTCACCACAATCTCTCTCTCACTAATCATACATGATTTCATTTAAAGGTAACATATATGAGGCTTCCAGACTACCAAAACAAAGAGGGCAAAATTACCAGATTCCATTTTTCCATTAGAAACTGGGAAAACCAAAAGTGTTTTCATAAAACCACTTATTATATGGCAAGAAATAAACAATGTCATTAGTTTGTATACAAGATTAGTCCAATTCCTAGAAATGCCTAATTGGTCTTGAACTGTGGAGTATACACATATTCTTAATAATGGGTTTGAGTAACTGTGAAAGTTGAAACAATGAGTTAATACAAACCAAGAATAGACAGCAGCTGGGAGGCGCAGAGATATCTGTAGTAAGAGTATGGCCAAGGCCACAACCTCTCCCTGACCTAACTTTTAAGAAATTCTGGGCATTCAATTTTATAAAAGCAGAAATCAAACACATAGCTGTTAACTATGGCTAAAATTCTAATACACATTCCAACTTCTCAGATAAAGAGGAAACTAAAAACAGAAAACTTTCCGGGCTGTCCTGAGTTTCAGTATTGTTGCTTTTTTTAAAACAAGATAAAACTTGTAAAGCCAGGATAGCAGTGCATTCTTCACTAGACCTCTAAATCTGAGCTCTGTGGAGACAGGATTGTGACTCTCTTTCTTGACTAGGGTTAAGACACAAAAACAGTTTAAAAAAGTAGGTCAAAGTAGACTGCTTTTCACCTTGTTTGAGTGCCTTTCAGGAGGGACAGAAACCTCTAGCTTATGGTTGACCTCCCAGATAAAAGGATCCCCTACAAATTCTAAACATTTTGACATGAAGATACAGTTATTTGAAGATGGTAATAGAATTTGGTCCTACGATGTAACCTTTAACTTCGTTTTTTTTTTTTTGTGGCGTGGGGAAGGGCGAGGCATGCAATCAGGGTTAAGTGACTTGCTCAGCGTCATATAACCAGTAAGTGTCTGAGGCTGGATTTAAAGTCAGGTCCTCCTCTATCCACTGAGTCACCTAGCTGCCCCTAACCTTTAACTTCTGAATGCTGTTTGTCAATGTGAAGTTACACTGCATTCACCAAACACAGCCCAGAAAGAGGGAGATTACAGTCCTGATGTTCGTTGCTCTGGAGAGAATGCATCGGGGATAATGTGGTTTTGTCTGGGTCCCACATGTTAGGAATGACAATGGCAACCACCATGAATAGATAGATCAGAACAATGAGGAAACACAAAACAAGACCACATGAAGACAAGTTAAAGGAACTGGGGATATTTTACTTATGGAGGACCTCTTAAGGGGAAAAAAGAGGAAGGGGAAGAAGGCTATAATAGGATAAGAGATCTTTTCAAGCATTTGAAGAAATAGCACACATTGCTCTTTTTTTGTCCTCAGAAGATAAAACCAATTTCAGAGGCAGACTTCAGCTCAGTATAAAACAAAATGAAACTTCTGAACCAATATAATTCTCCCAAAGTGAAATGCGCCACCTCATGCAGTAGTGAGCTCCTCATTACTGGGGGGTCTTCAAGCTCAGATTAGCTGCCACTTTGTTTATAAATGTTATTGCTGCTCAGTTGGACTAGCTGACAAAGAATATATTCTCAAGAGAAGAGAGATTCAAGGCAAGTTAAAGGAGAAAAGAACATAGAAATCTAGCAACAAAAAAATACGGATGTGGTAAGGCATAGATTTCTAAACCTGAAAACATGTCCCATGAGGGAAAGAAAAAAATTGCTGGGCCACATTTCTTCTGAGAAAGAACAGATGCCATGCTTTGGAAGGCCCACCTCATCTCACTGTCTTCCCCCTCTCCCACTCCCCGCCCTAGGCTACTCTCCTCAGATAAGCTTACATTGGCAATGGCTTATAGAGACCAAAGGAATGAAATCACTTCCTATAAGTACACTGGAGGAAGTGGCTAATCCTAGAGTCTTACTGAAAAAGGAAAAGATTTCAAAGGCTGGATTTCAATGGAAATCATTTGAAACAAAGACTATTAAACAAGCACAGAAGATAGCTGAGCCAGCTATTCTGCAGTCATGAAGCACTACTCACCTTTCTTTCCAGTCATGAGTACTGGACCCTTCCACCTTACACATGGACCTTTCCTTATTTACCTAGGTGCTACACCTGCTTCCAGCTAGATCTTGGATGCAGCAGCTCTAATAAGATGTGTCCCAGGGACAGTTGTCCTGCTTGCCCCTTAGTTAAACCACACATTTGATTTTCCAGGTCTGCTCCAGACAGCTCTCCCCATTCTCAACTATCTAAACTGCTTGTTGGACTAGGCCAGAAATGACCTGATCCACTGTGAAAACATGAGCAAAGCCTGGAACTTGAAGGTATAGACAGAAAAAATGGTGAAGAGGAACACTGAAGACAGAGAGAGACAACAGGGCTGGCCTAAGAGGCCAGACTAAGACTAGAAATCTTCAGTCTATAAAATCAAAGGCTAAGAGGGAATATGAGCTAAGGAGCATAGAGCAGTGAGAAGAACACTGGGTAGGGCATCAGGAGACCTGGGTTACTCTGTTACTTAAACAGCTGTGTGACCCTGAGCAAATCATTTAACTTTGCCTGAGCTCAGTTTTCTTATCTATAAAACATGGTGATTAGATAAGACCAGTTCTAAAATGTGCAAAAATCTTTTAATTTTATGGAATGAAAATGATCTATTTTAAGAACACTAGAGAGCATAGGAATAAATGGAGTCTTCCTAACCCTTCTTCCAGGTCCAAGATCCAAGATTTTCCCAACTTTTATGATAATGTGGGATGCAACACGGGATTAAACATTTGCCATGGGCAATTCACCAAGAAGCAATAGTAACAATTTACATTTAAAAAGCACTTTGACAAAGCAACTTTCCTCAAAACAACATAAGTAAGTAATACATGCATATAACCAAGAATTGACTAGGAAGAAGCCTAATGAATTATGAACATAAGAGCAGCAGGATGGCAAACCAAGCTGAAATCTCAGAAACCCCTCAGCACCTTGTTTTTTGGCCACAGGAGCACTCCAACCATCAGTCCTCTGGGTCTTTTTTCTATTACCGGTGTCCAAGTGGATGTGGACCTATTAAAATAAACACAAGATTGTTCCACAGGTTGCTACAGAAATGGTCAACAATGAATTTTTGCTATTATTTCCACTAACAGTCCAGGGCATCCAAAGCACCACATATACTGGACCCTTCCACCTTTGATATGGATTCTTCCTACTATGTCTTTAGGAGGTATGTCAAAAGGAAATTTTTGCATAGCCAGCTGTTATAACATTCCCAAATACCCAAAGGCCCCCTGGAGATGATAAACCAGAATTCACGAAACCTCAGTATCCCCAGTAAGCAGATGCTCAGAGTAAAGATCCCTTACCTTATAATATTTTGAAACTGTATGTCCCACCATGGGGTTGGCTGTACCTTCTGGGGGGTTAATACTGAAAACAATCTGTAAGAGAGAGACCAAGGGAGGACAAACTGTAAAAATGATGAAAATCCAGAAACAAGCATATAAGTAATTAAATAATCAATTTTCTGCCTCTGCCTCTCCCCTTCCCTGCCCCAAGAACCTTTCTTCCTCTTACAGAATCTTTATAATATTTTTTCTCTACAGAACCCTAAATAAATACCACTTCTTTGATCTGTGATTCAGGCCAGAGAACAGGAATGTTCTGGTCCTGGCACAGACCACAGCATGGCAGAAAATAAGGCAGAGAGAAGTCTGGGACCCATTCAATAAATAGTCTCTCAATAACCAGAATGATACCAGGTTGTGTTGGTAACATGCAAACAAACAGTACTAAACAATATTATCTCAACTATGGCTGCCAAATACTGGCCCTTAAAAGAGAAACCAAATTACAAAATACTCCCTTTGTCCTATGAAGTCTTTCAAAAAACAAAAACAAAAAACCTCTGACTGCCTGGAAGAGACCTGCTGGTCAAAAATGTATCCTGGGACCCACAGTGGGCTTCTTGGGCTCAGTACTGTGTAAATACAAAAGATTTACAACACACCAAATCTAAGAGTTGGAAAGGACCTCAGACACCATCTAATTTACCTTGTGACATTACAACACATCTGACAAGCAGTCATCCACCTTTAATTGTATAGCTCCAGAAAAGGAACTGCTCTTCCTCCTTCACTAGCAGCCCATTTCATTTCTGCATGCCTTTCTTAGAGCCTTTCCTGTTGACAAGCCTAAACTACCCCTCTGCAGCTTCTGCCCCTTGCTCCTGGTTCTCCCATCTAGGGTCAAGCAGAATAAGTCTAATCCCTCTTTCATGGGATAACCTTTCAAATAGTTGAAGACAGTGATCAAATCGAATCTCTTCTTCCCCCAAAGTCCTTTCCAGGCTAAGCATCCCCCTAGCTCCTTAAATCTATCCTCATATAGAGGGTACCCAGCTTATCATTATCATTGTCCTCTTCTGCACATATTCCAACTTGCCTATGTCTTTCCTAAAATGTGGCACCCAGAACGGGATGCTATACTGCAGGTGGGGTCTGACTTGAGCAGAATACATCAGAAATATCATTTCCCATATTCTGGGGCATTATATATTTCTGGATATAGCTATAAGCTAGAGTTGGCTTTTTTTGGGTTCCCTCAAAAAGAGCTATGTTTTTGACACCTAAGATATAATTGGAGAAGCAAAATATATACATATAAAAGATCTGAATAATAATGTGGGAGAGTAAATTATTTAATGCCAAAATGAATGATACAAACAATAAGTAACATAGGAAATCAGAAAAAAAAGGGTAAAGCTAGTGCATGAAACAATTTGATAAGGCCTCATGAAGAAGTGAAAATTACACTGACTTCTCCAAATGATTGGTAGAATTTGGAATAGGTGGAAGGGAAATGGAGAGGGCATAGCATAAACAAAGGTTTAGAGTCAAAACCCAAGGTGACTTATACAAAGTAGAATGAGGAGATCAACCTGACAAAGTACAAGACTTGTACAGAGGGACTGATGAAAGAGAATATGGACAGGTGGAATGGGGGTCTAATTGTAAATGGCCTACAGTTGAAGTTAAATCTTATCGTGCAGGCAATAGTGCAGGCCAGTGGACATTTCTCAGCAGGGGATGAAATGATGTTAAAATTATGAAAATGGCATTTTAGGGAAATAAACAGTTAGTTGTTGACATATCCAGGTATGAAGCTGCAGTGGGAATAGAAAGGAAGGGGCATATATGAGAGACACTTTGAAGGAAGAACTGACAAAAACTGGCAACAAACATAACACAAGAAAGGGAAAAGTTAAAGATGAATCCAAGGATTTGAACCCAAGTGACTAGAAGAATAGTAAATGCCACTAATGAAAACAGGAAATTAGGAAGAGAAATCAGTTTGAGAAAACCCCAGATCAGACAGTACTATATTTCATTGTTGGGTAGGCACAAATTCTAAGGGCTCTATCAGGTTTATGTTCAATAAACTTTCCGTAAATCTCACTCCCCTCTCCCCAACCCCAACGAAGAGAAAAACCACTTAGCATCATCTGAACCATCCCCTAATGGTGACAGTAGATGGAGTTCCAATAAATTTTAAATACTTCATTTTATTTTTAAATTTATATTTCCTTCAGAAGATGGTATGCAGTCCAACTTGTCTTATTATGACTAATAAAAGAAACAGCAATAAACAAAAAAAAAAAATTCATCGTGTGAAAATAGCAAATCTGCAGATGCCCAAACCTTTCCAAAATAAAGCTAGACAACTGGAAATTTCATTCAACATTTGATAAGCATTTTCTGAACACCGATCAAATGCAATTTATTCCTCCTTTCCCAAGTTCAGACTCATGCAGTGCTTCAGGATTTACAAAGTAGTCTCTATACATCATCTCGTTTGAATCCAGCAGCTATGTTGTAAGGCAGTAGAAATATTATCATCCCCGTTTTATAAATGGGGAAACAGACTATGAAAACTTAAGGGAATAGATGATTATATTTCTTCTGAGAGGCTTTCCAGTTTGAGTATTCAAAGCATGCCCAGTTATATACCGCCGGCTCGTCATCATCCGTCGGATAGTTAAAGGCAGGAGTCCAAGGAAATGCAAAATAAATGAGGCAAACTCATCGATACACTTTGGATTACAGATGACATTAAAAGAATTATTTCCCAAACTTGAGGCAATTTTGTGTAATATTTGCTAAGATAGGGAACATGGTGCAGTGCAAAGAGTGATGTCAGAGTACTTGGGTTCAAATCTTCGATCTGCCATGAACTACAGACTCTTGCGCAAATCATTTGACCTGCTTCTAAGCCTCATTTCTGTCTGTAAAGATGGGAGTTAGTTGGATTACATGATTTCTGAGGTCCCTTCCCAGCTCTAAATCTATGATTCTAAATCACTTCCTTTCTCTGGCCCTCAGTTGTTTTTGTTTTGAAAATCTGTAATAGCAGAGGGTTAGAATAGATGGCCTCTTTCAACTTCACATGCATGATTCCTGTGAGGTCCCAGGGAATCACTTACTGAGAAGGAACATCCCATTTCTGCTCTTAAGTTCTGGCTAAAGAGACACTAGTTTCCCTGGATAGGACTGCCTCAGACTGTAGGGGAATAAGCCGCACAGGCCAACATCACAGCAAGGCAAGGGTCTTTCTTGTAGCTTTTGTCTGTCCTCTGGACAGTGACTCCAGCAGGACTTGCGAGACTTATTCATACTCACACATGAAAAAGAAGAGAACAATTACTACCTCTATGCTTCCAAAGAGCTGTTTCTTTTTTACCCATTATCCCTCTGGTCAAAAATACAAGAATCCTTAGAAGCACTCAGAAGAGGAAAAAGGGGAAGCCTTATAAGGAATCTGGAAACACTAGGAAAGCAAAATCTTATTTCATTCAAATAGATTTTTTCCCTTCCCTTTCTCATGAAATGGTATAGAAACCAAGAAATTTCTGTTATATATCACCCCAGAGTAAGTAAATAGGTGAGAATGACAAGGGACCTTTTGCAGCAATGACCCTTTCAGAATTTGTAGTGGAAAAATTGAAGCATACATTAAGAGTACTAGTGCTGCTGTCTGTTTCCAGGAATCATTAACAGTGAAAACACCAAATGAGGACAAATATAATCACACTGCCTTGGTACTTGGAGTGAAACACCTAACATACATATATGGTCCTTCTAACTTCTATCACACTGACCTACAACAAAACAAAGAAGCTAGTGATATCTACAGAAGGTACTGATTGAGATGCCAAAACCTTTACAAAAATAATGACAGTCTAGTGGCTACTCCCTTGATGAGTAGTAGAGAGGGCAGGATCGAACAGAGTACTTGCCAACAGAAAGAAAGATAAGGAATGGGAAGGGAAAACCCAGAGCAAAGTATAGTCACAATCTTAATCAAAGCATAGTCACTTCATCTCAATCTTTTGGTCACTGCCAGAAATGCTGGAAAATGACATCAAAATGCAGGATGTGCCAAGAATGAAGCAACTCTATATACTCCAGATCCAGAACAAAGTCCAGGCCAATTCTCCTCCCATCAGTTCATTTCATAGTATTTGAACCTGTTTTTTGGCTTAATTTCCCTATTCTGTAATTAGCACCTTTTTTAGGACTCAAGATGAAACATGCTACTCACCTCCTAACAGAGAAGTGATAGACTCAGGGTGCAGAATGAAACAAATTTTTTTTGGATATGAAGCAATACAGGACTTTGTTTAATTTATGCATATTTACCTCAAGGGTTTTGTTTTTCTTTCTTTTTCAATTAGGAGGAAGGGTGTGGGAAAGAAAAAATATTTTTAAGTAAAAAGAATTACATTTTTAAAACTAGCACCTCTTTTATAGATCATATGTGTGATAGTAATGAAAGAAAGAGCTGTTCCCCTTAGTTTTTTTCCAGTGGTCCACAGTTTTATATGCACATAGGGTTTTTCCCATTCCATAGATCCCATCCTCCAAAGCCTAGCTCAGGTTCCACCTTCTCCAAGTTTTCCTGAACAACATCAGCTATCTGTATTCGTAGCACTTGCCACCTATCCCACCCATTCTGCCATCTCCGAGGCTTGTTTTAGACTATTGTCCGATTGTTTTATGTGTGTCTCTAACCAGATTGCAAAAGGCTTCCAGGGCAAAAACCATGTTTCATACTACTCTAGTCCCTTATGAGTAGACACGTTTACGGATTACATAATAGATGTCTTAGCATAACAGATAAACAGGTGATGCCCAATAAATGCTTACTGAATTGTACATACATGATTTGGGGCTTTCTTAAGATCCTGCTGGGCTGAGCAATGTTTCTATTTGATCACCAAAATAACCAACAAGCTGCAGGATAAGCAATTAGATTAGAAGTTGTAGGTAGACATTCTACTATTGGTTTGGTGACTGGCTTAGCACTGAGAACACAGGTCCTTTCCATTCCATTCAATGATGTGGGTGTAAAGAAAGAAACAACAGGATTTTAAGTTTCTTACAAAAAATACAGCATAATGACAAGGAGCCAGGTTATTTTGTTAGTGTATCAGAAAAGCTAAAAATGTTTCTATAACTACTCAGTTCAGGTTACCTGCACTCTTTCTAATAGCATTTACTAAGCATCTACCTGTGGTAGATTTCCAGGATGACACATAGGGTTTCATCCAACTAAGAAAAAACTGAAATAAACTGAATTGATTTCATAAACTTGCACAGAACACCTAAGGAAGTCCTCGAACAATAATGATAGCAGCTCTGAACAACATGCAGAAGTAGGAAGGGCTACCACAGGGCCTACATTGATTCCATGTAAATGCTTTGTTAAAAAGATCACTATAGAACAGAAGGATTCCTTTAAAAAAAAAAAGAGGTTATGTAATAAATACTTGTGGAATGAATACACATTCCACTTGTTGAATATTGATAGCGGAAAGCTCTGAGCAAACCAGAATGTCTGATATATTCAAGGACTATCCGTTTAAAATATATGATTCAACAGAAAATAATATACAGAACAGAGATGGGAAAAATTCTTTTGAGGATTAGCAAATCCTTGATGAACCCAGACATCTGGCATATCCTTTCCCTTTCTCTCCTTCTCTCCCCCCCCCTTTTTTTTTCAAATAAAAATTAGATTTCACAAGAAGTCCCAGCTGCATCTGGGGCTGATGAGAAAGGAACACACCACAGTTTAATGTACCTTTAGTTCAGAAAGAATTAATGGCGTAATAATGAGGACAAGAAACTAAAGAAGGGCAAAATTGAAAGTGTTTTCAAATGCTAGACCTTCTAAGGAGAATATAAGAAAATTATGGCAAATCAACAAGAAGAAATTGTTGAATAAGTATAAATTTATTTAAGTATTACCTGGATAGGACCATAGAATGAGACTCCCAAAGAGTTCTATTTTTTCTGGAACTATCTAGACATAACTAGTCCTGTTCTTGTTTTTTGTTTGTTTGCTTTTTTTTTTTTTTTGCTAGGCAATGGGGTTAAGTGACTTGCCCAGGGTCACACAACTAGTAAGTGTCAAGTGTCTGAGGTCAAATTTGAACTCAGGTACTCTTGACTCCAGGGTCAGTGCTCTATTCACTGCAACACCTAGTTGCCCCAGCTTTACCTGTTCTTAATGAGAATCTATTTGCTTGTCTCCTTCAGAAAATGTTGATGGTCATTCCCAAAATCTAACAGAAAAACAAACAAACAACCTCACAGGGCACTAGGCAGTACAGTACAAATGGCAGTAGTAATAATAACAATAACATAAAATAGTTAGCATTTATATAATATCTTAAAGGTTTGCTAAGTGCTTTACATAAGTTTTGGCCTCAGAGTCAGGAAAACCTGGGGTCAAATCCTGTCACAGACATTAACTAGATCTGTGACCCTGGGCAAGTGACTTAATCCCTCCAGACACCACTTGCCTCCTGTGTAAAATGAGAGGGCTGGAATGGATGGTGCCTTCCAGATCTAAAACTATGATCTATGACCAGGATCCTACGTACAATAGGATTTCAAGACCATGTCTCAACTTGATGCCTTTGATTTCCATCCAAGAGCTTCTGTTAAGTCTTTTCTCAATGCACATCAATCCAACGATGCTTTCAGATACAGCCTTTTTTAGTTCTTGAGGAGAGAAAGCTGCCTTACTGTCTCTCTGCCATATTTCTTATTATGCTTATGGGCAGAGAAAGACAAAAGGGCTGATTTTTTTTTCTCATTTACCTGAATGATGTCCACCAGCTTTTGTAAGCCTGCTGTATTGTTAAATATCCCAGTACCTATGGACAAGGGCAAAAATGCAGTAAGTTCATCTCATATAAATACAAATAGACACCTAGAACAAAATCATGCAACAATGACACCTTGTCTCTCTGAATGGTCTCCTGGTCAAGAACTATGGTCAAGAACTGTCTAAAAGGCAGAGTACAACTAGACCTGCAGAGATCAAAAATGACTACACTGGTCCACACACCCATAATACCTCAACTAGACTGCAGACAATATCTTTACCTCTGATTTATTCCTTGGCAGTCAGTATTATCAGTTTAGGAACACTTAAGGTTTCTTTTCTTCTCTTTTTTTAGGCAATTGGGGTTAAGTGACTTGCCCAGGGTCACACAGCTAGTAAGTGTCAAGCGTTTGGTCTGAGGCTGGATTTGAACTCAGGTCCTCCTGACTTCAGGGCCGATGCTCCATCCACTGCACCACCTAGCTGCCCCCTACTTAAGGCTTCTTTTCAAGCTAAATGCTCAATGCAGAATTTGTTAATGAAAAAGCACCTCAACTGCTTTCCCCAGAGGAACAAATGTGTGAAGTTATATAGGAGAATAATTTTATCTCCTTTGGATTAAAAAAGGGGTGTGGAGTCGATTAGGGGAATAATCATGCCACTTATCCCTACACAGCCCATAATTCTAGGCAGGAATTCTGCTGAGAATTTACTATAAAAATTGCTAATAAAAATACAGGTTTTACAAATACAGTGTAACTCAGATGCTGAATAATGCTAATTCCTCAATGTCAAAATCACAAGGGATAAAATACTTAACTTGATCTCTGTAAACTAAAGAGCTTACCCTAAGTTTTATTTCAAGGCAATTACAATTCAGTTTGAAAATGATTCTTGGTGATCTGCAAAGCTAGGGGGCCTACAGTAAATGGTCACCAAAGCACTGGCAATGAGTGTACTGCTGGTCCTACTATATCATTGCAAAATTCCTTAATTTACCCTGGCCAGGGTGATGGCTCAAATACCAACAATCAATGCACTTAAAAAGCCACCGTCTCTTCATCTTTCTTTCTCCTCACATACAATGGGTACCCCACTTGTTGGGAAGGGGAGAAAAACCCATTAAAACCAATCATGTAACAGAATGAGACAAATTTGGAGCTAAAAAGTTGCGTGCTGAGACAATGACTCACGTCCTGCCATGAACTGGATGATCTGCTCCAGTGACTCCAGGAGGGAAGACTTGGTCTGAAAGGTTATGTGGGCTTCAGCAAACAGATCAAAGATATAGCTGCCAAGTAAGAGGAACAAAGCTTTAGATGTGACAAAAGAACACTGTTCAAACTTAGGAAGAAAGATCAAGATGCTCCCATTACCCAGAAAAAGATGTGAATTGGTAATAGGCACCTCTGCTATGCCAAAGCTTCTTACTGACGGCTCCTTCTCTGGTCTTACCTTTGAGATGGTAACTTCAGCTGTGACTGACCCTTTTTGTGCTGGCTCCTTTTTCCAAGCTTACCCCACCCACAAATGATGCCTGCTAAATCTTATACAAAGACTCTCCACCCCACAACACTTATTGGTTCAACAGAAGACAGTGCAGTACAGCCTGGCCAAATAGCACCTCAGATATTTACCAACTATGAACTTGGGCAAATTCCTTTACCTCTCTAGACTTCAGTGACATCATCTGTAAAATGAGAGTGTTGGGCTTGGCCTCTGAGGTCCCCTCCAGGTCAGAATACTGTAAGACCTTATCTAAGCAATGAGTTCCTCCATTTACTGCCCTGTTGGACACACACAAAAAAATTCCTAGACTTTTATGTACTACTATCTACAATTGTATTTTATTCAATATCATTAAATACAGCATGGAAGTTAAATAAGCTTATGTCCAACATGCTCTATTTGTACTGAATAAACTGCAGTGTTTCTGAATGGTTCTTCAAATTTCCTAAGTTTTCTCCTTTACTATCTCAGACCAGAATGTTGAAATTAAGCACAGGCAAAGAAGTTAAATTTTCTCTCTTGGCAGATGATAAGATAGTTTCCTCTACAAGGTCCTATTCCAATGCCTCACAGTATTGAGGACAGGTGTCTCTGGGTGTCCAAAGGCTAAGCCAATAGCAGAGTACAAGTGCTACAGGTTCTGCCATGTTGCAGAAGGTCTGAGTGTGGTCCCAACAACTGCCTGAGCCTCTTCCTGAGAACCAGCCCAGTCAAGAATGAAGGGACTGGTCATCTATAGGCTGGCCATTTGGTAACAAAAGAAAAATGCAAAATGGCTCTTGGTCCTGTCCCAAGCCCTTCCACTTCTGAGGCAAAGGTAGCAAAGAGGTGACAAAGGGGTGAAAGGGTAGCAAGAATGAGCTTTTATTCTGACTATATGTATTGATTTACCTACTAGCATTCTAAATGTGAGATCCCTGTCTAATGATACAACACTTGAGAAAATGAATTCTATCAGCCTTCACATTTTGATTATAAACAAACACAGAAGACAAAAAGAAGCTGAATCTAGATGGAAAAATAAGTTAGGATAAAAATTTAAATCAATTGGAAAAACATCTTGCTTCAAATATTTCTTTTTATCTATACTAAGCAAATTGAAAAAGATGACAAAAACAGAAATGGTTGATGCTGTAAGAGCTGGGGGAAGACAGGAACACTGGCCGATGCAGGTGTGAACTGGTACAATGATTCTGGAAAGCAATATGGAATTATGGTGGAAAAAAATGACTAACATATCCATATCCTTTGGTCCACAGATCCCACTGCTATGCACTGTGCTATCCCAAATATAACCCCCCCTAAAGAGATCACAAAAAGAAAGGTCTCATGTACACCAAAATATTCATAATAGCAATTTTTGTGACAGTAAAGAAAAAGTAACTCTCCACTAACCGGCTAAACAAAGTTGGGTTATGTGAATAATGAAATGTTAAAATGTCATAAGAAATGATGACTATGAAGAGCTGAGAGAAGCATGGGAAGACTTATCTGAATTGATGCACAGTAAAGTAAGCAGAACTAGATAAACAGCACACATACTGACTAACAATTTAAACTAAAAGAGAAAAAAAGAGACTAAAAACTATGTTACTATCATGACTAAGCTTGGCCTTGTGGGTCACTGGATAAGGAATATTGAACATACTGTCATACATGGTCAGTTATGGGTTAGTTTTGCTCAGCTTTTTTTAAAAATTTGTTTTTTAATCTTCACCAAAAAGTCATCAGTATTTGATTTCCATCTTGACTCTGAGACTGCACACATTCTATAAAATGTGCTTTTTGTAAGAAGTACTTTCAAAAAACTTTCCAGAATGGTTAATTACCTAAGAGGGAGCTATCATGATTCAAATGCCTGGAGACAGTCCATAAAATGAAATATTTGGAAACCACAGAAGTCTCTATGATATACTGAACTAGTTGGATGGAAGACAGAATGGCAAAGGAATTATTACAATTTTGTTTCCCCTTAGAACACCTACAATTTGAAGGTAATCTGGTCCATCAGTTCTGCTCTATATAACATATGTAAGAGTACTATAAATCATACTGTGGGAAGGTGAAGAGGGGAAAAGAGGGAAGAGACAGAGGGAGGCAGAGACAGTGCTAAGTACTGGGGAAATAAGGAAGTCCATAAAGAGTTTACATTTCAAAGGGGAACTAGGAAGCAGGAAAAAAGGGGATGGGAGACAGAGTACCCAAGCAAAGTTGCTGATAAGGAAAAGAAGACGTTCAGAGAGCGGGTTGAGTCAGGAGTAAAGGGGGCAGCCCCTCATGATACGGCAGTGAAGGCTTAGGACTCAACAATTCCTCAGGTGAAGCTCAGGGCAGAAGTATCTCTATAGTAAAACGGCTGCAGGCCAGGAGCTTAAGTTCAAAGAATGCAAAGTACTGGAATGTAATAATCCTATACTATATATCATGAATAAAACACTTTCACATTTATTCATCTGTGTTTTGGTGCTTGGTGCTCACAGGCAATTATATGCAAAAAGACTACAATGCAAATAATTATAGCTTATGTACGACATCTGCTGGAGAAAATGAAGGGGTGAAGAAATTCTACAAAATTAGATCAGCATATACTGGGTCACTTCAATGCAAAGGTGGACATAAATAAGAATGTTGAGAAGGGTTAGAAGATGTGATCTGGAAATAAGAAATGAGAAAGTCCAGAGTTTTGTAGAATACACAGAAGCTTCACATCTATAGATTTAAGAATGCCCACACTGAACCTTAATCTCATCAGAACTGGCTCAAAGGGGTATAGAAATCTATCTTACCCTACAGGAAAGTGGGGTGGGGGGACAAGAGAAGGGAGGGGGGGTGATAGAAGGGAGGGCAGATTGGGGAAGGGGGCAGTCAAACAAAACACTTTTGAAGAGGGACAGGGTGAAAGGAGAGAGAATAGAATAAACAGGAGGGGGAACAGGATGGAGGGAAATACAGTTAGTTTTTCACAACATGACTATTACAGGAGTGTTTTGCATGACTACACATGTATAACCTATAACAAACTGCTTGCCTTCTCAATGGGGGGGAGGTGCAGAGGGAGAAAGGGAGAGAACTTGAAACTCTCTTGGAAGTTTTTAAAATGAGTATTAAAATTGTTTTTACATGTAACTGGGGAAAAATAAAATACTAAATTAAAATAAATAAATACTAAATAAAAATATTAAATAAAAAAAGTGCTCACATCAAGGAAAGAATTGGGAGTTGCAAGCACCGAATTACATCACAAAGTGAAACTGATTACATTGTAACAGATAATAACTTGTTACTAATACAGGAATGATTCCTGAAACAGTCAAGCACTAACTTACTAAGAGCAAAGATCAACTTTATTACAAAACTAGAACAAAAGTGAAAGAAAAGATATGAGTACAATTAGAACTATTTAAGTTACTAGTGCAGAAGAAGGAAAAAATACCACCACCGAATATAATGATTTCATATAGAAATTTAACTAATGTAAATCAGCTGCCAATAATGAAAAGACCAAAAAATTCTAAAAACAAATGCAGTCAGCAAACACTCTCTCCTTGCCAAGTAGAAAGATATGGCAGCCAAGGTCAACAGTGGGTAGAATATAAACCTTATTTGTAAAATCTTACAGAAAAGAATGGCGGAAGATTATGAACAATATCAACTCAAAAAGCAGTGAGAAGTGGAGGGAAAAACAGTGAAGAGAGATCCGACTACGCAAAGTCATCCCAAGGGCATTTAAGGATGAAATTGGCAGGACAACAGACAAAAAAATCGAAAGAACCTAAAGAAGTTTTTTAAAAAAAAGATAATAATAACAAATTTGACCATCAAGGCCATTTAGATTTTAACATCAGATGTTAGGCCAGCAGATGTTTCTTTGGGAGGAATAATAGCACCAAAGAAAATAAAGTTGTGAAAAGCTGCTGAACTGAACCAAGTATTTAAAGAGAGGGTCTCTGTGAGAGAAAACAACTTTGAGAGAATTTAGAGGTTGTCAAGTTATCTGAAAGAAGGGAAAATATCAAAGGCATGGGAAAACTCTCAGAGGTTATAAAAAAAAAGAAACCAAGAAAACGTTAATAACTATAAACCCTTATGTCTAATTTTTTATCTACATAACATTTTCACGAGAACAATCCACATATGCATCAGTAAGGTTCTCCTTAAACTACATCTTGACCACTACACAACTGCCTCCTTTACAAAATGTAAGACCCCACTGATAGTGAACATCTCCACTCAAACATATCTGTCTGTGATCTTATAAATCTGATAGCACCTTCCAGTGATGCGGACAGCAACTCCTCCATGTTATAACTCTTGTGGGTGTCCTCCTACAAGCTTGGCACAAAAGGCTTACCCAGGGTGATGAAGGTCTTCCTCGATTTCTCCTGACACTTCAGGGATAACAACGGAACACTGGCTGCCCACCCTTCCCATATGACTAGCCTATCATCTCCTCCTACCATCTATTTCCTGGAAGACATCTTTTCCTCCTTTTCTTTGTTAGTTACGTACTGCTGTCTGCACATACCCACCATGTGCCTCTCCATTGGCTGCTGTGTAATAATGTCAATGCTTTATATTCCACATGTCACTGCCACACAGCAGCACTGGTTTTAAATGAACGTTCATTTAAAAAAGATGAACCTTTGTTTTTAGGAGCAGCTTGGGGTTATCAAAGGTGCTCCGCAATTTCCTAAAAGCAATCCAGTCCACTCTTCTCCATCTGCATTGTCTCACATATGCATAATAAGGTCATACATACAAACAGATCTCACAATCTGGACAACACATATTCTTCACCTATTGAGTCATTCCTGTGTAGATGGTTGCATCAAACTCTTGAATGATTTCTTTCAGAAAGCTCTTCAGTGTTTCAGGGCATATGACACTGTGCTGGTTTTATCAATATCAATAATCACCTGAAAAGCTGTTCAAATGCTCAAATAAACAGAGATATGTGAGTTAAAACAACTGTGAGATACAACCTTATAGCCACTACACTGACAATGGCAAATATTATTGACAAGAGAAAAGTCCTATCTATACAAAAAGGCACATAGTAACATCCTTATAATAATGGAAAATCATAAACAACCTATGTGTCCAAAGTTTGAGGAATAGCTAAATAAATTATGGTGCATGAACACAATGACATAAGAAATGACAGATATTAAGACCATAAAGAAATATGGTAAGACTTATAGGAAATAAACTGAACTAAGCAAAATTACAACAATATGAATCCTGACTATAACTATGTAAGTTATAATACAAATAACTTTCAAGTCAGATCCAACAGGAAGTATCTGAGTCATGTGACCAACATGATGAAAGACTAGACATTTTCTACACACCTCACAATCTCTCAAAACTCCCCCAAATAATAATTATGCACAAGGGATCAAAGTAATTGCAGTTAACTCCATAGGCCAAAATATTAAGAAGTCTAACAAGATAACAACCTGATGCATTATGAGCAGAGAAGGTTGTCATAATCCTTAATGCACTCACTTGGCATCCTCTCCCTTACAAACTCCCAAGCTCTGGCAGGATAACACCACCAGAACTTCAGGCCTGTTTTCTGGGATTCACTCCATAATTTCCTTGCTGCTACTGCTGCTGCTGCTGCCGCCATTTCTGTGAGCATACCCTGACTCACATGGCAGCGAGGAACAGAACCCACCTTTGCCCAACTGCCCTCTCCCTTTTCCCCACAGCCCCTCCTCCTGTGGAGGTGGAGGTTTAGAAAAACCGAAGAGTATTCTGTCTGGGCCTGCAGAGTACTGATATAGCAGCACTCAGCCAGAAAACTAATGAACAGAGGGAATAGCAACAGGGCACCAGAGGGTGTAGGGGCTGTACTAGGCCTAAAGGAAAGGGGACTGGCATTCATCTAGAACAGTTTCTGTCCCCCCAGGAGTTGCCTGGGGCAGGGAATGAGGCCAAGAAAGTTGAATACCTCAGTGCAGAAGGAATCTGAGACACCTTTGTGGTCCAATCCTAGTAGGATCTACTATCAAAGAGGAAGCAGTCAGAAAATGAGCAGTAGAGGAATATAAAGCCAAAAGACAAAAACTGCCAAAGATCTCAAGAGGAAGAAAACTCAGTTAAAAAGCTGGAGTACAAACAGATAAATTAACGGAGGAGATAGCAAAACAGAAAGGAAAATGACCACCAGAGCACTTAAGTCCAAATACTGTAAGACCAAGGAAACTGAATCACCACCTGATGAGATAGAAGACCCTGTGGATTCCCAAGAGAGTTTGGGCCCACAGCAGGAGGTTCTCAAATGGTTCAAGAAAGAAATAAGAATTGTGAAAGCAGAATAAATGGCCTGAAGAGGAAAAATAATTACCAGAATAGAAAAACTTGAGTCCATAGTGACATGTCTCTTCAAATCAGATCCAACCAAGAGGCAAATGGAGCATTTCTTATAACTGTTATTACCTGTGCCTCAAAAATGGAACCAAAAACTTCTACACCATAGAAGGTAAATTTGTATATAAGGAGACATAGGTGAAGGACAGCAGTGTAAATGTCTCAGCTAGATTCCTCCTATTTTCAGCATGTGTCTGATCTGTTCCTTGCATGAGACTTGATGCTAATTTGGTGGCTGAAAACTAGCCTACCCTTCTGGAAAAAGCAAGTCACAAAAGCTAAAAGAGCAAGACAGAACGTTGTGAAGAATGAGGCTGGATAAAATTTCTAGTATCAATGGAAAGATATTATTTGAGGAGTGAGAGACAGAGAATGAAATCCAGTTTCCTACCAGTTTTTATGAATTCTGGGCTGTTTCAAAAGGAAAAGACAATGTAATGTATGATACAGAAATAGATTCAAGAGACAAAAACTGAAGAATTCTGGTGCTCTGACCAATCAATCAACAGGTATTTATTAAACTCCTCCTATGTACTGGGCACTGTACAAGGTGATAGGGATGCAAGTACAAAAAAATGGTATGTGTAAGTGGAAAAAATAAAATACTATTTACAATAAAATCAGTCCTCTTCTCAAAAAAAAAACATTACAAAGAGTGAAACAATCTCTGCTCACAAGAAGCTTCCATTAGAAAGCAAGAGATAAGTATACAGTATAAATATCAAGTGTAAATACAAATATATAAAGTATAAATACAAATATATCCCAAATAGCTAAATACCAGGTAGTTTGGGTGGGAGGGTACTGGTAGTTGGGGGAGTCAGGAAAGGCTTCAGACAGGAGATGGTGCCTGAGCTGCATCTTAGAGGAAGAGAGAGTTCTATGAGGTGAAGTCCATTCTAGACATGAGGGACAGCCAGTGTGGCTATACTGCAAAGTGCAAGATAGGGAGAGGGGGGAAAGGGGAAATGGGGGTTATTGTCCAATGAGTTAGAAATATGGGGTTACACACCTGGGAGACTGGATGAATGGTTGTGTATTTGGTGGAATTGGAATGTTTAAAAGAAGAGAGAGTTTTTTGGGGGAAAGGTAATGAGAAAAATAATGGTCACTTGAAAGAATAAAAACACATTTATTAAGCACCTATTATGTGCCATGCACTATATTAGGCTCTGGGGATACAAATATAAAAGTTAAACAGTTCCTGCCCTCAAGAAGCTTATATTCTAAGGGGCAAAGACAATACATAGGAGGAGTGGTAGCCAGAAAAGGAGTTTTAGGTTGGGTTGTCACAGGAGATAGTAAGCAAAGTCACAGAGCAGTCATAGAGCATAACCTTTTCAGAAGTATTTCAGAAGTGTGACAATATTGATTTGATTACTGTTCCCAGAATACAATGGAAAACATGGAGGGAGGAGGAGGCAGGAAGTAAAGGGGCATGCAGATAACAAGGTGGATAGGTGGATGGAATGTGAAGCATAGTGTAAGCTGGATAGATAAAGTGGGTTAGGTTGGTTTGTAATGAATTAGCCTCCATTCACTTAGAGTTGTGAACCATTTGGGGCCTACCATCATCTGAGAAAGGCTTAAAACCTAGATTGGTCAAACAGGAGAAAGACATTTTGCCACCCTCTGAGCTTAACCTACCATAGTGCTTTGTGTGCTCTGTCATAACAGACATGCTTTGCTTTGCTCTCTGAGTGAACCCAAAATGCCTCTTCCTGTGTCAGCAACTACAAGGCCAGATGAAGCTGATCAGGAACATTCTTCTGTTTATGACTACCAAGGACAAGGCCCCTTGAACTAGACACTATCTTGAATAATGGGACTTTTCATATGTTATATCATGTCGTTAATGATAAAAGAAACACAGACATCCTGGATCTATAATTTCAATTGACATCTTGACATTCTCTTATCTTACTGTATTTGCAACCTGTTCCATTAAGAAATTCCTTTCTCAGGGGCAGCTAGGTAGCATGGTGGATAGAGCTCTGGCACTGGAGTCAGAAGGACCTGAGTTCAAATCCAGTCTCAGACCAGACACTTGACACTTACTAGCTGTGTGACCTTGGGCAAATCACTTAATCTCAATTGCCTTGCAAAAAAAAAAAAAAAGAAAAGAAATTCCTTTCTCACGTTATGGTTAAAACATATGGAGACTATAATTTTGGGTTCACACAGGCATCCTGAGTTGGGATTGCTCTAAGTTTATAAAGGGTCTCCTTCAGCTTATTTACCTCTGAGTTCAGAATTATTTTCTGACTCCATCATGCATGATAATCTGGCTTAGTGAGAATAAATAAGCACATTATAGCACATGTATAGCCTGATTCTATTTGTTCCTTGTCCAAACGTTTGGTAAGGTGAACCCCATTCTGTTTGTTCTTATGACAAACCTTTGGTAAAATGGTTGACGGAGTCTACTCTATAATCATCCTAATGTATCAGGTCAAAGCGAGGATGGTTTTTAGGGGCTGAGCTCTTAGTCATTTGCTCTTCAGGATCTCAAGCCCCAAAGAGAAATGTAAGGGAACCCTGCCCTAACCAAACGATATACGCAGACACAATACAAAATGCAGAACCCTGGGACGTGAGCCTCCATAGCCATGTGAGAGGTAAGAAATGATTATGTTTCCATATAAGGAAATTGAGAGAAAAAGTAGCTCAGAGGTTCTAGAACCAGCTGAAAATGGACAAAACTGGTTGTCTGGGTTAAAGAGGCTGGAAGTAGGACAAAGGTTAAGCTTTACTTAAGAGTGTGCATGTGTAATGGGCTCATTAATACTAACTTCTCCACCCAGAGGGGAGCAATAGCACAGAACTAGGCACATTTCATATGTCAGAGGGAGGAGGGACATGTTATGAAGTGGGAGTATCAGGAAGATTGTAACCTGGAAGACCAGGGACCAATCCTGGCTCTAAAGGGAGGGACAAGAAGGAACTAACTGCATAAAAGGCTTGCTCTGGTGTCTGTCATTGTGTATGTCCCTTTTTCTTTTTTGGGGGCATATCACACACCTGATTCTTGCAAGAACTTCCTGTAAATAAACAAACATCCCTTTGCTCACTTCAGTTTAAGTTTTGTTTCTTAAGGGAGGACGGAAATCCGCATAATATGTAACCCTAAGAAGTGATTGAAACACAGTTTTTCACAGGTAGGACTTACCTTCCAGGCTTAGTCATGCCAATGTTATTTCCTGGAAGCTCAATGGCATCGATTACACTTTCCAGCTTAAGAAGAATTACTGCCAAAGCAAACAAAGGAGAAAATCAGGGGAAAGATTGGTAAAAGCTGTTATACAAGCTTCATAGTTCCCCTTAGGCAGATCTACACACATATCTCCTAGCTCTACACACAATATATTCAACCTCACACTTCTATGGGGTCTAAAAGAAAGGAAGTAAGAAATGAAAGAAAGTCTTCACTAACACTCTGACACCCAAACATCCAGATACTCATGTAAAGGTCAAGCAACAAAATCTCTCTTTTTCAAGTATTTAGGGCAGCTGACATCATGGTAGTGCTCAATGAATACCATCACTACTTCAACCATGCCTCTACACATCTCTCTGAACAAAAATGTGGTCTTTGTTTTCCTAAGTAAAGTCCAGAGCTTCTTTGGGCTGTGTTCTAAGAGAAAGTCTCAATCTAAAGAGCACTAGCAACTCCCATTCGTCCCAAAATTGGCCTGATACTTTGCTGTATTTGAAATTCTCACAGATGGTCCTTTTTTATTTTCTTTTTAAAAATGTTTTATTGATGCCCTTTGTCTTTACATCAGTCATTTTGTTGGAGAACACAGATGTTCCCTCTTCTCCCTGTTCCAGGTTGAATCCTCCATTGTAACACAGAAAGACAATTAAATGCAACCACCAATGATAACTATACCAGACAAAGTATAAATATTCTGTTCTAGTCCTCAAACTCACTGTAGTGAGGAGAAAGGTATTCTAGTATCTCTTCCCTGGGGCCAATTGCCTTTTAAACTCCTAAAGAGTTCAATTTCCCTCTAATGAGCCTCTCATTTACATTCTTGTAGTCACCTAGTTTGTAGTTCTTATTTGGAGTACTGCATTGTCCATCAGTTCACAGAAATCTTTCTAAGTTTCTGAATTTCTCATACTCATCATTTCTTACTACACAATGCTCCGTTATATTCATATGCCACAGTTTTTAAGTCATTTCTCAAAAGTCATTCATTTACTTTGTGTACAATTCTTTGAATATTTTGGTATATTTGGAACCTTTGTTTCTATCTTTCACCTCCTAAGGCCATATGCCCGCTAGCAGAATCATTAGATCAAAGGGATGTATAGTTTAGTCATTTTGACTGCAAAATTCCAAATTAATATCCAGAATGATTAAACTAATTCATAGCTCAACCACTAAAAGTTCATTAGTGTGTCTGTCTTCCAATTTATCTTTACCATCTTTTCTCATCTTTTTGAATTCATAGGATGCAGTGAAAACAGTTGTTTAAATTTGCATTTCTCTTACTATTAGTGATTTAAAACATGTTCCCATACATCGTTTATAATTTATAAAATTCATATGAAAACTATTTGTGTCATTTGACCACTTATCTATTAGAGAATGATGGGGGTGTTTCATATATATCAATTCACAACATATTTTGGATATCAGATTTTTAATCAGTGATATTTGATGCAAAGGATTCCCCTCCATCTGACAATTTCTCCTCTTTCTTCAATGATTTTATTTGTGCAAAAGCTTTTAAATTTTGTACTTTATAATTATCTAGCTTATCTTTTATGAACACCTCTATCCCTTGTTTGGTTAAGAATTCTGACCTCCCTTGCTACAAATGTGAAAGATACTTTCTTCCATTCTCAAATTTTTCTATGATGTGACCTTTTTATATTCGAGTAATGTATCCATTTGGAGCTTTTGGTGATATGTAGTGTAAGATGTTGGCCTAACCCTAATTTGTGCTAAACTACTTCCCAGTTTTCTTGGAAATTCTTGTCAAAAAGGGAATCTTTCATCCAAGTAATTTATGATATTGAGTTTACCAAACACTGAGCTACTATTTCATTCTACTAATCTATTTTTCTGCTTTTTAACCAATACAAATAGGTTTTATGATTGCTGCTTTATAATATAGTTTTCCTCATTATATCCCTTGAGATTCTAAACTGTGTGTTCCTCCAAATGAATTGTGTTACAATTCTGTATTGTTCTATAAAGTATGCCTTTGGTTGATTGATCTAAGCACTAAATTTGTAATTAATTTAAGTAAGAGCATTCTTTCATTGTATTGGCATAGTCCAACTATCTGAAGTGAATGTCTTTCCAAAGATTTGTCTTCTGTTATTTCTGTAGTTTTGTTTCTATAAATCTTACATGTGTCTTGGTAGGCCTAACCCTTAGATACTTTAGGCATTTTGTGGTTATTTTGAATTCAATTTTTCTCAATATTTTCCAGGTTTTTGTTAGCACTGTATGATGATTTTTGTGGATTTATTTTGTATTCTGCTACCTTACTTCAAGCTATTATTCATCTCAACTAGTTTCTTCGCTGATTTTTTTGGGGGTGTTTTAAGTATACCATCATGCCACTTACAAATAGGAATAATTTTGTCTCCTCTTTGTCATTTCTTGTAATTTTGTTCTCTCATTGCTATAGCTAGACTAGAATTATGCCAAAATTATGGGTAGAAGTTCCTTTTAAAGGGTTTTAACTAAAAAATTCAACAATGACCACCTATTTAAATTCAGCATTCTAACCAGCAATCCTATAGAGCTCGGTTTTAGAAAAAGAAGTAGAATGAGAAAAGCTAGACTTACTTTTTACTTTAGCTATATCTTCAAGCTCCATTTTCAGACCTGTACAAAACAAGAAAGCAAATCAATGTAGAGTCAGTATGTGATCCTACTGACAATCAGGACACTTTATACTAGATGTAGGTACAGTCTCGGCCAATCATCTTTCCCCATTATATGTCAGAGGACAGAAGTAATACAAGCAAAAAATCAGAGTTGAATAAGAAACCTGGAAACCTATCTAAAGACACGTACAGTTGAGATATGAGACTGTTAAGTTAAAAAGTTCATACCACCCATTTGTACATTCAATGCTCCAGACGAAAAGAAATACAAACGAATTTGGGAAGTGTCCAAAAATACTGACACTATATATACACTTAATCTTAGAATTTGAGATGCTGACCCCTTTTCATCTTAAGGAAGGTTGCTGTTATCCCAGTGAATAAGTTTCAATGGGACAAGGTTCTACTTGGCTAGAACTTGGATCCCCTGGTTTCTGGGGTCCCAGACTGTCAGAAAGTCAATTTTCAAATGGTGGAAATCCTGTTTTTATTCTAGTTTGAAGTCTGACTCTTTATTATTTCTCAAAAAACCCTCTTTCTTGACTCCCCTGGTCTCATGCCCACCTGAATTGTCAAGTTCCATGTTGAATTCTGCATGGATTTCATTTTGCTGCAGCAATTTCGTCTGTTCTTCTAGCACCTGATTTATAGCATCTAGACCAGATGCCAAGTCGAAGGGAGTCAAATCAAATGATGCTGATTCCTCACATACCTTCTCCTGAGAAGTAAAGAAACCCAAGTTGAGAGCAGAACCAGGAAGGAAAGCTACATACACTTCAGCTCTGAGAAGCTCTAGAGTCAGTAAAGCCAGAATAGCTTGCCAGTAGACTGGCAAGTCTCTAAGAGTATGTCTGTCGTGGACTGAGGTAGAGAACAACTGGAAGAAGTTAAAAGCACAGGAAAACGATACCTAAATCCCTTAATAAAAACAAACCTGACTCCTCCCTAGCAAAAGGATAGAAGTTAATGGGAATAGCCTGGCTATCTCCTGTATCTTGGGCTCTGTAGCTGCTCTGTGTAGCCAGAGATCTCACAATTAATGTACTTCCATGAAGCAGCATAGCTGCTTTGGAGTCAAATTCCTTTCAAATAACTATAATAATAAAAACTAACATTTATATAGAGCTTTAAGGTTTGCAAAACACTTTACCTGAATTGCCTCATTTGATCCTCAAAACAACTCTGTGAGGTAGATGTTATTATCATCCCTATTTTAGAGATGAGGAAACTGAGGCTGAGAGATGTTAAGTAACTCGTCACACAGCTACTCTTTGTCTGGGACTTAAACTTAGGTCTTCCTGACTCCAAGTCCAATACTCCATCTACCATATCAAAGAAAATCATCTGATGCAAAGCTCCTTGCTTATGCCTTTATCTCAGGACTTTGGCTAGCTCCTCACGAAAACAATTGGAAAATTCAAGCGACATGAGTTCAATATTGAAAATTCACTGATGAAACTCATGGACTTTACCCAAGGCAACTAAGAATCATATAATGTTGAGGGGGGAGTCAGAGAGACCACTCCCAAATCATAGATAGAATCTCCCCTGCCCCTGTAATCCAAAACATGGCCCTCCAAAAACATAGTCCAATCTCTGCTTGAACATTTCTAGTGACAGGAAACTCATTACATTATAAGACAGACCATTTCATTTTTACCTCTAGCTCTAATTTTTAAGATGTTCTTCCCTACATTGATCATTCATCTATTCATTCAATGATCCTAGTTCTGAAAGAGAGCTTAAGAATTAGTGCTTGAAACATATCTTCTTCCACAACCATTTCTACTCAGCAGGTTTTAAAAGCCATGATTCCCTGTGGTAGCTTTTCCTGCTCACAAAACCCAATGGTCTTGAGAACAAAGACAGTAAGTGTTTCCTTTTAGGACTAAGGTTAAGGAAATATTATGAAACAAGGAAATGATGGCCAAAAGGAGAGAATTTACCTGTGAATCATTTTCAAATGCCACTGCCCCCAAAAGATAGGAAAAATAAATCCACACATTATCACGTAATTTCAAGAATTAACTATACACTTCAATGAAACAAATTCTATTACATTGTTGGTAGGACTGAAGAATGGCTTCCAAGAGACTTCTAGCAATCTGGCAATACACAATAAAAGTCATAAAACTAACCATATATTTTACCCCAGCTGTTGTGACTCTATTCAAACAATGTTATTAGGAAAAAAGAATGCCCTATCTATACATAAATGTTCCAAATACCCCCTATCTATCCAATGGTTGGGAAATAGCTAAATGAATTATGGCACATTAATATAACATATGCATGTAATATATGTAATATTGTGTCATAAAAAGTAACAGATACAGAATACCAAAAAAATGGAAAGACCAAAATGAATCTGACTCCAATTATATGAATAAAAATCAATAAAGGAAACCAAATTTTGAAGTGCCAAGACTGATTCTTACTGACACTTACTACCTCCCTTGTCCCACCCCTAAATAGTCCAGCAGACATATACTTGTCAGTCTGCTTTTAAAAAGGACTTGATCTAAGTCTCTGGGAAATCCAATCCAATTACATGCCGAGGGAGGAAAATGTCATGGGCTTGGGGAAATGAGAAGATCTTTGAGTCAGATGTGGAGAACACTAATTCAAAGCCAAGGGGAAATGTAAAGAATCCTAGAAACTTACCACATTGTGAGCCTCATCAAAGATCACTATTGTCCCTTTAAGATCAATGTTGTGTGCCCTTCGTGTCTGCAGAAGCAAAGTTAAGGAAAGGGAATGTATGAGGCTGAAGGCAGATGAAATAGAAACTAAACTCAACATTCACATGAGTTAAAAAAGGCATCTTTGGGAAAAGTGCATTCAAATGGTTTGGACTGACCAGTCTTTCAAACTAAATGGTATTTGCTTTGGGGAAGCAGAAAAATAAGAAAGAAAACTGAGAGGCCCATGCTGGAGAGACATTCAGAAGAATATCAAACACCATGTGCCTGGACCAAGTACTCTGGCTTGTCCCAGCTCCCTTCTTTTGCCTCCAACTGTTACCAGAGAATAGCAGGGTTTTTCCCTCTTGGTGTGTTTAGTGGAAATGAAGTTCCAGATCATACTGACCCAAATGATGCAAAAGTTTCCTTTCTGCTTAGGTACCAAATGACCACAATCCTTCTGACAAAACAAATATTTGAATATTTTACAGGACTGCTCTAGAAAAGGACCTTTCCCAATAGCTTGGCACTGTTCATGCTATCACAAAATGACTGATCTACAACTTTGGCATATTTAAGCCTCTGCCTGGCAGTCCCAGGTTCCTGGCAAACAGTAAAGTTTGAGCAGATCTTGGTCTCTTGCTGCTATCAGAAGATTTCAGAGTTTTTTACTCTTGCTCTATTCTTTGTGGCAGTGAAGGTACAAAGGACCCTGAACCAAACAATACCTTTAACTAAGGCAAAATGTGTACCTGAAGCATCCCTTCCCTTTAACCTTTTATACCAGGCTTAAGTCACTAAAAGTCAATAAGGAAATAAGTATTAATACAAATAATGAAGTATTACCTTGGAGTCCAACAGATAATTGTATGGCATAAAAATTATGTCTGCTTGCTGCTTTAGCGTCCGAGATAAATAATAAGGGCAGACTCTGTTAAAAATGAAAGAACAGGGAATCAGGTACTAATACCACTCAGAGAAAGATGAGATTACACTCAAACTCAAGGGACTGGACATGTGAACTGCACTGACCACCTGAGTGAGGAAACTCCCTTTATAACTGCACCTTCTCCACAACTTAGAGTTTTCTAGGAGAGGCTGAGATATTCCCAAAAGATAGAATGGGCATGCTAGCTTTGAAGACAGGTGGCTGCCAGGAAGGACAAAAGCCCAACTCATAGGTGCTTCCACATGTTAAGAGATCATATAAGGGGAGAGGAACTGGGAAGCCACATAGATCAAAAGTAACATTTTAGTTTTCTGTAACAGGGATCCAGGAACAACACTGGGATTCCTATCGAGTCTATAACACTCTAAGTCTTCAAAATAATGTGGCTGCAGCTTTATAAGTCTCAGCCTTCTTTCTGAAGAGCTCTACTTGAAGGAAAGTAAAGACCTACAATGTAATCAGGTAACACTGATGTCTGGCTAATAGTCCTTTACGTTGCCTTCTGAGATGGCCAAGAGTCCACAAATAAGGAGAGGCAGCACCAGAACTGACTACTCAACAACAAAAAGGACTTAGCTGGGTCCCGACGGACTCAGGGACATCAGCAAAAACTGGAATAGGGTAAGAACTGGCAGAGGTCTGGGCTGTAAGTTGAAAGGACTTCTGAGAAGAGCCATGAAGGAGCTCATACCACTCCAGTGTCTCCTTTCTGGCAACTTCTTATCATTGTTACAAAGCCCCATTACCTACAGTAAAGCTAACCAAGAGACCCTGTGGTAGGTAATAGGAACTGTGAGCCAGCCTTCCTCTTCCTTCTCACAAAAGCAGAGCAGTGAAGGGAGGAAGGGAGCAAAGGGGGTTCTTACTTGTGCTTGTTGCCACTTTTAACCAAATCTTCAATATCCAAGATGGAAGTGACCAGCTCCTTCTCTGTGCTCTTCTCTGTGAGAATATAGCCAAGAATGAATAAAACTCTTCTTTTTTCTTAAATTTATTTATTTTTAGTTTTCAACATTCACTTCCATGAGATTTTGAGTTCCAAATTTTCTCCCCATCTCTCCCCTTCCCCCACCCCAAGACGGTGCGCAATTTGATAGAGGATCTACACAGATATTCACATTAAACCTATTTTCACGTTAGTCATGTTGTAAAGAATTAGAACCAATGAGGGAAACCACGAGAAAGAAGAAAAGAAGAGAGCAAGCAAATAATATGCTTCAATCTTCAGTTAGACTCTATAATTCTTTTTCTGGATGTGGATAGCATTTTCCATCAAGAGTCTTTTGGAGTTGCCTTTGCAACAAAAAGATCTTTGCATTGCTAAGAACAGCTAAGTCTATCAAAGTTAGTCATCACACAATATGGCTGTTGCTGTGTACAACATTGCCTGGTTCTGCTCATTTCACTCAGCATCAGTTCATAGAAGTCTTTCCAGGTTTTTCTGAAGTCTTCTTGCTCATCATTTCTTAGAGCACAACAGTATTCCATTACATTCATATACTACAACTTGTTCAGTCATTCTCTAACTGATGGGCATCCCTTCAATTTCTAATTCTTTGTCACCACAAAAAAGAGCTGCTATAAATATTTTTGTACACATGGCTAATTTTCCATTTGTATGATCTCTGGGATACAGACCTAGGAGTGGTATTGTTGGGTCAAAGGGTATGCACAGTTTTATAGCTCTTTGGGCATAGTTAAAAGTCTATTTTTCACATAAAGATTTCATGAGTTCTTGAATCAATCCTCAAGCCCCAAAGACAGAGATCATTCCATAAGCTGGGTAGTATAGCTTCCCAATAGCAGAGTGCTCTGGGATAATATTTATGGCAAAAATACAATACCTGGCACACTGTAGACTGTCAGCACAATTGTAACTCCCTTGGGAAAGTCTAGGGAGCATCAGTGAAAGTTGGTGGGAACAAAGAATAGACACACCCTATACCTTAGCATGAGTCCTCCCATCCTAGGCTGTATTATCTACACCAAAACTCACAGTTAGATGTCAATCAGGTGAGGACACAAAGCCAATCTTTTTTCAGGGTACCAACAGAAGCAGAATAGCTAGCTGGTTCTTACGTCCATCCCCAAGACAAACTGCCTGGTGTCAAAGCCTGGGGAGGCAGGAATACCAAAAGATATCAAAGGGGGCTGAGCACGAATGCCCACAGGCTGTGGTATTATTTAGCCTTATGGGATGGAGTAGATAATAGAAAAGTAGCTCACTCAGAGATTCCTGGAAGGTAAACAGACCTATCTTTTTCCCTGTCACCATCCCTTACTCAAGGCAGCTAGGTGGCTCAGTGAGCAGAGTGCCAAGCCTGGAGTCAGGAAGACTCATTTTCGTGAGTTCAAATGTGGCCTCAGACACTTACTAGCCATGTGATCTTGGACAAGTCACTTAATCCTGTTTACCTCAGTTTCCTCTTCTGTAAAATGAGGTGGAGAAGGACCACTCCAGTATTTTTGCCAAAAACAACAACAACAAAAAACCCAAATGGAGTCACATCTGAAGAGCTGGACACATCTGAAACACAACTGAAAATCCCTCACTCAACCTGACAGATAACCTTCACCTCCTTTTTAAACGATCACGAAGACAGCAGTTGCAATGGACTGTTGTTCTTGCATAATCTCAATTCAAACAAACCTCTAAAGACAGTCATCAGTCAGAATGAGCTGTTAGGCTGCAATATGCAGATAATTCACGCCTTGATTTGTCCTCTCTTACCAATTAAAATAAATTCTGGTGTCTTTAAACATAAAAAGAAAAAATCAGGTTCAGAAGCAATACAACATAGAAGAGTTTAAGGGACAATCAAAATCTGTGGCTAACACAAACCAGAGCTAAAAGGATCAATAAGATGAGATTGGCCACACAGCGGCGTGACAATGCATAAGCTCCCTACTGTCCCAAGCCTGAGTATTGCACGTACTGTGGAACAAAGCCAGGGAATACAAAAGGGACCTAAGGAGGAACAACCTAGCAGAGAAACTGGCTTGCCACAAGGAGAACAAAGAAACTAAAAGCCCATGACATGAAAAACAAAAGATAAACAAGAGCAGGGGGGAAAGTGCAGTAAGGGTCAACCCAGTAGAGATCCATTTAGTCTAAGAAAAGGGACAAAATCAGGATGGAGAAGCCAAGAACAAACCTTAGAAAAATCCTGCAGAGTGGTAAGATTTATTAGATTATGTAATAATTTCAAACAGTCTGGGGTGGGGGGAGGACCTTGATAAAGTTCGGTGATGAGATAAGAAGGCTGATTCAGTGACTCTGACCCCGTTATCTTTACTCTCACCTTCCTCTACCACAGCCAATAGGTGGTGATTATCCCAGGCCAAGTGCAGGATCAAAAGTTCTGAACTGAGAAAGTTCTACATCTGGGAGAATAGTGCTGTAGTTAAGCCACCTAAAAATGCTAGTTTTCCTTGCTGGCAATGGAAACTAGGCATCAAAACTTTTATGTTAAACTGCCAGGGATTCAAGGAGAAAAGTCTCATATGGAACACAGCTTCTGAGTCAATATAGGCCCTTTAGTGGGGGCTGACATTTACGAGAAGGTACCAATATATAGAAGGTGCATTAACCATACTACTACCTATTCAATCATTTTCTGAGTAGAAGTCCTTAGACAGACTAAGCCCTTTAAAATAACAGTCCTCTCTGCACAAATGTGGCATAGGCTTTCCAGGCATTTCCTTGCCACAACAGTAGCAAGCATTTATATCAGTGAGTTCTCTGGTTTGGTCCATTCGACAACCAAGTACTAGAATCTTAATTCCAATGACAAGAATAAGCAAACACTTGTTACCTCCTACATGAGCCCTGCTCTCACTAAAAAAAAAAATCCCTCTGCTCCTCCAGAGCATGATGGGCCCAAAACATCTCTAAGGTTCCCAGAACAGGGACATTAGGGAAAGGCAGAGACAAGGCAGAAAGAGGAGAGAAGGTATCCATTCAGCAGCACCATAGCAACAGCAGCAGCCAATTGGCATGCTGTGTACTAGAGCTCAGCCAGAGACCAACACAAAGCCTTCCTATTAAGAGTTATTGTTTAACCCTGGCTGGCAAACTCCCCAGGGTATGCTTTTTTCCCCTTATAATTTAAGATCAACTAATCAAAGAAGCAGCTAAAACAGGAGCAAGAAGAGCCATCTTTTAAAAATCCTAAAATCAAAAGGATTAACACCTAAAATTGCTTTCTGAAAACAGTTCTCTCTACCTGGCAAGGAACTGGAAGATCAAACATGACTGTCCTTGTTCCAAATCACTCCCTTTTGTGATTTTTTTTTGGGGGGTGGGGAATAGGTAATGGGGTTAAGTGACTTGCCTAGTGTCACATAGCTAGTTAGTATCAAGTGTCTGAGGCTGGATTTGAACTCAGGTCCTCCTGACTCTAGGGCCAGTGCTCTATCCACTGCACCACCTAGCTGCCTTAAATCACTTGCTTTTGCTGGGGACTGACAAGTTAGTTCAGATGGCTCATACATGCAAATGTGAGCTGGAATATGGGAGTGTTTCTGTAACACCAGAACCATCAGGCCATGGGCACCAAGCTTGTTCCAATAAAATAGACTCACTGAGAGGTACCTTTAATAAGAAGCTCAACATTTAAGAAGGGAGCCAAAGGCACAAGACCAGGAACACTGTGGTCCATGTTACAGTCTTCCCGACAACTCTAAAAGCCTATGCTTCCACTCTAGAAACCTCAAGTGATTTGCAAAAACAACCCCGGGTCCAACTGGTCAAATCTAAGCTTTTAAGCACTTAAGAATAGAAAACTGATCTGGCTTGAACTGTTGAATGATTTGTAAATGTAAAGATGACTGACTACAGAGGAACAAAAGGAAAGAATTCACAACAGAAAGGTGCAGGAGGAGCTGGAAATAAGCAAACCAAGAGCTATGGGTAAGCTATAAAGAATTTTAGAAAGAATTCAATGACAAAAATCCTCTTGCAACATGCAACAGGTGTCCGTCAGCTTTCATAATTACAGCTGCTAAATGGGCCAGGTGAGTAGGAATGGAGTAGCCAAGGCTCGTTACAGAAAAGCAGCCTTGGGCTGCATAGTTGACAGCCACAGGAAGTTCTCCAGGAAGGTTCCTCAACAGATGTAGAAAGGTGACATGACAAAAAAAAAACAAACCATTTCTTAGTGCCTTTGACTTAAACCTTCCTGGTTCCTTAATATACTCCCAATTTATCTTTCAAGAGACTGAATAGGAAGCTAAACAATTCTCTGATACTCTTTTATCCCTCCCCTTCCTTTTCCATCTTGTGGTCTCTTTTCCTATCAGCACCCCCATCTTCTTTGGCTGTTTCTCCCCTATCTGTTTTGTGCTGATTTCTGCATGCACTGAAATCTCCTGATATTTACATTTCCAACAACTGACTCAGCTGCCTCCTGGCCCCTCCCCATTCCACCCCTTTCTGGTCTTCAGCCAACACTGCTGATGCTAGGCAGCTTCCCAGAAAGCTGAGAGGCTGGCTTTCCTATGCTGAGGCCCAGAGCTCAAGCACTGGCTCAGCAAGGACTTTTAGATTTATGATTGGCAAAGGTTTTTTTTCTCCCTAGCAATAGCAAGTCTGGCTGGAGCTGGTTTAGGGGCTTGTCTGTAGCCTGAGCATCAAGAGAAGTAAAATTCAAGGAGTGGGGCAAAAGAAAGGCAGCTATATGCTTTCTCCAGCTGGCCTCCCCTTAACCACTGCTATGGATAGCTACCCAGAGGCAATGGCTCCTGGGGATGAGGTCTCTACAGATTCCTTTAGCTGGCTGGAGGGGGCATTCCTGGTAGCCCTGATGTCACCCAGGCCAGCCACAATAGGTAGAAAGTAGAATTATCCAGTGAGGACATCAGGAGCCTTGGAGCCAAGGCCTTTCCTAAACTAGATGATGGCCTCAAACAGTTCATTTACTCTATGTGCTGTGGTTTCCTCAACCAAATGCCTAGTATAGGCCTTCCAAGGAAGTTATGAAGAGAACTGGGAAGCACCAGTAAGTATATATCAAGAGTTCCTGCAGAGGAGCTATTTAATTCTAGGCCACAATCATTCTGCATTTTTCAGCACAGTATCAAAAACTGTCAGCATCCTTTTGAGAACAATCAACCTTCAACCAAGAAAAGCATTCACTGGGGATTCCAGCTCCTTTGCTTCTCCCTCCTGTGGTTTTCTTATGAACAATTTCACTGGTCTTTTATATTTCCACCACGACTATGTGGATTAGGACCAGAGGAGGCAAAGAGAGTCAAGGAAGGGAGGAGAGAGGGGGAGGAGAGAGGGGGAGGAGAGAGGGGGAGGAGAGAGGTGGAGCTTCCCAACCAATCCTTGTCAAGGACATCCTAGGCACATGTTCTACAATGGTTTCCCTTTGCCATTTTTGATCAGGAAATCTAGTCTCTGATATTTCCTACTATTATGGCTGGCCTAGATGGCATCAGGGCTGCCAGGAATACACAACTATTGTGGGAAAGAAGACGGATAGTAGGTGTGTAGGTGTGTGTGTGTATGTGTACGGAGGCTGAACAAGGTGGTACTGATGAAGGAGTAAGGAAGAAAATGTACTCTAGTACATCCCAGCAAATCTAAAGGAATAAGATAAAATGAAAAAGGTTGGAAATAATGGCTTAGGGGAATAGGTCTTAAATATTGGTTAAACTAATGCAGAGCCTTCATCCCTCATTCACCACCACCAAAGGCCAGGGTAGGTAGGTAGAGGTAACCACTGTTTAGACCAAACAAGGAACTCTTGACACAGATATCCCTGCCCCAGCATATACTGTGGCCTTTGTCACTCAACCCTGGAAGTCTGGAGTTCCAGCCCTGGCTGTTCTCAAGGACTGGGACTGGAGGCCTCCTCAATCCCTGGCAATTGTGCCCTCTATCACTGCTTATCACCCAGTATTAAGGATATAAAAAAAAACAGCACCATCAATCTCTCATCACTATTGACTGTCTGAGGAGGCTGGGGGCAGGGATGGGGTGGGGTGGTGGGGGCTGCTGCTGAGGAAGGAGGACATCCTGCTTCCATTGCCGCAATGATGTGAAGTGGCTAGGGGATGCCTGGGCCTCCTTTATCACAAGGCTCTACCAAAATCAGTTTGTCTCTATCATGAAGGTGCCCGGTAGCATTTTGCCCAAGATTCACAACTATCTCCATTATACATCCTTCCCAATCACCATTATCATTAACCCTCCCATCACCTTTACTGACCACCTGAATGAATGCCCTTTCCACTGGTCTGTTTCCCTATGGCTAGCAAATTCCTACCTCCTGCTCCCCCAACCTCTACAACTCAGAGCTCTTCTCTTGCCAAGGTAAAATCCTCTCTATTCTGTTTCCTTTTCCTGGCCTCAGTTCATCACTGTCTTCAACTCTCCTGAGCTCCCTCTCCACTTTAATCTCAGCCATCCCCAGGGATGGGGCCCCCACTTTAGCCTTCATCAGCACTCAAAACATTACATCTCTCTAATCCCGACTGAAATGCATTCTGTGATCATAATGTCCCATTTCTCCTTCTGCTCGTTTCTCTGTAGTCTACTGTTCTGCCTCACTGTGACCTCCAATCATTCCCTCCTCCCTCCCTGTTCTCCTAGTGTACCCCCCCTTTTCTGGCCTCAATTTCCTCTTTTCACAATAAATCAATCAATGCACATTTATTAAATGCCTACTATGTGTCAGACACCACTATAAACTCTGGGAATACAAAAAGAAGCAAAAGACAGAGATCACGAGATTATAAGGGTTATGAAGAGAGTGAGAGGAGAGAAGGTGGAGGCACCTATTGTACTTGGACTTTTTGAGGACTTGCCTACAAAAGGCCGAGGAGATAAAGGATGATAGTAGGGATGGTAGGATCAAGTGAGGGTTTTTTCAGGATGGAGAAGACGTAAGCATGTTATTTTAGGCAGTAGTGAATGGGCCAGTAGACAGGAAGAGATTGAAAATAAGTGATAAACAGATTGTACACTGTCTGTGGAGGGAGAGGGAAAAAATTCAACTCAAAAACTCATGGAAGTGAATGTTGAAAACGAAAAATAAATTAATAAAAAAATTATTAAAAAAATAAAAAATAAAATAAGTGAAAAAGCAGGGATGCTGGAAGGGGCAATCTGTTGGAGGAGACAAGATGGAAGAAGACTGCTTGAACAGGTAAAAGGGTAAGGCTTGGTAACGGTAAGGTAGCTAAGTGGCAAAGTAGATAGTACACTGGGCCTGGAATCAGGAAGATCTGAGTTCAAATCTGACCTTACTAATTCTGTGACCCTGGATAAATTACTTAACTACCAACTTGGCTTGATACATATCTACTAAGCTCAAGCTGAGCCTCAGACAACAATCACATTTATTCACGGAAGATGGGGACCCAGAGTGAATGATTTAGTTAACTTCAGTTAACCTATTTATTCACAGTAGAATAGCAAGAACAGGCCTAGAGGTTTTGTGGTTGTAGTGACACAGGAAGGGGGAAGGATGACGAACATTAGGCCACTCTCAAAAGGCTGCAGCCCAGGAGAAAGAAGTCCCAGACTAGATGGCAGCAGCGAGTCACCAAAAACTCATCCAAACTCCCAACTAACCCTAGGAGTGCCAGAAAGCTCCAGTAAGGCTCCCAAGGTCTTGCAAAGACAGACATGGCCATTTGAGATCTAATAGGTTGTGGATAGAATAACAGGGCTCTTAAAACAGATTCCAGTGATAGAACTGCCAGGTTTTAATTAGGAAAACATTTTCCATATCTAGAATTTGTATTGCATCTACTTCCTAAGAGATTTAAAACAACTTACAAAGTTAAATACATGGAAAACAAGACAATTGGAAGAGTTTTATCCTTCCTAGTGTTCTAGCCTTTTTGAGGCTGCCTGCCATGATTGGGTTTTATCCTCAAGAGAGTGGTAAAACAAGCCTACTAAGAATACAAGTGGCAACAAAATGTAATAGGACGTAATAAATAAATATAAATATGGTTGATTTCAAGCAACCATTCAATTCTAAAGATACCAATGAATACTTAACTATTTTTTTCTTTTTAAAACTGTTCTTTTATGTGATGCAGCTCTAGCAACCATTAAATTTCTTTGTTAACAAGACACTGCATCTTAAAAGAAAAGGAATGGAACTTTTGGTGTGGCTGCTCCAGGCCTGAGAATATTCACTTTTTCCTTTCTGGGGCATACATTTGTTCTGGATGTTATCTAAACTATGCAATTGGATAATTCCCCATTGTGCCCTTCTATCCCAATGGAATAGCTTGCCACTGTGCAACAGACCAGGGTATTTAGAAATATGGATGATTTGAGGATTATTTCAGAGGCACCAGACAGAAAACGACATATGACCATTTGGGGAGAATATGTAAAATATCAAGGTGTTAAAAGGAAATCCTGTATCCTTTCTAGCACAGGAAAAGCAGCACAACCGCAACATTTTTTCACATGAGACAGCTGACTTTTCCCCAGCTAAAAGTTTATTTTACAAATTACCTCTTCCTCCTAAGTCTGTGTCCTCATCTATAAAATGAGAATGAGACTTCCATTACTTACCTAACAGTGGCCATTAGCAAAGTGCTTTGTAAACTTTAAAGAGCCATATAAATGTGAGTCACTGTTATTAATACAGATGAGAGTTTTACCTTTAGCACAGTTTGCTAATGTTCCTAATGTAACAAAATGAACCCAAGGTCATCTGCTGTTGAGGAAATATGATAAATACTGAACTCCAAGGACCACAACTGGCTGCCTAACTCTAGAACCGGTCCAGTTAACAGTACTCAATTCATCACCATCTGATGGCACTGATCCTGACGATCAATGACTTGCTTTAAGAGGCCATGTTTTACAAGTACTTTCTCATTGATTTCCTGCTCATTGGAACCAGTCTGAATGCTACTGGACAAATAATCAAAAGAATGCCAAAATTTCAAGGGAGAATCTGAACTACCCTTCAGGTCATGACAGAAGAATACCAATATTAAACCATGGCAAGGATTACCTACCTACCTACATTAGGGTCTATTTGGAATAACTCCCTTATAGGAATTCCGGAGTAATTAGAAGTCATAACAATCATTCAAACACACATCTCTGATTATTATCCCTATGTGGCCAAAGGGCAAGTCCCATGAACTGGACTATTTATGGTCAGAGTCAGAAATAAAACCCTGGAATCCTAATTGTTAGTACTTGGCTCCATCCAGTAGAGCACCTACAAGGGAAGCAGGTGAGTCCTTAAGAAGTAGGCCATGTAAACTCATATTTTATATCATTCTTCCTCAATGCCTCTTCCAAAGAAGCTGAGGATGTTCTTATTTACCTTCCACATTGTTGTAGAAATGACAAGAGTGAGTTGACACCTTCTTTCGACACACATGGATCTGGAAAATAAAATATATTTGTGTATTCATCTGAAGAGTCAATGTGCCCAGAAGACAAAAGAAAAGTTTTGTTATGGAAGATGTAAACGACAAAAATCAGTTTAGTTGGATACCAACTGGTTGGGGTGCTGTGCTCCCAATTTTGTTCTTCCTTGCTCTAATAGATAGTTGCTAGTTAGAGTTTCTGCACTGAGTCAGAGGCCTATTGACCAGCAGTCACTGGCCAGGAGACTGTCTTATGGGAAGTGAATTCCCCACCACAGGACACATTCAGCAGAGGCTGGATGGCTCCTTGTGTGGTTGCTGTCAAGGGGATTAGACTAGATGAATTCTAAGATCACTTCTCTAAAGTCACTTCAGAGACTATGATTCTAGGAGCAATGACTTACCTTGGGCTACCTTCATATCACAATACCAGAAAAAGCAGAACAAAGAGAGGTGAGCATGGATTCCTCACCTCAACCATAATCCTATCCAGTTTCAAGAACTGGGAATAAAGACAGTAAGTACTGCTGAAATCTAGGCCTAAAACTATCAATTAATCAGCAAGCATTTGTTAAATGCTTATTATGTACTAGAATATACAAAGACAAAAATCAAACAGTCCCTGCCCTCAAAAAGTTTACAATCTATCAAAAGAAACATGATGCACAGAAGTTATACAAAAGAAAAACAAGGTAATTTTAAGGAACAGGCACCAGCAACTAGGGAATCAGCAAAGATGTCTCAGCCACACACAGAGATGATCACAGCTTGGGTTTCTCCCTCATCCAATGTTCCAATTCCATAATCAAATGCATTCTTCTATCTGATCATAATTCTCCTTATCATTCTGTCTTTCTTTGTACCTTACCCTCCTAAACCTATTCTTTGTCCTGATCAGAATCTCCAATCCCCTCCACCCGTCAGTACTTCCTCAGGCTCTTACCCCACTCTGATTTTGCTTCCCTTCCTTCACAATCTCAACCCTGTTCTACTCTCTTTTATCTTCTACTCCCAAATCCCTTTCCCTCTTCTACTTCCATTCATGCCTTGCCAAGCACCAACCCTGCATCATTCCTACCCTATGTTTCCTCTGCTCTTCTTCACATGCTGCTGAAAGGAGCTGGACAAAGAACCAGCTGGGTCCACTACAAATTCAGCTTGTCTTACCTCAAATGGACCCTCCGTGCAGCAAAGCAATTCTTTAATTCCTAAGTGATTCACTATCCCGCTCCTCGGGACCATCCAAACTTTCTTGTTTCAAATGTATCATACCACCTTTCTTCCCTTCCTTCCCAACCTCCCCTTCCCTGCCCTCCAGCCCCCACCTACCCCCAAACCTCAGGTAAGGATTTCACCTCCTATTTTATTGAAAAAAGAGAGGCCATTAGTTTGAGGCCCTTCTTTTCTCCATGTCCTCACAACAAAATCCTCTGACATCATCCTACATTCTCTCCTTTACTCTAATCTCTGACGATGAGATTGATGGCAGTTTTTTCTTGCCAAAGCCAACCCTACATGTGCACTTGATCCCATTCCCTTCTGTCTTCTCCAGCTCCCTAAAATGTTATCCTCCAGCTAATTTTTAAATCTCTCCATTTCTACCAGTTCCTCCCCTACTAACTACAAATATGGTCAAGTCTTCCCCATCCTGAAAAAACCTTCACTAGACCTTACCACCCCCTAAAGCTATCATCCTATGTATCTTTACCCTTTCTTGACCAAACTACTAGAAATGTCTGCTGATATTCATAGCCTCCCTTTCTACTCCTCTCACTTCCCTTCTCAACCTTTGAAACCTGGCTTCTGATGTTATCAATCAACTGATGTTATCTCCAAAGTGACCAGACCCACAAAATCTGTTGGTCACCTCTCAATCTAAATCCTTCTTGATCTCTCTGCAGATGCTGCTTTCCTTCTGGATACTCTTCTATGAATTATCCTAACAGTGCTCTCTCCTAGCTTTCTTCCTACCTCCCCAACTGGTCTTCTCAGTTGCCTTTGATGGATTATCATTCATATCGCACTCTCTAATTATGGGTTTACTTCAAATTCTCTGGCCTGTTTCTTCTTTTCTTTTCCCTTCCCCCTTGGTCCTCCCCCCCTTCTGTCCCTACTCTCTCCCCTGGTGACCACATAAATTCCCATGAATTTATCATCTCTTTAAAAATGATTTCCAGATCTATATATCCAGTCCAAATCTCTCTCCTGAGCTCCAGGCCCAAAACACCAACTGCCTAATGGACACTTCAAAATGGAAGGCCTACAGATACCTCAAGGTCAACACATCCAAAACAGAACTCATTATCTTTCTCCTCAAACTCACCCTGTCCCCAAATTTCCCCATTTCTGTCAAAAGTATTTTTGTTACCCATTCGGTTCCCCATACTCACAACTTCAGCATTATTCCTGACTCCTTACTCTTCCTTACCCCACATTATCACATCTGTTTCTAAATTTCATTGTTTCTATCTCCACAATATCTTACATCTATCCCCTTCTCACTATTCACACAACTACCCCTGTAGTTCAATCCCTCATTAACTTTTTAGAAAGACTTTTAAATTCTTATTACTTTTTAAATATTCATTTTAAAAAATTTTGGGTTCCAAATTCTCTCTTCCTCCAACCACACCCCCACCCCATTGAGGTTTTTTTTTAAACATTCTTTTTTTTTAGTTTCATTAACTCTTAACTGAGCTATTATAATGGCCACCTAATAGTTCTTCCTCTCACAATTCTTTATTCTTTTCAACATAACCTCCAGAGCTGCCGAAGTGACCTTCCTTGAGCACAGGTCTGACCATGTCATTTCCCCACTCCATAAACTCTAGCAGGTCTCCACTGCCTCTAGGATGAAATATAAATGCTGCTGTTGGGATTTTAAAGCCTTTGGCAACCTGGCACCAACCCACCTTTCCAGACTTATTATATGTGCATCACCTCCCTTCCCATATTCTATAGTCCAAGCAAACCTGTGTTGTTGCCATTCCCTCACACACAACCCTCCCTTGTCTGTTCCCATGGCCACCCTCCATGCCTGGAACACACTGTACTCTCTTTTCTCCTAACTTTTAGAATCATCTTTTTTCTTTAATAGTCAGCTTGACTGAGCAACTTCTACACAGAAGCCAACCTGGTCCCCCTAACTGCTAGTGCCTTCTATTTAAATTACTTAAATTACTTCAAATTACTTTGAATTTCTTCTGAATATATTTAAATGTGTACAGATAGTCTTCATCAATAGAATATAAGCTCTTGAGAGTAAGGACAATTTTATTAATGTTATTATTATTATTTTGTATCTCCAGTGCCTAATACAGTGCTTGGCACACAACAGGCACTCAATAAATGCTTATTGATTGATAAAAGTGTAATAAGCCTGAAAAAGTAGGTTAGAGCCAGGTTGTGAAAGGCTTTAAATGGCATACAGAAGAATTTGTACTTGATCCTAAAAGCAACTGGCTACACCTGGAGTTTATTAAGGGAGGGGGGAAACACGGTCAGATCTGTGCTTTGGAAAAACTGCTTTGGCAGCTGGGTGGACGATGGAAATGAAAGAGGAGAGACTCTCCTCTGGGGCAGTTAAGTTGAGGGCAACACCACTGAACAGAATAAAGAAAGTCCCCAATACGCATTCAGAAAATACTGCCCAACTTCCTGATGAGTTGTAAGCAAATGGAAAGGACATATAAAGTGGAAACAATGAAGACACAAAGTCCAGCATAGAAAATGCCAAGTTCCTACCTGTACGTGGTTACTTTCTATCTTCCTCACTTCAGGGTTGATACACAGCTGCTCTCTAGAGCCCAGTACACACACCTTTGGTCTGTTTAAAAATAATGTACAGTTAGTAGGAAAAAAGAAGTTCACAAAACAGACTGCAAAAGACATGGCTCAGACAGAAATTGGACACATGCAAAGAACAAGCATAGACAGGGTAGCTAGCTATAAAGGTATAGGAGGAAGACCAGAAAGAAAGACAGGTGGACAGTACAGCTTTGAAAGCCTTAGGATGAATTTATTAGATACTCAAAAAGAAAAGCAAACTCTGTATAAGAGAGATCTGAAGTTTCAAGTACAGTTTCTTTTTTTGGTTCTAAAAATGCTTTAAAAAATGCCAATTTAATTTGGTGTTTGAAAAGTTCAGAATAGAAATGTTTTAGCTTTTTAAAAGCTATACTGAAATGGTTATGGTTATTTACATGGGCCACTGAGCGGCCCTTTTCCATCTTAAATGGATCACCTTAAATCCTCCTCTAATCCAGGAAGTTTTGTTAAAGAAGATTCAGTGGGGTAGATTTGGTAGATTTCTTAAACTGGGTGGAAGAGTGGAATGGGGTGAAGAGGCAGAGAGGGAAAATGATGCTCAAGTGTTACACAATAATGACCTCCATTTAGGAGCCTAGTAAGAGGCAGGAGATAAGGATATATAAATGAATCTTCTTTTGTGAGTTCTAATCAAAATCCCTACCATGCAGAGAGCTATTCCCTCAAGAACTCAGAGTGCAAAAGGCTTGCTCTGCTTGAAGTGGTGATGGAGTCAAAGAATTACAACAAGCAAGATCGGGAACATGGAAGTGTACAGAGGAAAAAATGCATATTGAACCCTGACCTAAGCATCTGAGTTCCTCCTTACTCCTAACATGAGAAAGTGTCTTGAAACATGATGCCAGGTATTCATCTTGGCTCCAGACTTTCAACCCATTAAAGAAAATAAGGGTAGATAGATTGGGCCACTCCTCTAACTCAGGGAAGATGAACGGAGATGAGTAAGAAGAGAAAGTAAAATGCATGCAATGTGGAAAACGAAATCATTTCTCAAAAGAAAATGGCATTCAATACTGAAATTTAAAAAACATTAAAAACTCATCCATTTCTGGGGACTGGTTCAGCTCTTTGGACACTAAGACCTTCTCCTCTCCATATTTATTATATTCTTATGTTTACTGATATACTTACGAGTAAGTAGTGTTCCTTAACTCACTGATGACCTGAGTGAGCTGAGAATGGGTTCTGGAGGCATAAATGATCTTCGGAATATCAGTGTAGTATGCTGACAAAGTGTGGAGTGAGGCAGAGGAGGCAAAAATAAAATAATTACACAAGGAATAGCCTAAGATAACACATTTATTTTTAACAAAATTGGCATTCAGATAACAACTCCCTCTCTTCCATAGATAGTGGAGAATTATACAACCTAGGATAATCTATTGGAAATGAGATAAGTAGATAGTTTCACTGCCATAAGAGAAAATGTTCTAATCCCAGGTTTAAGCTCAGAAAGGGTAATGAGAAATGAGACAGCCACAAACACTCTCACATCCCTTTTGTTCAAAAGGTGGTGAAGTGGATGGTACACTGGCCCTGATGTCAGGAGGACCTGAGTTCAAAAGATAGAGAATGGGAGAACATGCATCTCAGTCTTGAATCTCCTTCATTTCTTCTCTAGCTTGAGGTAGATATCTTCCCACTGAACCCAGATGACACTGGAGGAGAAAGTGAGGCTGGTGACTTTGCACAGCTCTTCCTCACTTAAATCCAATTCATTTACAAGTCATGGCATCACCTTCCTGATGTCACGGTCCTCTTCAAGAACAAAAGACAAACAACAACAACAACAACAACAACAACAACAGCTTGGGCTATCAGATGGTATTCCCTGCTGGAGGGTAGTGGATGCAAGGGGAGATTGTACCTGTGGTATCTCCATCTGTGGCAGCATTCCCCCATGATGACATTGGTCTATCAGGAAAGAGCTCCACCCCCTGCATCCTTTCAGCGATCTTTCGAGCAGTGATTGTGTCTTTAAAGTGCTCCCGCCAAGCCAAAGTGGTACAAAGAAGACAAAGAGTCTTTCCTGTTCCTGTGGGGCTCTCAAGAATGCCATTTACCTTCTGAAGACCAGGGAAATGAGGGAAAGGTTTAAAAAGGCAAAGTCAGAGGGGCCATGTTGTCCTATATTAATCACAGAAGTTAAGCAGAGCAACTATTTGAATCACTCTAATAACTCATATTCATGACACTTTAAGGTTTACAAAGCACTTTCCTCACAACAACAAGTAGGCATGGAGTAGGTAGGCATTCATTTTACAAATGAAACTGAGGTTCAAAGAGGTTAGATGACTTGCCCACAGTCACATACATATCTTGGAAGAGCAAGAAGCTAGGGCTTAAACACAAACTCTCTATTTTCTCACTATAGCATTCTGTCCAGGTACTTGTATGTTGCATGTCTAAGTTCCTGCTGCCCTGGCCTTCTCCTCTACTGGCCACAGCAGCAGCAGCTTTGCTGCCTAGACCAGAAACCACACGAAAGAAGTTATAACTCCTTCACCTCTGCAACTTCTATCCTGACTGGTGATTGCCTTACCCAGCCCTCTTTCAGGAAAAACTAAGACCTGCATCTCTTCACTCTCTATACCCCAGACATACTTTTGACAGTCTCACCAGCTGTCTGGCCACCTCAAACACACCTTTCCCAAATTTGGGAACCATGATTAAATCAACTCTGCCCCTGTTCTGGAAGGGAAATGCCAGCCTACTCCTGTGGCATCACTCACCATCCCCTTAACCTTCTAGACTAAAGTGCTGTACCCTGACCTACATTGTTTCCCCTGTTAGAATGGAAGCTCTTCAAGGGCAAAAGGCTTTTGTTGCTTTTATATCTGTGTATATATCCACAATGCTTGACACTTAGTAAACACATAATACATAGTTTTTCATTCACAATTCAAAACTGATGAAGCAAGAGGCAGTATTTTATAAAACAAGTAAATGCTAAGATGTTACAATTTAAGTTGAAACTCTCAAACTAGTTACACAAATCACAGCTTAACTTGGTTTTAACATTTTTTTTCATTGAATAAGATTATGATGGTATGTTCAACTCAAAATTAACAGTAAGATACTTTGCTAGGGGCCCCTTAAATAACAAATAATTTTGCAATTCTGAATTTAGGCTTTCAAACAGTTGCCTTCTCTAAAATCCTAAATATAAATCTAATATGTGAATGCCTGTAATCATTAGGTTCAATGAGAAGCTAATAACACAGCTCTGCAAAAGCTGTGAACTTAGCTGGGGTTGAAATGGATCCAAGTCTCCATTTTGTTAGAAACAAACCAGCTGACCAGAGCTAAAACCTAGGCAGGATACTAACAGCACACAGGAAATCTCAGCTCCAGCATCATAATCAGAATAAATCCTCAGATGGGAGAATTATGGACAAGGAATATTTCAAATTCCATCAGAAATTACTGATGTGGTGGTTAGTTTTTAAAAGGCTTCTGCCCACCCCGCCCAATTTCTTTTTGAATCTTTGCTACCAAGGATGGTTCAGTAGGGATGGAAGTATTTGAAAAGAAATGTGAAATTAAAAAAAGTATCAGTGAAAGATAAGATAAAATTAGAAATAAATAGCCAATACATACTACAAAGTATAAAGGAGAGAAACAATTGTAATAAATACTTGTTGAATTGAACTTAATGGCAAAGGCACAAAAAACATTATCTTGATTCCACTTTAAAATGCAGAAAGAAGCACAGAAGAGTTGAAAAAAATGGATCTTCTTTTTTATAGATTGACTGAGTCATTGCAAAGGTGGGGATTTGGGATTGGAATAGATGAACCTCTGAAGTTCCCTCCAGCTATAGAACTACGATCCTATGACTACAAGTGGGGAATATTGCACATCCACAGAACTGATGCATTAGCAAGTTTTACTGAACCACTCTTTTTTTCCTCTTTCTGTTTTAATATTTGTTTACAAGGGGTAGTTCACTAGGTAGGGGAGGGAAAGGAAAGAAGGATACTTTTGCAAATAAAGGGATTGTAAAAACAAAAGATACAAAGAAAAATAAATAAATGAAATGGGAGAGAAGGGGAACCAAATCTGCAACTCTTCCAACTGATCAAGCACTTCTCCTTTGTCATTCTGGTATTCCAGGCTTATTGTTTTGCATTTTAAAATAAAATAGAAAATAAACTTACATAAGGGGGGAAGGGAGGAATAAATATGTAAGAAATTATTATAATATATCAGGTATTTTTTGAATCACAGCCTTAACATGAACTTGTGACTCAAACAAAGATTCTAAAGGATGTCTCACCTTCTGTAGGCACTCCAGGACTTTAGCCATATAATCTTCCTGACACTTGTATGGTTGGAAAGGAAAATCCACTGTAACGCCATTTAATGTTATCTTGGGCATATTTAACTGTTTTCAGTACAATTTCCAAATTTCCTGAAATTCAGCATATTTACTATTAAAACTCCATGAAATTATCCCAGACTTCTGAACATTTCTGTGCACACTAATGAAGGTAAACAGCTATGACATTTTTGTAAATAATAACGTATATCGGTTAATTTTTTTGCGGTTTGGGGTTGGTTGCCTCCCAAAGGACAGAGATGATAGTTAACATTTACAATTGCATTAAGGTTTTAGCATTTAGGGTTTACAACAACTCTTATGGGACAGGCTACAGAAATTACCTCTATTTTACAGATGGGAAATTGCCCAAAGTCAAACAATAGCAGAGCCAGAATGGGAAAGCAGATCTCCCAATCCAAATGTGGCATTCTTTCAACATCACTACTCTACTATTCCTCTATCTCTAGGTTATAAGTGATATAAGTGACAATGGGAGGTTAAGCAACTAGTATGCACACAAGCAGTCAGAGAGCTGATTTGGGCAGTGTAGCACACTGGAAATTGGACAGAGAGCAGGGGCTCAAATCCTACTCTGGTACTTACTTCCCAGGGTTTCTACAAAATTGAGGGGGGCAGGGGTAGATTTTATGACGTCTGAGGGTTCTTACACTCCACCCTTGGATCTCCTGCTTTTGTTACACAAAAGTTCGAACAAATAGCTTAAGCCACACCAAGTCTGAGCGACCTTTAGAAAAGCAAAGATCCTGCTTAACTGAAGCTATTCACTATGGAGTACCTAGGGATTTAAGTTGCTCTGCTAGGTTCCGGGGGACAGGGCTTAAGCCATCGGAGGAAAGCTGCAGAGTGCCTAAGGGGAACTCCCTTCTCAGCCCACCCACCACTCCCGAATAAATGCAGGCTCCCCCAGTCAGAATGGAAGCTCTCAAAATACAGGGGTAGTTTCGTTTCAGCATTTGCATCCCCAGAAATTGACACAGCCCCACAAGTCTTTAGCACTCAATAAATGCTTTTTCACGCATTCCTTGAGAGGCAGATTTGGGCCTCCAAGAGAAGCTACTTAACAATCCATTGAAATAACAATTAAAGCTGGTCCAAAAGAGGAATGGGCCGGGTAAGGGAGGGATTAGTGGGGTTCCTCCCCACCCCCACCTTCAGGGTACCCCAGCGGAAGCAGAACCCCTGAACACATATTGTAGAGGGGATTTCTGTTCAAGTGAACGACCTAGCCTAGGGGAACTGTTATGTCTCTTCCAGCTGAGACTTTCTGATTTTGTAACCGATGCGGGGCTCAGATTTGTGGGGGGAAGGGAAGGTGCAAGAAATGGACAAGAAGACGCAAGCTGGAGCCCTCCAATGCAACGCAAGCTTCCTTCCTAAAGAACGCAGCAGGAAGCCAGCCACCGCGCAGCCTGCTGGGAGCTGTAGTTTTTTCTAAAGATCATCCTTTTAACTCCAGAAACCATTACTTCTCCCTTGACTTCCGATAGAACCACTGAGTAGACACGAGTGGACAGACGGATCCCGAGGAGTACTTACCAGCCCTTTTCAAGAGCTCTCCTCCCTTTGTCTCCCCGGGTCCTCCGCAGTGCCCCAATTTGCACTTTCCCGGGCAGCAGAGAACCATTGGCCTAAGTTGTCACGTGATACTTACGTCACATCCCAGGTCCAAAGCCGGTCCTTCTTCCCGTGATGCTCCAGGCGGGCAGTGGTTGGGTCGGGGCGGGGGGGGGGGGGGTAAAGCCTCTGTTGCTACTGAGGCTGGGCTAAGTGGAAGTGAGGTCCAGCCCCTCCTTTCCTTGGCTCTGTGCTCTGATTGCCTCGGTGCTCGTCCTCTGTGATCCGCTTAACGCTACCATCTGTGTTGAAGCTGTTCAACCTGAACAAAACAAACACTCAAAGAGTAAGGTTTATCTGATGCCTGCTCCCTACTCCCACCCTCTACCTTAATCCATTTTTGTATACTCTTCTCATGCACACCAATTATGAGAAGTAGCTGAGTTCATACATCTTTGGGACCCCATAGACTATAGCTTGCCAGATCCTTCTTCCTCCACTCTCTTCTGAAGTCTATCCAAGTTCATGTTCGTTGTTTCCATGACGGTATTTATCTTATCCTCTGCCATCCTCTTTTCTTTTTGCCTTCAATCTTTCCCCAAGTCAGGGGCTTTTCCAATGAGTCCCATCTTCTCATTATGTGGCCAGAGTATTTAAACTTCAGCTTCAGTATTTGACCTTCCAGTAAATAGTCTGAATTAATTTCTTTACCTATTGACTGATTTGATCTCCCTGATGTCCAAGGGACTCTCAGAAGTCTCCAGCACCATAATTTGGAAGTGTTGATTCTGCAGCACTCAGCTTTCCCTATAGTCCAACTCTCACAGCCATACATTGCTGCTAGAAAAACTGTAGCTTTGACTGTACAACCTTTGTCAGCAAGGTTATATCACTGCTTTTTAGCGTGCTGCCCAGATTTGCCATAGCTTTCCTTCCAGGGAGCAAACATCAAAATTTCATGGCTACAGTCACCATCTGCAGTGATTTTTGAGCCCAAGAATATAAAATCTGACATTTCTTTCATTTTTTTCTCCTATTTACTAAAAAGTGATGGGACGAGTTGCCAAGATCTTAGTTTTTTTGATGTTAAGCTTTAAGCTAGCTTTTATGCTTTCCTCTTTTACTCTCATCCAGGGGCTTCTTAATTCTTTACTTTATTGCTGATATTTCCCTCAGCAACCTTAATTCCAGCTTTTGATTCATCTAGTCTGGCATGTCACATAATGTACTCTGCATATAAGTTAAGTAAATAAGGTCACAGTATGTAACCTTGTCATATTCCATTTCCAATCTTAGACCAATCAGTTGTTCCATGTTCAGTTCTGACTGTTGCTTCTTGGTCCACATACAGGTTCCTCAGCAGACAAGTGAGATGACTTGATATTCCTATCTCTTTGAGGACTTGCTACATTTTGTTGTAATCCACACAGTCAGAGACTTTGGTAGTCAATGAAGCAGAAGTAGATGTTTTTCTGGAACTCCCTTGCTTTCTTTCTCCATAATGCAGCAAATGTTGGCAATTTGGTCTCTAGTCCTTCTGCCTCTTTGAAAACCAGCCTTCTCTTCTGGTAATTCTTGGTTCATGTATTGCTGAAGCCTAGTTTGCAGAATCTTTTTTTTTTTTTTGGTTAGGCAATAGGGTTAAGTGACTTGCCCAGGGTCACACAATTAGTTCGTGTTATGTGTCTGAGGCAGGATTTGAACTCAGGTCCTCCTGAATCCAGGGCCAGTGCTCTATCCACTGTGTCACCTAGCTGACCCTAGTTTGCAGAATCTTAAGTATAACCTTGCTGGAGGGTGAAATGAGTACAGTTGTTGGTTATTTGAACATTCTTTGGTATTGCCTTTTTTTAGGATTGGGACATGAACTGATCTTTTCCAACCCAGTTGCTATCATTGAATTTTCCAAATTTGCTGGCATATTGAGTGCAGCACTTTAACAGCATCACCTTCTAGGATTTTAAATAGCTAAACTGGAATTTACGAATTTAAATAGTTGAACACCTCCACTATCTATATTGTTAGCAATGCTTCTCAAGGCCCACTTGACTTCATTCTCCAGTATGTCTGGCTCTAGATCAGTAACTACACCATCATGGTTATTGGTGATGTCAAGATCTTTCTTGTATAGTTCTTTTTATTTTTTATTTTATTTATTTATTTATTTTAGTGAGGCAATTGGGGTTAAGTGACTTGCCCAGAGTCACACAGCTGGGAAGTATTATGTGTCTGAGATTGGATTTAAACTCAGGTCCTCCTGACTCCAGGGCCAGTGCTCTACACATTGCGCCACCTAGCTGCCCCTTGTATAGTTCTTCTGTGTATATTTGCCACCTCTTCTTAATCCTTTCTACTTCTTTTAAATCCCTACCATTTTCATCTTTTATCATACCCACTTTTGCATGAAATGTTCCCTTGGGATACCTCTAATTTTCTAGAAGAGATTTCTTGTCTTTCTCATTCTATTCTTTTCTTCTATTTCTTTGCACTGCTCATTTAAGAAGACCTTCTTATCTCTCCTTGCCATTCTCCGGAATTTTGCATTCAGTTGGGTATATATTTCCCTTTCTCCATTCCCTTTGCTTCTTTCCTCAGCTATTTGTAAAGCCTTATCAGACAGCTATGTTGCTTTTTTGCTCTTCTTTTTCTTTGGAATGTTTTTTATTGCTTCCTCCTGTACAATATTTAAAGCTTCTGTCCCTAGTTCTTCCAGGCACTCTACCAGATCTAATCCCTTAAAACTATTCATCACTTTCACTTCATATTCATAAGGGATGTTATTTTTAGGTCATACTTATAAGGTATGATGGTTTCCCCTAATTTTCTTCAATTTAAGTCTGAATTTTGTAGTGGAAGAGCTGGTTCGGAGTCAGTAAGAATACCAAGGCCAGAGTCCTAAGCAGGGCTTTATTGTCATAAAAGCAAAGGGAACCAAGCAGGTCAGGATACTGGTTGGTTGTTAGAACAGAGAAGGGACAGGGTTTTTATGGACAGGAGGGAAGGAGGGGCTGAGGAGATCCACCTCTGTGGGTGTGTCAGGGGAGGAGAAACAAGGAAAATTTGCCACAGTGTGTGCAATCAGGGAAGTTCTCTAGTGCCAAGTCATAGTTGTTGAAACATCAGCCACTGCATGCCGGGAGTGGTGGAATTTACATAAACATGAGATTATAATTAGGGCTGACATATCACATAGGTCACTCTCGAACAGTGAAGACCTTTATTGGGCCTTCGGAAAAAATAGGGAAAGTCCCTTAACCATAAGGTCGCTATCCATTAGAGGAAAAGAGACCTTCAGACCACAGGGGCCTCAGAGGCCAGGATTTGTACAAGACTATGGAGACAAAAAAAAAAAAAACAACCCAACAGTAAAGGGGGGCACTGCCTTTTTGCCTGCATTTTGATTTCCTACTTCCAAATTTTAATCCCCTATAATAAATGTGACATTATTGAGGGGCTATTATTTCTAGAAGATGCTGTAAGTCTGGGAAAGACTTGTATGGACTGATGCTGAGTGAAGTGAGCAGAACCAGAATGTTGTACTTAGTAACAGCCATGTTGTTCGATGACTAACTTTGACAGACTTAACCCTTCTCAGCAATGCAGGAATCTAAGACATCGCCAAAAGTCTCATGATGGAAAATGGTATCCACATCCAGAGAAAGAACTAGGGAGTTAGAATGCAGATTGAAGCATATTATTTGCTCTTTATTTCTTCTTCTATTTTGTTTCCTCTTTCTTGTGGTTCTTCCTGTTGGTTCTAATTCTTCCTTACAACATGACTAATGTGAAAATATGTTTAATAGGAATGTATATGTAGAACCTATATCAGATTGCACACTGTCTTGGGAAGGGGGGGAGGGAAGGGGAGAAAAATTTAGAACTCAAAAGCATATGGAAATGATTGTTGAAAACTAAAAATAAATTAAAAATGAAAAAAGAATGTTAACTTTTCATCGTCATACAGCCTCTTCCAATTGCTCAAATAGATTTACCTTTCTAGGTTTCTCTGGACTTTTGTGCTTGTATTCCAAGTTCTACTTAGTTCTGATTTCTTTTTCAATCAGGAATGCTTGAGAGTCCTGTATTCTATTAAAGATCCATTTTTCCCTCCTGGAGGATTTTTATTCAGATTTGCTAGTTAAATTATTCTTAGCTGTAAAAGTATATCTTTTGCCTTTTTGAATATTGTATTCTAACAGGCCTCAAACCTGTTGGTGAGTTAGGGGGATGTCTACTCCAAGCATGTGAAGATTTCCTCTAGCAGAAGAGACAGATGAGAAAGATTTATTCTAATGTCTATGAAGGTGGCTAAGTTGTGGAGTGCTTAGAGCTTGGTCAGACATCAAAGATGCCAAGGTCATCCACCACCATAGTCATCCACTGCATCCCAGACCATTGCCAGTCTTCTTGTCTTGCTGCTGGACTTTGGTGCCTCAGGAAGAGAGAGTGAGGCTAAAGACTTTGTGCAATTTTGCCTCATTTAAATCTAATTCACCACAAGTCATCACCCCATGATATCAGAGGTCCTCCTTGAAAAGTAAGGACAAGGTGCAGTTAGGTGGCATAGTGGATAGAGCACTGGCCCTGGAGTCAGGAGGACCTGAGTTCAAATCTGACCTCAGACACTTGATAGTTACTAGCTGGGTGATCCTGGGCAAGTCACTTAACCCCAATTGCCTAAGCAAAAAAAAAAAAGAGAAAAGGAAGGACAAAGAATAACACCTTTTAAAATGCTCTACACATAAATCATCTTCAGTGGCTTTCCACTGACGGGATAAAATATAAACTCTGCCTTCAGGCTACCTTGTCAGGCTTGTTTCATGTTGCTCTCCTTTAGGTTGTTGTTGTTGTTTGCATTTCCATTGTGGCAATTGTGCCGGTTGTGCCGTGCACTCTCCTCCTATAAGGAGCAGGCTGCCAGGGTCATACTTACCAGTCTTCGGAGCCCACCCAGATAAACACAGAGACGAGCCAATCAGGAGGTGCAAACACTAGAGCTTTATTCAGAGGCCATCACAGCAAGGCCAAGCAG